AAGGAAAAAAAGAAAAGAAAAGAAGAAAGAGGAAACGAAAAACAAATAAAAAAAAACAAGCCAGGTGTTGTCGGCTGAGTTTACCGATTGCGGTGCTGAGCTAAATGCCGGCGGTCAAACAAAAAGGCGAATGAGAGCGAGACAAATCCTAACGGGTCGTCATGATATCGACGCCATGGACCGGGATGTTGGGAATCGTTTGAATTCTTTGCGAAACGGAGAGCAAAAACGGCGCCCTGTGCTTTCAAACCGACACCGATACGAGTATGAAGGTGGAAGGCCAACCCGTACTATTTATTTATTGGACATCGCTTTGAGCCTCTCGTGAAGGATAAATGCATGAACGGGAAGATGCTGGCCTCTGACAACCGAAAACGGTGCTGGTGGGCAAAAGAAAGTGTTTTTTTTTTTTATTTTTTTTTTATTTTTTTTTTTTTTATCTTTTTTTTGGCAAAATATCATCGTGCAGCCCGCGATGCCGTGCACACGTAACTCGCCAACTCATCCCCGGTGCCTTGAATAATAATCATGGCAGCGTGATTGACCTCGGTGTATGTCCTGGCCATGCACGCACGGCAAACGTACATCATTCCTGCTCCTCTTCGGCAAGATAAGGGACTGCGAACCTCAAATCCCTTCCGTTTTGGGGCTCAGGTTTCAGAAATACGGGCTCGTGCATGGGGGGCCCGCCGCGTTGGGGCGGGTTCCCAGCAATCATGCGTCCTGGGAATTCCCTCCATGATGCCTCTTTTCTTTTCTTCCTCCTCTCTCGACTCCTCTCTCTATGTGTATGTACGGTGAAGTCCTCACTTGTTTGTGTGTGTTTGTTTTCTTTTCTTTTCTTTTTTTCTTTTTTTTTTTTTTTGGCGACCCGTTGGGGGCCGGCAACTTTGCCATTCCCTGGACGCATGTAACGTCACCTCGGGAAATGCCCAGCGGTCTGTGACCTGAGACGAAAACCGTCAACAATCGTCTTGACGAAGAATTGCTGAGACAAGACATGCTGCCGGCTTTGACCAAGCTTGATGGTGTTAACTATGCGGGCGCCTCGAGTCCCTGAGCTTGTCCCGACACGCTCTTTGATTCGCGTTTGACCCAACCACCGGAGTTTTCGAAATTCTTAACACCAAGTTTACCTGTGCTAACCGCCCAGGGATTGCGAGTTTATAGAAGGGTAGAAATGCCCCTTCGGTTTATTCTGATTTACTACTTGACGCTGACAGACGAAACTTATTTTGAGCGGCAAATGACAATTTCTCACATGGGCCTACTCCGTACAGTAGTGGATTTTAGTTTGCGTGAGGCCTTGTTGACTTGGCAGTGAGCTCTCCTCCATCAGCGACCTCACTGAGAGTCCTCAGTGAGTGATGCGACCTGCCAACACCTTGGTCCTCGTCTGCAACTCACACATGTTGACGCATGCCGGCCGACGGAAGGGATGATGTCTCGCCCCGGGGTAAGTTGATGACCATCTCATCCCTTGTGGGTCTTCCATGCACAACGGGACACTCAACAGCTCTCTTGGGACGCAAACTCGGGCTCACTCAAAATGATTTCCAGTGAACCACCCACATCAGATTTGTCTGTACTATACAGTTTCTCAATGACTGTTCAGGCATAGAAGCATTGACAGTAGGCTTCTTCACAGGCAAACGCATCGGTGCAACGTGAAATCTTTTCATTGTCTTCAATCAATCGGGCAGTTCCCGGGATTTGCTTGGGGTACAGGGGGGCTACAAAATTAGTCACCGGTTTTTTCCACGGTTACCTTGGAATGATTTCTTGGGCCGATTCGCCGGGAAGAACGGCGCCATTAGGTTTGTGATGGCCATAATTGTGATATTACTGAGCCTTCATGTCGTTCTTGAACGACAGTCTGCTTTTTCTCTCGAAAGGCAGCTTGTCGGCTCTTTACTTTTCTGAGAGCACCATGGTAGACGGCCTTGACAGAGTTTTGTCCCTGAGAAAGTTTGTGTATTTTCCGTCCTGATCTAGCCAGGCTATTCATGACCACTTCTAGCTGGCTTTCTCTTTTCTTTTCTTTTTCTTTTTCTTTGCTTTTTTCCCGTTCTCTCATTTTTGCCGTTTAAAGCGAAAAGATGTTTCGATCCTGGGATCAAAAACCGAACCATGTTACATTTTCATGCAGGAAGCGAAAACCCTAGCTAGAGCAGCGCAAAACCCCAAGCTCGGATTGATGCTTTGCAGCGGTTACCCTCAAGGGCCTGGAGCGTATGGGAGCAGCTATCCTGGAAATACGGTACAAACCCTGAACATGGAGCGGCGGAGATATCGTCTCGACCCTTCTTTTCGTCCCCTTGCCTTTTTGCTGAAACTGGATTTTCTTTTACTTTGCATCATCATTGACAGGGAACTCCTAGATCCCCGCTGTCGGAATTTTGGCAGGTGCTGAGAATTTTTCTGTGTGTTTTCACTCCCTTGTCAGAGTCGTATTTTCCCACGCGATACCCGTCAAGGGGCCAGGGTCTATCAAGGCATCGTTCGACGGTCTTACTTTTGAAACTCCAGGTTTTCATCCAGTTAGTGATGCAGAGACAGATATTGCCAGGTTTTGATTACACGAAGAACTTGGGAAAATTGGTAAACGGGCGGTGACTTCATTTGCCAGCTGGGCCTTCTACCCGTCCGATACACATAGGATAGCGACCTGGCGTGCCAGGTCAGTTTTTATCCTCATTTATTATTTGTACTTTTTTTAATTAATTTTTTTCCTTTTTTTTTTTTTTTTTTTAATTTATTTATTAATTTTTTTTTACAATCATGGATTGCGTGGGTACGCACACGGACTTACGGCATCTCCCAAGTGCAACATCATGCGCTGCATCAAAAACTCAACCAGACAACAGACCAACAGCCAATACCAAAGACACAGGCAGTATGAGTACCTGCCACTTTTGTCAATGAATATCGCAGAGGGGAGCACAATTTGAGATTTTGTACTGTTATTCCTCGACCTTTTCCTTTTTAATTTTCCCTTATTTCGCCCTCTGGCCAGAGCAACAGACGCAGATCACAAGGATACCATGCGAGTATTCTGAACTAATGCATCCATTAGGAAAAATGCCGCTGTTTACGAGCTTTAAGGTGCGCTGCGTACGCATGTATCTCGTGGGCACGGATTGAGCTCAATTCTTACCTAATTGAAGTTAAATCCGAGCCTTCCTGGAGGTTGTCGAGGGCAAATGTAGTCCTGGTTTCAAGGAGACTCTCTTAAATGTGCTCCGACGCAGACAGCATGCGAGTGAGCGCGCCTGAAAAGAAAAGGGGGGATGGCAGTGCGCACGCAAAGAGCTCTTTGGATGGAGGCTAAAGCTCAAACATTGCAATCTTTTTCCACCAATTTTTTTTTTTTCTTTTTTTTTAATTATCTTCTTCGGGATCAGTCCAATAGAGGTATTGGACGGGTAGTAACTCCAAGGTAGAAGGATTCGAGAAGAGCCGGTTAAGCATGATGACCCGTTGCTATGCTTAACTGGCAAGCTCTGTGATCAGAGTAGCTATCCTTCTGTCCTCGCTCTCACAATAGCTTCCGGTTTTTGGCAACATGTGTCGAGCTAAAAAGACGCCTTGACAGGAGCCTCAAGGCAAATAAATAGACAGGTCGAAAATTGCATGCCCAGCTCAGGCGTGTCTTTGATAGCCACAAAGCATTCTATTTCCTGCGAGGCCCTGCAGATTCTATGTTCAGCAGCGCTAAATATGTATGCTTGTATTCATGCACTGTTCAGCTTGCCACTCCCAAATGCTGGCAGAGGGTGCTGCCATTGTTGTTACGCCACGGTTTCACAAGCCACGCGTCCCAATGCCGACAATCACCCGCATGGAACAAAAAATCATAGCGAAAGAATTCAGTTGGCGTTGCACAATCTGCAGACTCTCACGGCGCACGAGCTGATTCTATCTAGTGAATCCGATAGCGTGGCCACCTTGTGATGGATCATTCTGTCCTTGGACATGAGAAACAATCGTGGCAAACCCTAGCTACTTTGGGAGTCCAAGAACTCGGGTACTTATACGAGAAGTTGTGCACCGCATTCATGGGATTCGCTGCATCTGGACACCGGATAATTAGCTAATTAATTTAACTACTGGGCCAGACAACGAGTTGATTTGCGTAGCCGCGGGAGAGGGCATGGTGCGGTTTTCAGGCTCTGCCCAAGTCACTATGTAAGTATGTACTTCGGTCTTCAGTGACAGTTACCACCGTCTCCAGGAATTTATCCTCAAGAGTTCAACTGACCTTGTTGTTCTGTTCTTATAGTTGTGCGCATACAGGCAATAGCTGTTTTCGTCTGGGCTCCTTGGAATATTCAATCATCAGCCGACAAAGCTGACTTGTTCGAACTCTTGGGTGGTACGGACCGCTATTAACGAGTTAACGGATTACCCAAGGCTTATGACTTTCCCAGTAGAGATGGTCGATATTGAAATCTTCGAGCAATTTTCAAGGCACATCGGCATGGAAAAACACATGCTATGTTGCAGAAAAAAAAGTTTGAACGAAAAGCAATCTTGCCAGTCGTGATGTCTCCTGACCACCTGCAGGACGGCGTTCTCATACTCTATTTGCTTATCTATATATCATGCAGGCTGTACATATCTTAGCCTGCATTCATGTATTCTTCAATTCTTTTGGGAAGTGCTCTGTAGTATGAACTACAAGTCTGCCCGCAAAGAATGTGGCGAGTGCTAATTGGTAAATTGTCAACTGCAGCTGGTAAACCGGACGTCCGAGAACAGGAATGAGTGGAACAGACTCCAAATGTCGGTTACGTACAATAAATCCGGTACATTGGCCACAGCTTCCTTGTATGAACAAGCAAGCCATGGAGATGGGAGCCGAGACATTAGCCTCAATCCCTCCCCGAGGGCAAAATGCTATTATTCACAGGCCGGTGTGACCATCAAAGTATCCATTATGACACTATCACGGTAAAAGGGAAAATTTTTACCAAGTTGCAGAAACCGGACACCAATCATCAGTCTCTCCACCACCTCCCCAAGGCACCGGCACCACCTGGGCCCATTCCATCGACGACCTCCTCGAAGCTGATCTCAATTCTGAACATCTTTCCGTCGCCTATCCCGCTACCTCCGGGAGCTGGGATGACCAGACCCCAACCAACTAGCTTCTCCCATGCCTCCCTTGCCGCTTCCTTGCCCCAGATCCGCCCCGGCGTCGCCGCAGCTCCCGACGCAGACGCCGATGCCTTCGCCGATGTGAGAAGCCGGACGTATTCTGCATACACGGCGGGGAAAGTAAGCGTAAGCGGGGCCGAGATTTGGGTCTGAGTAAATCTCAAACTCGGATCATGGATCGCTGTTAGGCGGGTGGCAGCAAGGAGCAGAGAGAGCGGGAGAGACACTGTGCTTGTTGAAGCAGTGGAATCTGAGGGGAACGGGAAAGGAGCCGGGTCGGGGCAGAGGACATCAGTGGTGAATGACTTGGCTGTGGGGATGGGTACATGAGAAGAGGGTGAAGAACATAGGGCCAGATTTGATATTGGTAAGAGAGCGGTGGCAAAAAAGTCCCTGGGGCATCTTGTTCGATGGAATATTAATTTCAGATGTGTTTGGAAGTGTGAATCTTTCCAGAGTTCCTTTATTCAGAATTAGTTGCCGGATAGAGCTTTACTGGTGTTTATGGAGCCCATCTTACCTGAAGATATGAATTCCACAAACGAGATAGCTGCTCTCCTTTGGGATTTTTCAATATCCTGCTTACAATCTCAGAATACTTTCCTTGCCTCGCTTGTGCGTAACAATCTTGTATTTCATCCGGATGAATTGTCAAGGCTGCCATGCAAATATCAGAAAATTCGGCAAATGTCTGAGGGCGTGGCAAGAAGGCATATCTGTGACTGAACCTGCTCTTCACTCGCTTCTCGATGTTTTCCATGACGTCCACTTTTGTGGTAAGCCCAATAACGGCGATGGGGGCCTTCTTCGCCTGTGCAATATCAAAAAGATTATAAAGTAACGTTTGACGTGGGTGATATGTGAAAAGATCGAACTCGTCTAATATGACAATGACTGATTTAGTAGTGGTCATGGTATCAGCTGCATCGACGGGTACTTCGGATAATAGAGCTAGTAGCGAGGCCATCGTGTCGGCGTACGTTGAGTTCCTGTTTAAGTCCTCATCCACATTGATCTCACGCCCTAATTGGTGCCATATTTCTCTTAGGGCAATCCTATCATCGGTGTGAAGGAATCCGTTCAGGCGCACAACATGGAAATCATCCCTGTGGATTTTGAAAAGGGAGGAGATGGCGGTTTCGACGACCGTAGTTTTACCAGAGCCTCTACCACCGAGGAGCAACATGGAATTCCCCTCGCCAGCGAGAACGGTCTGCTCCATTAGTTGATAGATGGTTTGATATTCGGTAGTCAACCCCCTCAGTGGAATAAGCTGGCTACCGTTCATTCTCTCCAGTATGAACTTGGCGAAAAAGCCTATCATGTCGCTGACTTGGTCGGCTTCGCAGAAATATTTGAGCTCTGAAGCATAATGTCCATAGTCTTGCGGCCCCGTGACGCATATGTTAGAAACATGGTTTCGAGCAAGTTCAAGCTGTAATTGTATTTGAAGCGCAAGAGAGTCGGCCTCGCCATGGCCCATCCGAGGCTGCGCTTCTCCGGGGGGCAAGATGACATCAATTTCGTCTTTCTCCTGACTAACTTTTCCCGCTTCGTCCTCGACGGGAACATCCCAGATATTTTCATCCTCGGGATCCTTAATTTTCCTTCCTGACCGGCTAGTGCGCGCAGCTGGTGTGGCTGACTTTAGCCGCTTTCCATTCGTACTCGATGCTTCCCTTGCTTTCTTTTTCGGGGCCGTAATAGAGTCCTTGCTTTTGGTGCGCGATGATCGTGCAGGCTTTTCGGCGGCACCGGTGTTCTGTGATTTCGCCTGGAGCCTGCTGCTAGAACGGGGCTTGGGCTTTGTGCTAAGTGCGCTCGATTGCTTCACCTCTTGGGGTGTTTCTGGGTGGCCGCCATTTGCTTTTATTGGCGCTTGATCCGCAAGCTTTCGCCGTTTTGAAGATCTGAGTGTTCTCGACTCGGTCATCACGATACGATGAATTCAATTGAAGTGTAACTCGTTCGCATCATGAATAGAAGCCAGTTGTTGGTTATCTGTAAGTCTCAATACATCAAGCGGATTTTTCACGCTATTTTTGCGGTTGCCCTCGAAACTCGTTCTGGGGAAGATATCCAGCTCATTCACATCGAATCCCGGCGTAATTGGTGGACAGCCGCCAACGCGGCATTCGCGTGTGAGAGACACGGAGCCACGTGACAGTGGGAATTTGTCTAAGCAGCTTGGCGTGTTTGCACCTCAATTTCTGCCGAGGTAGCTCCGGCTGGGCGCCTTGAGAGCATCGTTGGTTAGGACGACGACGATGCCTACTTGTCCCCGATACGAAGTCCGTAGACCAGGACAATAGACAAATATAGAGAATCGACCAAACTCGCCTGCATAGATCGAGCAAACCACGAACGGAGATCCGTTGAAGGCATCCGTTTGAACTTCACGCATAAATACATGAACTCCCATGTTTATCTGCCTCGCAAAGATCGTCAAATAACAAACAGCAACAATGGAGTTGACCGAAGAGCTCTTTGTCAACCGTATAAAGTCCATGTACGAAAGGAGCCTCGATGAGCACGAGAACAGCGTGGGTTCCTTTTTAAAACCGCATAGTAAACTCGTGATCGCGAGAACTAATCAATGCAACTGGCAGTTCTTCGACGCCCAGCTGCAAGACAAAGTCCGCTTCCATTCTGCTTCCCTCGCCGCTCCTGTTCGTGCTACTTTTCGTTCCGTTGTCACTTTATCCATGTGTAATAGACTTGAAAGCTTGCACGGCGGCTGTGCCGCGACCCTCATCGATGTTCTCACATCCGTTATTCTCCTTGGTCTCGGAAAGCCGGGAATGTTCTCATACGGCGGTGTCACTCGGTCTTTGGATGTGAAATATCTGCGACCAGTTCCAGAGGGCGTGGAGATGGAGATTATCTGCGAGTTAGTCAACATGGGCAAGAGACTGGCAATGTTGCGGGGGGAGATCCGCAGGGTGGATAATGGGGATCTGTGTGTGGTGGGGATGCACGATAAGGCGAACACAGACCCAGTGGTGCAGAGACTGTAACGATAGGTACTGCTGCTGCATCCGGAGGATACCCAATAGGCTTAAGCATCTTTCGATGACTTTGTCCAGGAGCGGATATTATATATATACATAGTATTCTACTGTTTATTTCGGCTGTCTTATCCTTACCTCAGCTTCCACAATATAGAGAAGATGTCTGGGCTTTGAAGTAGCAGGCACTTGTAAGGTTACGAATCTAGGAGTAGTTGTACAGGTGGTTTCGGCTTCATTACCATTTACGTTCATTGCTAGGTACAGCTTCGTCGAGTGATTGCACGAATGTTGTAGCTGAACATGTAGAAACCCGTCATGCATAATGTGGGAAGTCATAAGCATCATTCCAACAAAGGCATTAAGAGGTTTGAGGGAAAGACATCCCGCGCATGAAATTCCGGGCAGGGTCAAGCCGATTATCCAGATCAGCGTACCGCAATATGAATTCACGCTACATATTAGTAGAACCGATCGTTAGCCTTTGATTCTTCCGGGAAAAAGAAAAACAACACAGGCACCGACAATCGGATCATAAGTGAAGAAAAAGGTGTCGCTTACCCGGACCTTCTTCCACGTAGCTGTGTCCCACCACAAATACACTCCTCTCTCACTTATACCCCTTTCAACTTCGACAGGGTTGGGATATGAATCGTCACGAGTGAGCCATGCACGCTCGATTTTGTGATACCTCCATTTTCGGCCCATGAGCTCCTCAGCAACAAGTTCCTGCATAATATCACGAGGCATGCTGTAGAATATGTAAAAGAGTGTTTCGTCGGTGAAGCTTGGAATTCGTGTCTGAAGGGGTTGTACGTTGGCAACATTATAACAGGCGGGGAGAGTAAAATCTGGTTGGAGGGGAACCCCTGAACCCGATGGAACGAAGGGGGAGGCAAAGGAGAGATGAAGAGGCCTGTCATTAGAATGAGTATACCTTCAAGCCGGTACAATTACATTAAACTAGGGAAAATCGTCTTCCTTACTCTGGTTGATTCAAGTCTAACCCCAGACTCATTAGATCTTGCCCTATCGCCAAACTTGCAACGTCAGGGCTTTCGCTATGTATCATTCTGAGCAATCCCGCAAGTCCATATTTCTCTCGGTCGCTCATTTGCGTGATGGGAGTTTGGTCGGAGGTTTGATTTGTCGCAACTGTCTCTTGGGGCTGAGTTTCCTCCGGAAAAGGTATTGTTTGCTGCGGCTGCTCGGAAAAGTCTTCAGGGCGAGTAGCGTGCTGTCCAGCCATGAGATTTGTAGAATCCTTTGTAGTAGTTAGATATAAGAACGATCAAGGAATACTACTGGGTTGGGTTCGGGGTTACCTCTTGCTCCTGACTGCCGACGCCATTTTGAACTGGGCCAATCGGAGATCGCGATGCTATTTGGATTGTCAACAGACGTCTTGTCGCGGAACTTCCCAAGCGAAAATCCACAAACCTGATGTTGCTCCTACTGGGGAAGTGACGCCGGTGCCGTCGCGTCGTGCGTGTATTGCGCTGCCCACGGAGGTTCTTGCTTGCCCCGGAAGCCCCTGATTAGCGTATGACATTGTATTTCCGTAACTTGCGAGATTGCTAGATTGCATCAGAGACTCCCTGCGGTCCTGTCCCAGGTCACCCGGCGTTTGTTTTCCTAGCGGCGGAAATTCCTCGATATTGCCGGTCTGTGGCTGATTGTTACTTGAAAGCTGTCCGCTTATTCCTTGTCCGCCATTTCTAAAGTCGTCGAGTTGAGTCGCGAACTGCGAGCCTGAAGGAAAAAGGTCATCTCGAGAGGTATGGGACTGTGAAGGTTGATTGGATTGTGTTTGCGAGGCTCTCGAGGGCGCTTGCGAGGACACCGGAGGCTGTAATTGTCTCTGGAGGAGGGTTTGCTGGGCTGGTCGTTGATTAATAGTACTCCAAACTGCCTGTCCAGTTGTCGGGGTCTGGGATGGCTGAGAGCCGCCTGACAAAGAGGGGAATTCGCTAGATGAATTGATATCAATAGTTAGTTGTTTTGGAATGCGCGTCGAGGGGTCTCGATGATCATCCTGCCTCTTGAAACGAGGCATGATGATCAGATTGCAATTAGGAAAATACACATGCGAAGGAAATGAAAGGAGCAAGAAAGTTGTAGGAGAAGGAGGGTGACTCAATCAAAGGGAAACAAAGGAGAGGAAAAGTTTGCAACTCACGAAAGATCTAAGGGGGTAGCAGGTTGAGACCCGCCTACGCTTTGTGCAAATGTATTCATAGCATTCACAGTCCGCGGCTGATTGTTCTGCAGTCCTGGGGCTCCTCCCATTGGCACACCAAAACCCCAAGTTGCAGCACCTCCTGCAAAATATGCCAAATACTGTGAGCAAGTGCACATCTAGCCAGTGATCTTATATCCTGTTGAGCCTCACCAACTTTACCATTGGGCATCCGACCGGAGAGCAGTGAAGGGTTCGAAGATCTTGCTTGTTGCTGCTGTTGCTGTTGGGAGGGGAAGCTCGACATCCCCCGAAAAGGCTGCTGGCCAGGGCCTACATTATATCAGCTTGCGGTCTTCCATTGGCATCATACATTGAAACAAGCGCGAGAGGGAGAAGGGGCGAGACGGTCTGGATTCGCGGTCAAGGCATGGAACCATATCCCAAGCTACAACACAGTGTCTTGTTGGGCATGTAATAAATGCACACATGCTGATTGAATCTGTGCAGGATGCAGCTGTCGCACGAGCGCTCGAGTGTGGGAGTAGAGGTTCTTCTTACCTGGCCTGTTCATAATAACGGCAAGGCGTGGATCGTGACAAAGGGTTATTGAATGTCTAGTCACAAGGAAGCTTCCTTCTTTCTTATAGGAAGATTCTTCTATGCGATAACATGCAGTTGTGGAGGATGATGGTTCACTGGCCAGAGACGAATCGGTGGGCAGCTATTAATTATGAGATCTCAAGTGAACAACGCGCGCGGCTCTGGGTCGTGCACGGACCAGGTGCTAACGAAGGAAAATGCACCCCAGCAGGTCACTCTCACAACCTCGACAACTCTTGACTGCAATGCGGACTTGGAGCCGGGAAACAAATCTCGAGAACATACTCCGTACAAAGCACCCTATTCTTCTACAAGCGGCCTGCTGCACGCGACAGGGCGAGGCTTGTCTTGAACCCAAGTATATTTCGTGCCGAAGGCGTAACCGTGAATGAAATCCTTCCAAAAGTAACTCACTAACCGTCCCTTTTCCTCTCCGGGTTGCTTTTACGTTGGCATATCCTAGCTTTCTTCGGATAACAAATCCTTCCCTTCAACATGCCGCCCTTCTAGTATTGGCTTAAGAAGCTCCAAGACCAATTTCGAAATCTTCCTGTATGCCAGGCCGAAACATGCGCTTTCTAGCGATGAAGGAGGAGTGGCATTGTCACTACCGTTTCTAGTCCAATTTCCCCAAGTAATTGCATAAGAAATCCGTAATTTCTACCGGAATTCACACAGGACAGGCTACGGAGCTCGGAAAGCCCTATAAGCGGTTTGAACGTATTATAAGGCTACTAGAGACTCTTCGGCTGCTTCCAAGTTGACGGCTGTCGTCATCTTTTCCTCTAAACTAGTACCTGCTCTTTATCAATATTACGAGCGTGGAATGTGCATGGTCCTATTATATATTATCCTCTCTTGCTCAAATGGTTAAGCCATGGGGTCTGAGTTGGACGAGGAAAACCTGAATTCATCGAGGATCGACTTGTAGCTGTGAACGAAAAAATTCCCGGCGCAGAGCAAGGGGTGAACAACCTGCATACCGCCTTGGGGTTCAACTTTCAAAAACCACGGGCAAGCATTCTCTTACGAGAACGTTGTGAAATATATCGGGGAGAAAATGCAAAGCATCGCTCAAGCAACAGTCTGCTGTCAATCGCAGAGAACCGTGTTACTCGACAGATGATGAGGACGTGAGCCGATGGCCGCTGGATGCGTCCTACTACGAATACACCTGAGTCGGAATGAACAATATGGCTATTTTGGATATAGATATTATTTTGCTACTAATCTCGTTACACGACAATAACTAGCATACCAGCTCCAGCCAGTGACCCCGGGCTGGGTTTCAATATAGGTATCTGGTTGGTAGGGATATTGACTGTTCGTCGCTCGTTCTCCGATCGGGGTTTGTCTCATCTCGACGGCTGGGCATAAATGCCAAGCCTCTTCGATTAGTCACGTGATCCGACACCAGCCCAGCCGCCTCAAATTCAAAATTTTTCGCTCTTCCTCTTCTTCAAACTTCAACGTCGTGGTGTCTTTTTCAGCACTCTTTAATGACAAAAACTGGGCCAATGGCGTCGAGATCAGTTATTTCTTTCCTATATCAACAAGGGGGATTATCGCTGGCCGAATTACCTCCAGCTTTCCTTGCTCCTGCGTTGTATTCTACCAAAGCTTGCTTTAATTCCCAACGCTCACAATTCTCTACCTCATCCTCCCCTGCTGCTCGTGACCGCAGTCGCTTCCGTGGAGTGTCGGCCATTCACAGGACTGGACCTAAACAGCCCTTGCCAGTCTCAAAATACCCTCTACCAAAGCCCGCTTCTCCAGAGCAGCAGGAGAAACGACCGGCTAATCCTGATCATGGACTGTGGGGCTTTTTCGGCCCCAATAAGCAAGCTATCCCTACACCGGAAGAAGAATATGCACATGGTATGCAGTCATACCAATTGAATCTGTGTTTTAAGGCTTACGTCGATTTTGAATAGGCCGTGCGTGGACCATCCAAGAGCTGAGACAAAAGTCATGGGATGACCTGCACTGTCTTTGGTGGGTTACAGTTCGCGAACGTAACCGAATAGCGACGTCCAATTATGAAAGAAAGCGGCTCGCAGCCGGCTACGGAGACTTCGAGGCTGACAATAGGGACAAAACGGTAAGACCCTCACAAATTTTTCATTTGACTGCCATGCTTTTCCCTTGAATGATGAGACCCTTACCTTCACTCGCCGATATGAATGCCATTGGGACTGCTTAAACCCCTTGGATCTTGAGATGAATCTAGGATTTTCCTGACTTAGCCTTCTGTGACTTTTTTTTAACGAGCCCTTTGAAATTACTTTGGACTTCTCAAAGCTTGTCTAACTGAAGTATTCTCTGGCAGGTACGAGCCACGCAGCATGCTATTAAACACGTCCTTCGGGAACGATGGTATGCCTGGAATGAGGCTCGCGAGCTCTACAATGGTGGATATAGACCGTCTCCAGATGAGGTCCTTGAGGAAGAGACTGAGACTGCTATGCCGGCGGAAGTGATGCCCGAGGAGTTGGATTCGTCTACGAAATCAGAAACCACAACGTCCAAGAATATTTGATATTCTCCCTGAATAGTTGGCTGTTGCCGGCTATCGTTGCCAATCGGGCCTCAGTGCGGTTCCGGAACCCCTATTCCATCTGTCGAGTAGCTCCAGCTACACCTCAGGGGGATAATCATTCAATATGTATTTTAGCGCTCATGAAGTATCCACATGGATGCATGTATATATGTGTATAGTACAATATCAAATAGTATTGGCATTAAGATAATACTGAAAAGATTAACTTTCTCCTGATCTGCTGCTCTGCCCGGCGGAAATGTTTTCAAGCAATATGCAGAATCATTTGAGGAGCAACAATTGCGGCTGTCGACCGTCTGGGCTTGTGCTTTCCACAGAACCAGGGGTCAGACCGCCTCCATCCATTAGCGCCAAACCATAATCGACTGAAGTGGGAGGTTAAGCATCTAAGATCTCCAACTCCTATGTCTATCATCCTTCTTCCATATTAACTTCTCTATTATTCTTGTTACTCTATTCTCTTTTTCACTTTTCCTCAACTCTCAATCCTCAATATCGTCCCCTTCATTTATCACCATGGAAGACATCGCTCCTGAGTATGACGTTGTTGTGCTCGGCACAGGTTGGTTTACCCCACCTCCCATCCCAGGACCACCTTGTTGACTGATTCTGGACATTTAGGCTTGACTGAATGTGTGCTTTCAGGGTAATTCATGGCATTATGGATTACCTGGGTTTCTATTAATTCTGTTCTTTAGTGTTCTGAGTGTCAAGGGACAAAAGGTCTTACATATTGATCGCAATGATCACTATGGAGGGTTAGTCAAGCTGTTTAGCTTCCACATATCAACGACAGCTCATTTACTGACCTATATAAACAGTGAAGCAGCTTCGGTCAACATAAAAACGGTCAGCACTCTGTGCCCACCACCCTTTCCCTGCAGTTTCTGACAATCCCAAAGCTCTTTAAAAAATTTGGAAACCTAAGCCCCGACGACGAACCGTGGAAGAAATATGGCAGAGACAACGATTGGAACGTCGACCTGGTCCCGAAGTTGCTCATGTCAAACGGAGAATTGACAAACATTCTCGTTTCTACCGACGTTACAAGATACCTTGAGTTCAGACAGATTGCAGGTAGCTATGTGCAGCAGGGAAGTGGCTCGAAGGCCATGGTTGCCAAGGTTCCGTCGGATGCCGGCGAGGCCCTTCGATCTTCATTGATGGGACTTTTTGAGAAGCGCCGTGCGAAAAAGTTTTTAGAATGGGTTGGCGATTTTGATGAGACGAATCCGAGTACCCACCAAGGTTCGAGCTGCCAATTTTCAACCCATTACTCGAATGGATGGTGCTTACCGCTTACTAGGTCTTAACATGGCAACTTGCACTATGAAGGAAGTCTATGACAAATTCGGACTGGAAGATACTACCCGCGATTTCGTCGGTCACTCCATGGCGCTCTATCAGTCGGATGAGTACATCACAGCCCCTGGCAAGGCAGGCGAAACTGTTAATCGGATCCGTCTATATGTGAACTCGATGGCTCGCTATGGAAAATCACCTTACATCTATCCTCTTTACGGCCTTGGAGAATTGCCTCAGGGCTTTGCTCGCCTCTCTGCAATCTACGGTGGCACTTACATGCTCAATACTGATATCGATGAAGTTCTCTACGAAGATGGCAAGGTCTCGGGCATTAAGGCAACCATGAAAGAAAAGGGCGAACCTGGTCCAGGGATGAGTTTCTCAACCAAGACAAAGAAAATCATTGCTGATCCGTCTTACTTCCCCGGAAAGGTTCGAGTGACTGGATACCTTCTCAAAGCCATCTGTATCTTGAATCACCCCATCGACAAGACCGACGGAAGTGATTCGCTCCAGCTTATTATCCCACAGTCCCAAATTGGACGGAAACATGGTGGGTTGATGAGAATGATTTCCCGGATACCTCTGGCAAAGTGTGCTAATCAAGATATAGATGTCTACATTGCCATGGTCTCCTCTGCTCATAATGTGTGTCCAAAGGGCTATTACGTCGCCATCGTTTCCACGATCGCTGAAAATGAGGCCAACCACCATCTTGAACTGGAAGCTGGATTCCAGCGTCTTGGTAAAATCGAAGAGACATTCATGGGCCCTCCAATCCCGCTTTACGAGCCGGTTGACAGTGGCATGGCGGATAACATCTATATCTCAAAGAGCTACGATGCTACCAGCCATTTTGAGACGACAACAGGTATGCTTTTGCTCCACATGCCCAGGTTACGTTTGTATCTAACTAACCACCCTAAATAGATGATATCCGGGACATCTATCGTAGATCAGAGGGACATGAGTTGGTGGTCGACGGCCTTCGCGAGGGAACTACCTTGGTCAGCGAACAATAAATCCCTACCTTTTTCTCCGGGCGACTACATATGCTGCTTGTCTTTCATTTTTGGTTTCGATCGCTTGATAGGATACTCACTTTATTCCTGTCCATACCCTGCTATTCATACATACTACATAATTGATCGTGCAAATTAAAGTCACTAGTTACATACTCTATGAACTAGATAAATACAAGGGATTTCTGTTAGGCTCAAGCGGAAGATAGTCTGAAATAATTTGCATTGGCCGAAGAAAAGGGTTGCCTGATCAGTTTGATGTGTACTCCGTAGTTACAGAGTAGAGCCCTTGGAGTGATTATATAATCTGCGTGTTGCTACAGCATGCAGCTAGACCGGATCAGGCAGTTTGTAAATACGCCGGGCCGGACTGGACGGTCCCGCATCATCAACAAATCGCGAAAACGAGATACCGGGCAGTTTGAAACCAGCGACTAGCGGCAGCCTGAAGACGGCTCTATTTTAACTAATGCTCATTTGTTCATTATCTCCGAATCTGCCGTTCATTTGCCTTTATGCTTAATTTCCTGAGGCTATTCGTGTAGTTTGAACGGGGTTGACACGGCGGCACTCAGAGCGCCATCATGCGGATTGTCGAGATTATCATCGATGTGAGTCCATCGCTTGCCGATCGAGGACATTGACGGGTTGTGCGATGATTACTGACGGCTGTTTCTCCTATTAGGGCTTCAAATCGTACGCGGTGCGAACGGTGATTTCAGGATGGTATGTTCGATATCCAAGCGCCAGCGATTACTCTTGCAGCCAGGCCCTAGGGCCTTCATCCTCAATAATTACTAAGTTCTATTGTAGGGATGAATCATTTAACTCAATTACGGGCCTCAACGGTAGTGGAAAGTCTAACATCCTCGATGCAATATGTTTCGTTCTCGGAATCACAAATATGAGCACTGTCCGAGCTCAAAACCTTCAAGATCTCATCTACAAGCGCGGCCAGGCGGGTGTAACGAAAGCGAGTGTTACTATTGTCTTTGACAATCGCGACAAGACCAAATCGCCGATCGGCTTTGAGGAATATGCCAGTATCTCGGTGACTCGTCAGATCGTCTTGGGTGGAACGAGCAAATATTTGATAAACGGACATAGAGCCCAGCAGCAAACCGTGCAGAATCTATTTCAAAGCGTGCAGCTTAATATCAATAATCCGAACTTTTTGATCATGCAGGGACGGATTACAAAGGTGCTGAATATGAAACCTGTCGAGATTTTGTCTATGATTGAAGAGGCCGCTGGGACCCGGATGTTTGAAGATAGAAAGGAAAAGGCAGGCAAGACGATGGCCAAGAAGGAGATGAAAGTGCGCGAAATCGAGGGATTGTTGAAGGAGGAAATCGAGCCCAAATTGGAGAAGCTTAGAGGCGAGAAGAGAGCTTTCCTTGATTTTCAGCAGACTCAAAGCGACCTCGAGCGACTGACAAGGCTTGTTGTTGCGCATGATTATTTGAGAAATGGTGAGCGGTTACGAGTAGCGGGTGAAGAGCTGGAAAACAAGCGACGTAAGATTGAAGAACTGGAATCCAACACTGCTCGACTGAAGAGTGAAATCGCAAACCTCGAGGAAGACGTGAGCAAAGTTAAGGCAGCCCGAGACAAAGAACTCCGGAAAGGAGGTAAATTTCAAGCATTGGAGGACGAAGTGAAAAACCACTCCCATGAGATGGTCAGATTATCTACCCAGGCCGATCTGAAGAAATCCAGCATGGCTGAAGAGTCAAAGAAACGAGAGGATGCCCAGAAAGCAGTGCAAGAAGTGCAAACTTTGCTAAAAGAGAAGAAGAAGATATATGACAAGTTACAGGCGCAGTATGACGCAGCCAAGGCAGAGCTTGATGCGCAAACTGCGGAGGTTGAACAGAAAGAGGAACTTCTCCAAACTCTACAGACCGGGGTGGCATCGAAGGAAGGCCAGGAAAATGGATACCAAGGTCAACTACAGGACGCACGCAACCGTGTCAGTGCCGCCGCCACAGAACAAGAACAATCCAAACTTAAAATCGCTCATTTAGAAAAACGTATCAAAGAGGAGGAGCCACGGGCGAAGAAAGCTATGGAGCAGAATTCGGGCTTACTCAAGGACCTCGATAACCTCAAAAAACATGCGCAAAAGCTGGAAGCGAATCTTGCAAAGCAAGGTTTCGAGCCGGGTAGAGAGGAAAAGATGTACCAGGAAGAGGCAACACTACAAAAAGAAATCCGTGACTTGCGTGGCCAAGCCGATTCTTTAAAGCGAAAAGTTGCCAACATTGATTTTGCTTATGCTGACCCATATCCCAATTTTGACCGGTCGAAAGTGAAGGGTTTAGTTGCTCAGCTGTTCACGTTAGATAAAGATAAGTCGGAAGCTGGAACTGCACTCGAGATCTGCGCTGGTGGGCGCTTGTACAATGTTGTCGTGGACACGGCGGAAACCGGTACAGCTCTCTTACAAAACGGCAAGCTCCGAAAGCGAGTAACCATAATCCCGCTGAATAAGATCGCTGCATTCAAAGCATCAGCCGAGAAGATTGGCGCTGCGAAGGAGATTGCCCCAGGCAAGGTCGATCTTGCGTTGTCCCTGATTGGATATGATGACGAAGTAGCAGCTGCCATGCAGTATGTCTTCGGTTCAACACTCATATGTCAGGATGCGGATACCGCCAAAAGAGTGACGTTCGATCCATCAGTGCGCCTGAAGAGCGTAACATTAGAGGGTGATGTCTATGACCCATCAGGAACACTCTCCGGAGGTAGCTCCCCAAATTCAAGTGGCGTCCTCCTTGTTTTGCAAAAATTGAACGAAGTAATGTCTGAATTAAACCACAAAGAACGAACTCTTCGTTTCCTCCGGGATACAATGGCAAAGGAGAAGAAGAGAATGGACTCTGCCAGGGCAACGAAACAGGAACTCGACCTAAAACTTCACGAGATAAAACTCGCTGAAGAACAAATCAACGGAAATTCTTCATCTTCGGTAAGACTGATGCAGTTTTCATGTCAGGGCTGACGGCTAATATCTCCCAGATCATTCATACCGTGGAAGAAATGCGGACAAACATAGAACAGCTTAAAAAGAATATTGCGGAAGCTCAGGCCCGACATGCTGAAGCAACAAAAGATGTCAAAAGAATTGAAAAGGATATGGCTGAGTTTAACGACAATAAGGATAGCAAATTGGCAGAGCTACAAGCATCCTTGGATGGCTTGAAGAAGAAACTGGGCAAAAGCTCCATCTCAGTTAAAACGTTACAGAAAGAACTTCAGGCATCACAGATTGACTCTGAACAAGCAGGGAGTGACTTGACAACTGCAGAAGAACAATTGGCCGAGGCGGACGCAGCGTTGAAGGCCCAAATGGAGGAGGTTGAGGAGATAAAGCGGGAGCAAAAACGGTGCAAGGTTCGTATCCAATGCGTGTCAAATAAGGCCATTGTTGCTAACTATGCCCAGGACGCTCATGATTATGCACAAGCACGACTTGAGGACGAACAAGCAAAACTTACAAGATTTGATGACGAGCTGCGTGATCTCGAAGAAGCCAAACGGTCCAAGGCGGCGAGAATCACAGAAGACGGCTTAGAGCTTCAAAGGCTTGGGCATCAGCTTGAAAAGCTCCAAAAGGACCAGAACAATGCCGCACAGTCGGTGGCTAATATGGAAAGCGAATATGAATGGATTGAGGAAGAGAGGGATAATTTTGGACGCCCGAATACGCCTTATGACTTTAAGGGGCAAAATATTGCCGAGTGCAAGGCCTCTTTGCGCAACCTTACCGAACGCTTCCAGGGAATGAAGAAGAAAATCAACCCCAAGGTCATGAATATGATTGATAGCGTAGAAAAGAAGGAAGCTTCGCTAAAAAACATGATGAAGACGGTTATCCGGGATAAGAGAAAAATTGAAGAGACAATTGTCACTTTAGACGAATACAAGAAGGAAGCGTTGCAAAAGACTTGGGCCAAAGTTAACGCAGACTTTGGCCAAATTTTCGCGGATCTACTTCCGGGCAGTTTTGCAAAACTTGACCCACCCGAGGGCAAGGAGATTACAGACGGCTTGGAGTTCAAAGTGAGCTTAGGAAAGGTGTGGAAGCAAAGCTTGACAGAACTGAGCGGAGGTCAACGGTAGGTCCACCTTTGCCATCGACTTGAACCGGTTGAGTTCGGCTGACCGTCTTATAGATCGCTGATAGCCATCTCACTGATCATGGCTTTGCTCCAGTTCAAGCCCGCACCAATGTACATCCTGGATGAGGTTGATGCCGCGCTTGACCTGTCTCACACACAGAATATCGGCCGATTGATCAAAACTCGATTCAAAGGATCTCAGTTCATCGTGGTCAGTCTGAAAGACGGAATGTTCCAGAATGCGAATAGGATCTTTAGAACGAGATTTAGTGAAGGCACTAGTGTGGTTCAAGCGCTGACACCGGCAGACTTGAAGTAAGTTGTTTCGAGGGCGTTGGGTAGGCGGGAGCATGGATGGCCCTGTGTTCGGTACCTACGGCCTTCGTGGCGGGCGATATGGCGATGTTTGTAAATGGCGTTCAAAGACCATGATGGTTTCATGATTGTGTTGGGATTAGAATTCTTGGATAGCGGGCATGTAGTCTTCTTTCACGAATAGCACATTTTATTTATATTGTACTTAGAAATAACTCCCCCACTGGTATGCTGCGTGGAACGTTCGGTTCAAGATTGCTTAATTTCTGCATCGAGGAGCTTGTTGCTGGTGGCGGCGTTGGCCGGTTGCCGCCAAATTTCTGCCACCGAGCCACCCGCCAGTTTGCACTTCGTCCAGCTATCAACTCCGCCGTCCAAGATAATCACGCGCCGGTCCTGCTTGCACCTTGTTAGGTTTCTCCTTTGTTTCCCTCGTTCTGCTAACTCCGTATTTTGATGCGATTCTTCTTCTATGCTTCTATGCTTTTCTGCTTTTATTAGCTAGTTAGCTCCTGGTTGTTCTCACCCCGCGAATCTCATCCCGTTGACGAAGTACAGCAGCACTCAGAGCTGGTTGGCTTCAGTTCCCTCTTCCACCTAAACGGACTTTTCTACCCCCTGGATTCATCGTTGGATTTGCCAACCCCATCATACATGGCCGAAGTCGAGCCATCCCTAAATATCCCTTCCCTCCTCACTCTCGCGGTTGTATCGTTCTTCGTCATCCGATGGTTTTTCTCACGGCCTGGAGACGGGAATGGGGACAGTTCGGACTCGAGCAGAGGCACCCGCCCGCGGGTCGACCCTGCGCAGGTTGAGCAGATTGCGCAGATGTTTCCACAGTTGAGCCGGAGGGAAATCATGTGGGATCTACAGCGGAACGGAGGCAGTGTGGCCGCCACGACAGAAAGGGTGTTAGCTGGACTGGGATTAGAAACTGTAAGTAGAGGAAAATACATATAAATGTTTGGATATCGCGATTGTTTTGAATGCTAGGCTGATACTTCCTCTCTCCCTGGTGATTTCTTTTAGCCTCCTCCTTATTTTCAGCCAAATATTGTTGCATCTCCAAGTCCTGGAAGCACAGCTGCTTCAACGTCACCAGCCCCATCCAAACCGCCTGTGGATGATCTCATTTCTCGATATAACCTGAGTTCGCGACTTCAGGAAGAAGTCTCCGGGAGTACGACCGGTGTGGATACCGGCTCTGACACGATCATGCGATCGGAAAGTACTTGGTCACAAAACAAAATGGAGCGGCAACGGCTTTTACAGAAACGCAGGGATGACATGATTCTAGCGGCAAGAAGGAAGATGTTGGAGAAAGATCGCGTAGCCGGTCAATTATAACAAAGGGTATTCGCCAATTGAAAAGGGAGTTTGTCTCTTGCCTCAGGCTCTCTATAGGACTGATACGCTCGCAGTCCCGCCTGACGAAGAAAAGGCTCGACTCCTCACAATTTTCTACATGAATAATATTTTGTTGGCCCCCGTATGGTTTCGAGCCATCATCAGATTTCACATTATTGACATAGTTTTTTTTGATGTTTCTTTGTGTCTTCGAACTATAGAGATCAGGGATTGGGTGCGCATGTCCCCAGCCAGTGACTCACGGTCCTGCACGATAGCTGATCCTGCTTATGTCTGCCGAACAGCTACCACGAGATATCAAATCTTCTGAAAACGAGGCTTTCGCTATCTACCAACATTAACTCAAAGCAGGAATCCTTTCTCGACTCCCCAATACCTTTCAAGCTCGCCCTTTTCCATCCTGGTTTGTATCGCTCAAACCTGACAATATCAGAAATACTCGATCTTCCGGGTTTAGGAATACTCAAAGATTCGCTTAGATTTTGGTTGTCGCGCGTATATAGCCGTACCACCTTTGAGAATGTTTTGTTTTTGCTCCGGATCTTCTCTGTGACGCTTTTCGATCCTAAAAGCATAAGCTATAGCTGTAGTCCACCTTGTAAATATAGAGTGAAAGAGAGAAGGTTCTCTGGGATTGCGCGTAAGCTCTAGTGCCGAAGAGTTTATAAAGTCTTCAAGCTGGGTCTCTATGTAGCAGTGCCTATCTACTGTCCCAGCTTTAATCGATCGCCAGCCGGACTTCAATTGAATGGGTGGCTGTATCCCCCCGAGGCGAGAAATTTCTTCCGATAAGGTCGCAATACCTAATGGGTGATCTTGAGAAATGCTGTTGGTGGACGCAATCGCATCCACCTTCTGTCCCTTGATGTCGTATTGTGTTTCGAAAATAAAGCGGAACGACCATGAGGCCTCATAATTCCATTTCATCATCTTCGTCATAGTCATTGCGCAAATCGTCACCTGCTTCTGCCTGCTCTCTCAACGCTTCCTCTTTCGAGGCGCCAATTTGTCTAGGCCAAGAGCAGTCAGCCGCATTTGATCCTGTGTAAATGGGGCAAGAATACATACCGCAATGTTTCAGCGGCACCCGACATAAAGCCTCTTGCTTCACCTATCTCCATCGCTCCCACACCGGTCAAAGGTAACCCTTCTCCACCACCGATAGCAGTGGCATCCACGTATTCCGTGAATTTTCTCATTTTCGCCATTCGTATTTCCCTAATGTCCCGTATTATGCGGCGTATTTGATCCGGTTCTACCAGGTCATCACTCGCCGTTTCGAGCAACATTGTCGCTAGCTCGAGCCAATGGTACGGTAGCCAAAGATTCCTCGGGGCCGTGGACTCGTCGTCCACTACATTCTGAAGCAAAAACGGTGCTGAGGGGATGTACCTTTGGCCATCTAGTGTACGTCTGGGGCCCGAGTGTCCGCTCCTACGGGCACCTCGCCGGGCGACACTTCCCGTATACGAAGCGCAATCGAGTGGAGGGGGTGGTAAAAACACGTCGTGGTCGGTTTCTGCTTTGAGGAACTCGGAGAGCCATTCAGTATTTAACCATGGAGGTGGGAGAATGTTTGCACGGCGCTGTCGCTTAAGGAGAAGGGCAAGCCAGAGCGGTAGGGAGCTGCGACGGGGCGGAATCAGAGGCTCCGTTGGTCCCTGGCACGAGAACATCAGTAACAGTCAAGCCTGGATTTGTACGTCTCAACCGATGTCTCCGGAATGAGGATCGGAGCCCATAGCTAACATTGGGTCCTCGTTGTGGCACCCACTGAATTCCATCGGTCAATCCCATAAGTATGTATGAACATACATACTTCGCACGGATCACAGCAAACGGCTCGAGAGAGCAGTAGGATAAAAACTCACACCAAGCAATTCAAGTCCTTCGAGACGCTGCCTCGGAACAACGGTCACCATTTCCATTTCACATAGGAAGGTGATTTCCGAAGGCGTGACGCCTCGAGGCAGAGGGAACGCCATGGGCAGCTCGGACTCCCTGTCGCGCTCCTTGGATCAGTTGACCGGCTTCTCTCTGTCTTGCGATTGCTGGGAGGGCGCGCGACGCTTATTCATCCACGCGCTAGAGTAGCACGGGATCTTCACCAAGACGGAATAGCACCCTATCGACACTGCACTCCGCTGTACACCCACGTCCACCCGGAGCTGCTCGTTGAGCATAATCCTCCGAGCATGCTGTGAGACATTCGGTTCAAGATCATGCTGGATTGCGTGTTGAACACCGAAAATGAGCATGCTATATCGAGCGCTTGGGTTTCTGACTGGCTTCAGCGTTCCTTGCAACGCTCCCGTCCAAACGGTCCTGCACAGGCCAAACGCCAGTGGCGCAGCACGACAACAGCCTTGGAGCTAACGAACGCTCCACGAATGACAAGATACGGGCCGTTCGTGAAGACGGTTGAAAGCATCCACAGGCTCCGTTTGGCAAATTGGCAATACGATGGACCCCCGTGGCTGGAGTAGCCATCATGCACAGAATTGAGCAGTGGGACCAATGGACGTGCGCGCTCTCGGCTTCACGGCAAGAAGTGAAAGCAGCTTTCCCCCAACCGTCTTTCCTCTCTGTCTGTGACTCGTCAGGGAGGCATGGGATGAAGATGCGGGCGCGCAAATTTCTCGGCCTTGTTACAGAATTAGCTACCCGCGAGAAAGGGCGGAATGTCCCGAATTCCAAATTCTTTTTCGAGCCGGGATGCCAGATCGTTCCCAGCAGCAACTCGTATTCCCACACGCCATCTCTGCGGGCCACAGGGGGCGTGCGGGGATTTGATCTGCGCGAATGGAGGCTCTGCACCAGGCATCAGGCTGCCCGTCGCTTGGGTGCCAATTAGCGCTATGACTTGACGACCCGGTCTCTTCCACGAGCCTGAAACTTGAACCTTTTGCTCCCTTTTATTTCAGTTGCTGCTTGTCATCCTCTCTGAACTTTGGTCACCATTCATCCGCGAAAAGTGCTTCTGGTATCAAACCATCGATACTAACGAGTTACCTTTCGGCCCTTGCCGTACACCCCAAAGCTCGCCGCAGCCATGAGAAAGCTGTTCGGTATCAAGAAGAAGGATGAGCGCTCCTCCCGCCATTCTCTAGCAGGTCCCCCGCCGTCGAGCTTCAATCCCCAAGCAAATTCATACGCATCTACAACTCCAGCGCAACAATTTACCCCCGGTTCACAACCATTTCACCAACCACAGACACCACAACAGTATGCTCCAAATCGACATTCATATGCACCGCCTTCCCAGCAGCAAAACCAGTATCAACCGCCGATTCAGTCTCAACCAGCCCAGGCTAGACCGGGGGAACCATTCCGTTCCCAAGGCGATGATCTTTCACAAAGAGGCGATTATAACGGTGCTGCTGTGATGTATGAGGCAGCCTTGCGTGTTGCACCTAATGATATAAGCTTGCTTCTGAGCAGGACTATGGCTCTTTCAATGACAAATCCACCAAGGTTGGATTTGGCGCTAAAGGATGCCGACACGGTCATTCAGCTCGATCCAAGGTCGTGGCAAGGCTGGTTGGAGAAAGGAAGGATATTGTCGAGAATGGGTGACTTGCAAGCCGCGGAAGAAGCCTTGACAAATGCTGTTGGATTCGCTTCGGATTACGGTCGGAATGTTGCACAGAGTGCTCTGGCAGATGTGCGGGCTCGTCGAGCACAATTTTCTGCAACAACGACGACAACGTCATCTCCAGCCTTAACGTCCACGAACACCACGCCCCCGACGTTTTCGTCCCCGCCAGCTCCTCCTCCTCCTCCGCCATTGATTGATGTGACAGCGCCCACCGAAAGCACGACAACTAATCTTCCGTTGCGTCCCGCGCAAACTCCGCAGCCAACCACCACCTCAACAGCGGCTCTGAGCAGCGCGAGTCCTGCGCAAACAACTCAGCAACCTAGCGCCCCAACGCTCCAGCCAATAAATGCAAATTCCGCATGGACTCCTTCTTCTCCCGGGCGTGCTACAACCCCGCGTCCAAACGGTAAGTTCAATATTCATATTTAACATGGCCAACGCTTTCCCTGACCTTGGATATAATAGTCCCAAATGAATCATCGAGCAATACCACAAGTCAATCAGCAAGGACGAATACTGTTAATCGCCCTGCAAATAACTCACACATGAATCCGGGCTTCAATGATCTCTTAAACTGGGCGGAGAACACACCATCAGAAGCTCCTCCTGCCTACAGCCGAAATTTGAGCGATCCCGCGCAACTCCAGAGGCAGATGGATGAGTTGACAGTAGCTCTCAGGCAGAAGAATAAAGGTGCTCTATCTATTAGCCCTTACACCTTATCCGGGAATATCGACGCCATACGCCTTTTGTATATGGGGTTAGCCCAAGCGGACCTCACTCCGAGGGAATATGGAGCTCCAACGTATCTCCATCCAAGCTACAGTAGGTTCATGTCATCTCTATAGCACTCTATATCACTGACTGTTTTGTTTGCAGGTATGATGGCAGTCGGAAGTGTTAGTTACCCAGGAAGCACATTTCTGGATATGGATTGCGAAACATCTGGTTTCTATGAGGGAAAGTATCCAGCAACAATCACCATCAGTGGCTATTCAGAGGAATACAGAGCCCATCAACTTTTGCAACAACCCATCCTTAAGCTCAGCCTCGAAAGTGAGCATCTATACCCAGAGGTCCCACTGGGAAAGGTTGTTGAGCGCCTCCGAAAGCTGAGGAACCAGCCATCCCTGGAAGACGATGAGGGACTGAAAAATCTCCTTAACTTGTCGCAGTAAGCACCATTATCTTTGCCGTTCTATTTTCTTTTTTTGCTCACCCTAAGTAGGACAGCTCTTGCGCGGTCCGGATTCCAGGCTGGTGGATCGCGGCAAACTCGAATTTCGTTCCTATGCATGACGCTCACGCGCAGCCTTCACGACGCTTCCACTAGGTTCATCGATACTTCCAAGGAGCGATTTTTTTGCAATCACATTTTCAACCCCGCTACAACCGGAATTGGGATGAGAAATTTCCTTTTCCAAATGTTGATTGGTGCAGAGATCCTCATCCGTCTCAGAAAAGAGACCACGGTGACGAACTATGCTGGAATCGTTACCGACCCGATTTCAGCAACGATTGTACTGGCGGCATTATGGATGGAGAACGTCGTGATTCAAGGTCCCAAAGCTGTAAGTGACTGTGAAGATGAATGTGTTACTTTGGGCAAAGAAATCATCATGTTAACTATCGCCTACGTAGGGAGTGAAAGAAGACGAGGCTAAAGCTTGGTCTCTATACGCAAGCCAGAACCAACGTCAAGCTGAGGCCCTCATTCGATTTGCAGAGGCAATGGAATGGCCCTACATGGACGAATTCCGGAGCTTTATCGAAGGTGCTTATGATGAAATTATCTCCGCCAAACCCGTTCCGAGCTGGGATATTTACGATTGGCTCTACGGACTCGTTTTACCCGGTAAAATCTACAGGCACCGCGTCATGTCGTGTCTTGTTCATTCGTCAGCTACAATTAAATCATTCAGCTCAGCGCCATACTGGGATAACGGAATTATTGTAAAGGACAAAAGCTATTGGCCTCGAAGAACGGTTCTGGGTAGAGTTTTAGGTGGCCTGAAAGACGTCAAGAGTGTGTGCGGCTGGATTGGTCCGGCGCCTGCTCCCGTTGGAAATCTCAGCGGCTGGATTCGACTCAAGACACGCAACGTTTCTATTCCCGTGCCAGTGAGCACAGGCGCTAACAACCGAAGCGTCTTCCAAAGCCTGGGATTTGAAGAGCCTGATGGGAGGACAGAGAGTGTCCAGTCGTTCTTGAAGTCCTTCACAGACCCTGACGAATGGATAGAGGCACCGAGTCCAACTCCTCCCAGGCCATACGGAGCGTTGGCTCGGGTGAAGTTCAAGGATATCCAACTGACCCTTCTACCAAACCCCGCGGCAGCTTCGACCACGCGGTCCGATCTACCGCCCGAGGAATATCGTGCCTCGCTTGATTTCGAGGTTGACGGACGCAAAGTCACATGTACTCTCTACTCGAACCCTGTTTTCGTTGCGGCACCTCCATGCGTAGGCTCCCATGTTATCCATAAGCGCCAGGCAGATAAGTACCAGAAGAATGTTATCAAGGCTGCTGACATCAAAAACAAATATCCCCCTGCAAATCAGCTTATTGTTATCGACGCTATGGGCCCAGATGAGGAGGTTTTTGCAAGAGCCTGGTGTGCAGAGACTGGCCGACACGCACTCGTCAGGAAGGGAGACGACTGCTGCTATCCGTGTGCGGTATCCGTCGCCACCGAAAGAACTGGCTTGGGTATTAATGTGGTGATTATGTGTTAGTGAGCCTTTTGTTCTCAGCTTTTGATTATGTAGCTATTCTATGGTTCCTTTTTGGTTGTTCTGATAAGTTGGCTGCTTAATTCCCAAATGGAGCTGGAAATATACCATACATTGCTGTTTTGTGTGTTTTACCTTAAGTGAATTGGAAGCCCCTAAAATGGTCACTAGACCGTAAGCCAGTTCTGACCGCGACGCCTGAGCAGATGGTCTCTTGTTAATGGGGCGGGAGAGTAAAAAAAGAGAGATCATACCGTGTTGATACAATGGTTGCAAGTTTGCATGAACCCAGTGCGATTTGAACGCACAACCGTCAGATCTGGAGTCTGACGCGCTACCGTTGCGCCATAGGTCCTGATTGGTGGCTCTGTCGCTGGAAAGGGATATTGGGAATTTTCTTCAAAATATGCGAGGATTTTGAATGTGGGAGCCGAACCAGCCAATAGGAATCTGTGTTTGGCAATGTGGATGGTGCTCGGGGGTAATTTCCATGGGGTGAAGCCAAAATGTCTATGGGGTTCGATGGATCAAAGAAGGCTCCGGATCTCAGTTCGTTCCGTCATGGAGCCCCGGTGGTATACTCCGTACAAGCCAGAATCTTTCTCATCGCCCCATTCTTTACCCTATTTAGGCAGCACAAGTTCTCTACTATTGTATGTCCTACTGCATCCGATCTATTCTTCACCGTTCAATCACGAAATATTCGCGTGTCTCCCTGTTACTTCCACTTACTATTTACTAGGAAATATGCTATTTATTTGATTGTTAAGCTAGCTTGGATCTTGGATGTGGTTGAATTTATATATTGAGAGACTTCTCCTCTCAGCACTGGCCGGAGCCTAGAAGGCAGTTTCAAGCCACTAACTAGTCTCTATGTAGTTAGCCTCCAGTTTTTGGCTCAGATCTTCTTTAATCTGATGCAGTGTCTTCTTCTTCTCAGGTCTCATCCCAGCTCTTAGGAGGAGCAAGCTTAGAAGAGCACTGAATGCAGTGGGGTTCTGTGGTTCCTTTAGCTTCCGTACATGCTTACTTAGTAGGCTAGTAGGCCCTCCGAGAAAAAGTCTTTGAGTCAAGATACCAAGTCGTCGCAAAACTTGGGTTTGGCGCTGCCTCAATGATATGGTTGTGTCGCGATCTTCAGTATGGCTACTATTGAAAGGACTCTACCAGCTAATGCGTAGATAACTATGGTAGCAGAGAGCAACGATGCTTGACTCCCAAGGTCCATGTCTGGAATCGGAAGCAAAACCCAGAAGTTGAAATTTGCAGCTTATCTCAAAAGTACTGAAGAGGTTCATAGGTGGCGAGAAATACGTTCGGCATGCCGTTCACTCTTTTCACCTCAATAGACCACACGCGGTCTATCCTTGCCTTTTGTATGAGCCAGCTGGTACTCTGTACAGCAAAGAGAGAAGACTACTCCGTACTGGTGATCCAGCTCCCATGCCACGGCCGGCCAAGGAGGCGGGTAAACTCGTTAAACTAACTAGCAAGTTAACCAAGGTTGTGCCAAGATGACCCATGGAAAGCATGATTGGAGGCCACAAGTCAGATTCCTGAGGCAAAACAAAATCACCTCAAAGCTGAAAAGGAGGCTCAACAAAATCTTGATGTTAAGGCACTCCCAAAAACTTATTGGCCCAGGTCAAAATAAAGACTCTATTTTGTCTCCATGAACTATCAACCCTCCTGTTTTAAGTCTCTCCTGTGCTCTGAAGATGACAGGGGGAAGGCCTCACAGGCATAGAACACTGGTCAAGCCAACACGCTTGACAGCTCTCATCTTATCGACATGCATATCTTACTGGTTATATAAGGTCAACACAATCGTGCCTGATCCATACCTGGATGAAGTCTTTCATGTCAGACAGGCACAAGCGTATTGGAGGCATCAGTGGAGAGAATGGGATCCGAAGATTACAACACCACCGGGATTGTATCTACTTTCCTATGTCGTCGCGGCATTAGGATTTGTGATATCTCGCAAACCAGCAGTTCTGACTGCTGCTTATCTTCGATGCGCGAATGGATTTATTCTGCTTAACATTCTACCGATTGTGTTGAAGAGATTGATGAAGCATGTACGAGGATCATCAGGAGCCAAAAAGGGGGTTTCGGCGGAGCGGCAGTCAGGCTGGGAATTTACTATAGTAGCGTTGAATATCTGCCTATTTCCGCCGATATTTTTCTTTTCTGGCCTTTATTATACGGATCTGGCCTCGCTACTCATCGTGCTGGAGGTTTATCGTCGGGATTTGGAGAGTGCTAATGGAGCACATTTAAATTCCCAAAACGCCTTGTCCTCGCATCACTCCATCCTGCTCTTCCTTTTTGGCCTGGTGTCCCTGTTATTTCGCCAGACGAATATATTTTGGTCAGCAGTATTCCTAGGTGGATTGCAAGTCGTCAAGATGCTACATTCTTTGAGCGTAGACGCCCATTCCTCTGACATCACATCAATTATGAAGTCGAGCTGGGGCCTTCGACAAGTTTACGATCCACTGGTTAGAGAGGCATTTTTTGAAGGTACGGTGTGTGGGCAATTTTCCATATGCCGATTTACCCACTTCGTGTTCGGTGCTGATGATGTGGCTATAGACTATCTCAAGGCTTGTCTATCAATCGGAATCGCCGCAGCGGTGAATACTCGCGTCATCTTCGTTGCATTTTTACCATACATCAGTCTCCTTGGTGCATTCGGGATGTTTGTTCTTTGGAATGGCAGTGTGGTTCTTGGTTCGTATTGTACTTCTAGAGGTAACATTAGGCTTGATACTGACTTCCACGTGCAGGTCATAAAGAATTCCACACAGCCGGGCTGCATGTCCCTCAGATGCTGTACATCTGGGCCTACTTTATGTTCTTTTCCTGGCCGGTTATGGTCGCGCCATGGGTTCTAGCTCTGCAGAGAGCTTTCAGCTCTAAAAATGGCATGCGTGAACTCGTCAAAAGCCTCCCTCGACTTAGCATTGCGGCGTGTTTCGTTGTGATGATGCTCCTAGCGGTCCATTTCAACACCATTGTTCACCCCTTTACTCTTGCCGATAACCGCCATTATGTATTTTACGTTTTCCGGATGCTACTTCGAAAGCCGTTCATCAAGTATGCTGTCACTCCGGTATATTTTCTCTGTGGTTGGGCCTCCATCTCAGCTTTCGGCGCAGGAACTTCAACTGCAGCAGAACACCAGCCTGGTCCAGCCCCTATGAAGTACAAAAAGGCCGTTGGTCCAGCATTAACAGAAGGCACAGCTGACTCTCCGAATTCCCTGCACTCTAAGCGTGATGACCCAACTGATGGAGTCCGAGTCAGCTTTGTGATCGTGTGGCTCGCATCAACAACTCTTTGCCTAATTACCGCACCTCTCGTTGAGCCACGGTATTTTATCATTCCTTGGGTCTTATGGCGGTTACATATCCCCTCATCGATATATTCGCTGCAACTAAGCCGAAGCGACAACATCAATGCATCCTCCAACGAGGCGAGCAAGCAGCTCATCCGATACTTACCTCTGATAATCGAGGGAGTATGGTTCTTGATAGTAAACGCGGTGACAGGGTACATGTTTTTATACAGAGGGTTTGAATGGCCGCAAGAGCCGGGAAAGGTGCAGCGATTTATGTGGTAAGAAGAGGAAGCATTGGAAAATGATTGATGCTCCCTCGAGGACAGCACCGAAGGTGGATAAACTCCAGGCCTGTCGACGTCTTCGAAGGAGTTCGGACATCTGTCATAGGTTCTTGTCTTCATCTTTCCATCCCCGGCGACTACTCTTGAGATGGGGAAAGGGGAAAAAGGGATATGCCCATTTGAATGAGCTGTTAGAGCTACCTCATAATATAGCTAAGTACGGAGTAGCGAAGAGGGAATCCGGATTTTCCCTCAGTACTACGTATCTGCTAGCCCAGTGGCGCTAGAGACACGAAGTAGGCCTGCTGGAAGAGTTCATCGCCCTGACAGGCTAAAAGGGAGGAGGGAAGCCAGTTAAAGCCGCTAATGATATGTAGCAAGGTCCGGATCAAAGCTGCTCTGTCATTCTATTCTCTAAAGTAAACCACAATCCCCTCATTTATTTGCCTATTGTTGAACTGCTGGTAGAAATCACACTGTATCTAGACTTCACGACTATTATAATCTTAGTACTACAAGCCACTAAATGCATAACTAGTTAATATATGGGAGACTGGGACGCAAAGGGGCAAAGATTTGCACTTCCCTGGTGTTTTACTCTATGAGCATGAGAACTCTCTCTGATTTTTTTCAGATGCGTATCACTCAGCTAAGAAACGAAATCAATTGTGGACGGAGGGAGTGACTATTTTGAGGCCATGAAATATTTTACACTAATCCAGGACATTGTGATGACTAGCTAGTCATGCTTCAGCCCTGATTACGCACACAGGCTATTTTAATTTCGATTCATGAGGTGCCGTATCCTACCAGGAGAGTGATTTGATCAGAGTGTTAAAATCACTGGGAAAAGTTTGACGGAAGAGTTTGTCCTGAATGACAAGCACTGCACTCCTGGCCATCAGGAATGTTGGTTTCTGTCTGCATTTCAGCAGCGATTCACCATAAGGCCGGGTTATTGTGTACTGTCGAGAAAGGGCAGATGCTATACTTCCCGTTGCAGGGATAGATGATAAGTCAGGTCTCGGGAGATGCGTGATTGGTGTGACGGTGGTCAGGAGTATCTCCCAGGAATCATGAAGCTGGAGCTCTGTTCTTGAGAACCCGATATCATCAAATTTTCTGACACACTCTCTTGCATTTGCAATAGACTGGTGTCCGACTGCACAGAGTAGCGGCATGTTTGTACCTAGTCCCCGTAGACATCACGCCAACGCGAGAAAGTGACTCTTCAGCCATGGGATGTGCCAGCACAAATCAAGAGCTCGAGTATCGAGACTCCAGAGTGCTACATGATAAACGAGGGGAAGAGTGTCATTCTAACACGGCCTTGGCATTTCAAGGCACAAGGGCAATCCAACCGGTATTCGCATTTAGCATATGTGCCGGTGAAATAAAAAATAAAATTTATTGTGTATACTTGATAGACATGGATATGTCTCCAGTCGAGTGGGTGGCTGGTGGGGAATCATGCGATGACGGAGAAGGGTGAACCAGAACGGCGAGGATGGTGAGGGATTGAGCGGCTAGCTCCTTGCGATAACTCACTCAGAAGAGGAAGATGCGTAGTCCCCAAGGACTGACTATGTGACTGTCCTCCAGATAGCTGTTGGCCTGTATGTTTAATAGAAGTCCCATAGCAGGTTGTAGTATTCGAGCTGCGGGATATCAGCGCATGAAGTCGACCTTGTCTCGGTGATGGGCCGACCACTCGGGCGTCGGGGAATTCGACCTTTGTTCCTGACGCCCGAAAAATGACCGCAAGCCCGCTAAACCGCATTGGGCCATCCTTGACGGCTGTTGGCCGAAGACGATCCCGATTCGCTCGCGCATCTCTGTTGAATCTGGAGACGGTAACAGCCGCTGCAGGGCTGTTGAGGGTCATTCGGAAGATAAGGGCGCAAATGCCGGCGTAACGAGATTTAGGGCTCCAATCTCTTTTATATAAACCCGGCGTCCGTTTACATCCTCGCCCGCCCCGGATCATGCAATAACACACAACAACAGCCATCCACAGCGCTCTGCCCAGGCAACACCATTGCTCCCCCCTTTCATCGCGTCGCAGATCGCATTTCCTACTCTAGCGGGTTCCCTAGCCATGGCTACCGTACGCTCTTCCACTCTCTCCCCGCTATTGCGGTCACAATTCACAAAACCACTCACTGCAACAACAACGCCGACATCAATCCAATCTCGAGCCTTCAACTTACCCTCCCTCTCCTCCTTCGCACCACAGCTCTCCACACCACCTCCGCGCTCCCTCTCCGCCACGCGAACCCTCTCATTCCCACCCCTCCCGCTTTTCCGCATCATCTCCGCTGTTGAATCATACCGCGACTTCCTCCCTTTCCTTACCGCATCCACCGTCACGGCTCGCGACCGCGCAACCGGCTATCCCACCCAAGCCTACCTCACTGTCGGATATGGCCCTCTAAGCGAAACTTTCCATTCCAAAGTCGAGTGCGACGAGGCGAAGTGGACGGTGGGCGCGCGGAGCGGAGACATCGCATTCCAGCGCAAGGGCGAGGAGGGCAAGGACGGCGGCCTGTTTGAGTATCTGGATACGATATGGAAACTGGAGCCGCTGGAAGGGAGAGCTGTGGGCATGGAGATGACGAGGGTGGATTTGGCGGTGAATTTCCGGTTTAGGAATGCGATGCATGCGGCGATGATGAGTGCGGTGGAGAATCAGGTTGCTGGGATGATGATAGAGGCGTTTGAGAAGAGGGTGATGGATGTGGAGCGGCGGAAGTGAAACTTTTTCATACGAAAAGTGTGAAGCGTGGGAATTTTCGTGTCGTTATATCCATATTTTGCTGGGAGCTTTTTGGGAAATTAGGGAGCCATTTTGTTAGAACTGTAGCCTGGCTTATTATACCTTTTCTTTTCTTTTCTTTTTTCTTTTTCTTTTTTTTTTTCTTTTGGATCAGATATAGAGGGTCACTCTCTAAAAGAATCTATACATTTATAGATACAGTAAACCTGAGTACGATGCATTTGACCAAGAGGAAAGATAAAAAAGACACAGATTTATATAATACATCGCTGAGAACGGTTAATCATCAGGTCAAAACTTGCATGTTCAGGAGTAATAGGGCGCATGGCTCCGTGACCGCTTGGAGCTCAGTACAGACTCTGGTCCAACCTGATTGTAATTTTGGAATACCTCGTCCCAATTGATCCTGTCCCACCATTTCTCAAGGTAACCGGGCTTACCACCAATGCCCCAGTCTCGGAGCCAAACATGCTCCCAGGTGTTCACGCAGAGGATGGGATGAATGTCGGCACCGCCGGGAGCCAAAACCTTGCTCTTTGAATACGGTCCCATCGCACCGAATGTTCTTGTTGCTAATTTACTAGCAACTTGGGGGTTTTCACCTCCGGCAACTCCGGTTGTTTGGGTTGCCATATCGACAGACTGACGACGGAAATGCGCTCCGGGATAAGGAGAGCCGGCGATGTAGGTGCAGAGAATCTTCAGTTCCGCGGTATCCTTAACCTTGACCAACCACACAAATCCTGGACCAAACATAGCGTTGGCGGTTGCGAGGAATTCCGCTTTGAGTGAGTCCAGGGAGGAGCATGATTCGTCGATAGCTTCTTCGAGTTTCTGAGGAATGGCGACGGGTTCGGGGGACTATGGTAGGAGCCAAGTTAGATCGAAGGCTGAGGATTACAGACATAGAATGTTGCCGGGCTACTCACAATGCAGTTGAAAAAGAAATGGTTGTTATGTGCCATCGAGGCATAGTTGAAGAGCGACGCCATACTGGCATCTCGGGCGTATTTGAGCAGGAGCGATCCTGCCGGCAGACTCTCGTCGGGCGTTCCTATGAGTTCGAATTAGGGCCTCTTTCGCTTCTGATAGGGTTGGGTGTCCGCGAGTACACGCAAGATATTGCGAAGGCAGGCTCACGTACCAGCCGTCAACAAGTTCAATTTGTCCACCACCATGCCTTGATATTGGGTCCAGGCCATATCGTAGCCCTCTGGCGATAATAACTCTGAAACGCCATTTTCTCTGAAGGTGGCATCGTACATCAACGTCGGGACGCTGTGGACACCTCGAGCATGGGATTGCGATAGGAATGTCTGGTGAGGGAGCTTTGTTAGCGTCTCACGAACTGAGCGGGCGATTGGGGGCTGAAAACCGACTTTAGTTGAAGATACGGCGCGCAGACCGAGCTGCGGCCGTAATAGCCTTTGGAATATCATGAAGAACCAACTTGGATCATCGCCCACGGACTCCCAGCCGGATCCTCGAAGGCAGCGAGGGCGAACTCGACGCTCTTGGGCGGCCGAGAATTTCTTCGATGCCAAGACCTGACTAGCCGCTCTAGGACTAGCCTGAATGTTTCAAGCTCTGGCCAATCAGCATGCGTGGATTGACACCCGCCGCCCTCGCTTGACACGCTTCCCAATTTAGCAGCGCGGCGGAAACACAACGCCGTCGCCTGCAGTCCAACCATTCCACCCGGCGCTGCTGCACGCTCGACAGCCGCCCGTCCCCTCGAACCCCGTCAAACTCTTCAGGCTGTTCCTAGCGTCTGGCTTTTGATTCAGACTCACGATTCAGTGGCTCTCACGCTCCGTCTCCGTCACCATGGCCCGAAATAGCCTGTTCGCGGTTGCAGACGATGTTTCCTTCAGCAAGGAGCTTCGAAGTGACGAGCTCTTGTGTCATGGATGTTGTCCCATCCACTTTATATTGAATACCTTCCTTTCTCCCCCTCGTTACTCGAGGTTGCTTTTGCTTTCTGCTTAACAATGAAGTTCTGTGCAATTGAGCTCGCAGACCATTGTTAATGCTTGTTTTTCCGTTCTTCATACATCATATGTTCAACCTGAAGGACATCTCCTTACAGTACAGAGCATGCCATCTTAGTTTTATTCAATTGAGTCTTGAGAGTTGACCTCGACTTGAGGAACAAATAATCTGCTCCTCCCGCTTTATCCGTATCTCGTTTCCCTATTTTACTTCAGCCTCAGCCCATGAAATGCGGCAATCAAAGTTCATGCTCATATGCACCCTTCAATCGCTTCTCATAACCGCTCATTGTGCGTCTATATCAGGTCTTGCCTTCGATATCTTGCCACGAGATACCGAATCTTGTGCGGAGCCAAATTTATCTAGATGTCCTGACGAAAAGCTTCCGTCCAATTTCTGCTGCCCGAGATCCTCGACTTGCCTAAGTCTAGATAACTCAACAACTCTGGTTTGTTGTCCCAAAGGGAGAGACTGCACGACGATCAGGCCGATAACCTGCGATATACAACGACAGAATGTGTCCAAAGACCCCTCCAGTGTGGTCAAAACCACGAAGCTCCTGGAGCCTCTTTCGCAATGCGGGAGCGGATGCTGTCCCCATGGATATGTGTGCGATAATGGAAGCTGTAAAGTTGATACAACTCCTTCAAAGACCGCGTCTTCTACGTCGATTACGACTCCCGAGCCAACATCGACTTCTCCTCCAGCAATTACCACCATTTCAGCCACCCCTCTACCAATTCCCAGCCTCAACGAGTCAACATCTGAAGATTGTCCAGCGATTCCTGGCGTTGCAGTTGCGGCGGGATTCTTTCCTGGAATAGTGGCTGGCATCGTGATAAGCATGGCATTTTGCTATTGGCAAAAACGGCGCAGGAATAAAAGCTCCTCCTCTCCCACCAAAATCAATCATTTTCATCACAAGTCGGACGACGGCGCGATCCTTTCCATCTCGGACCCGATTCCCTCCAGCGCACAAGATTCCGTGCGAACAGACTTCCTTCGTCACCATGGAAGCTTAGAAAGAAGAGAAAACTCTCGATCTGTTAGAGAACGTGCGAGTACGCGGGTGCGAAGTTTTTTTGCTCCTAAATTAACGATCACTATCCCGGACTCTTCGACTATGCCAATCACTCCACCAAACCAAATCTATCCGCGCCGAGAGCCAAGCATGGAGAGTATACGTGTATACAGCCCCGTTCGATTGAATGAAGGGCAGGCTCTGCCAAGTCGAAATGTCAATGCGAGAGATTCGCGTCCACCGACCACTTTTAGCCAGATGATGGAGAGTGTGGGTTTTCAGAATGGTCATGGAAGTCCATTCTATCCGGTTGGCGAGACACCGCGACAGCCGACAAGAAGATACCAAGCTGACAACACATTGAGACCTGGAAGGTGAGGAGGAAGCCTATGCGAATGAAGTATCATTGAAGGAGTTTATGGGAAGGTGTTTTTGGCTATCTGGGAGTTTCCTGTAGATATACCATTCGATTCCCTTCTTACGCTTGCTTAGAGTACTATTTTAATACATTGATATAAAAGTTGTCAAATCAATCCCTCAGCCGCTCCGAGCGAGTAAAGCACAACTACCCGGTTACTAGAGCTAACCTTCATGCGAAATCCATATGGTCAGTCGAGAAGGCATTCCTATTATAGGTTATCCGCTGCTGGACCTCTGTAAGATAGAAGAAACTCCGAGATGCCAGTATTGGCAACAATTAGGGACGGGGGAAAAAAAAAAAAGTCAACGTCGAGATAGATATATCCACCTTAAACCCACAAAATGCACATAAAATACTGTGGATCCCTTTCTACCGGTTTCTAGCTTTCCACGCTACTACTAGCCTTTTCATCTCTTTAACCAGCGCCAATACAAGTGGAACACCGATTGGTCCCAGGAGGGGCAAATAAACCGCGACTTTATGTTCATCTGGGAAATACACCTGTCCAACCATGCTCTTCTCGAAAAAGCTCTTTTCCGCTTCGCTCTCGGCAACACGGGCTGAAGCGAGAGCCTGGACGAATTGTCCATCTCGCAGGAAGTCACAGGCGGCTGAGAGGTGTGAGAGGGTGCGCGAGACTGATGTTGCAACGGTTGCGGGGATGGGAATTGAAGGGAGTGAGCGTGTGAGTCGGGCAAGAGAGCCCATCGTCGATGATGCTGAGAGGAGTAGTGATGCCGTGTGCATTCGGGTTAGGTGTTGGAGGCGTAGGGGGAGAGGGGACGGGGAAGAAGGAACGCCTAGGAGAGAGAGAAGTTGATGAGAGAATGTGGATATGGCGGAGTGGAGGGTTTGTCTGGTAAGATGGGCTGGGTTTGTCGGTAATTCGTCGGCGTTGGACACAGGCGGGTTGAGAATGACGACTCCACCCCATTGGGGGATCAACCAGCTCGTTGCAAGGCTGTCTTTGATCAGAAGCGGCGATTGGGTAGGTGAGGGAACATAGACGATGAAATTGATCGTGGGACCGCCGCCAATGCTAGGGCTGAGGGGCCATTCTGCGGCATTTATAAAGGCACTTAAATCTTCCTTTTTAAGAGTCCATGCTCCACGTATTTCGTCGTATTCGGGGGGTGTAAATGTGGGCGAAAACGTGGCATACGGTTGCACCTGGGTATCAATTGAGAAGTTGCTTATAGGGGCGAACGTCTTGAGTAGTGGCATTAAGTATTCTTGTAACGCTGGTTCAATATCCCATGAAGAAGGCTCCGCACCGGGAGTGAAAAGCGAAAAGCTCAGATGGTATGTATCCGCGTATTTGAAAGATCGACCGATCCGGCGAGCAATCGACTCCATCAATTCAGGAGCAACCGGGTTAATAACAGGGTTCCTTTGCTCTTTACTACTGCCGTGCGAAGGCTGCAATCCCTGTGTAGATAGCCTGCCAGTAATGGAGGGCTGGAGCGTGGGACCTAGCATATTGCTTTTGGAGAGTATGTATTGCAGCGTGGCTTTCTCTTCGCTAAACAGATTTTGTAATTCACCAGCGATAAATGCTGCGAGAGAGGAATGCGATGTCAACTGGCTGGGCGGATAAAATATGTCCAGGTGCTCGGAGTACTGATGCAAACGAGAGGTCGCTACAGTGGCATTATCTTGCGGAAGAAGTCGCACGGTCAGAGCAGCATTCGGAAAGATTTTAACGGTCATGTAGTAATCCGCGATATCGGGAGATTGATTTCTGGAGGTTTGCTGCCCTTCCACAAGCTGAAGCCGAAGATGATGTGCGGAGAAATCGTTGAGGTCGTCAAGTGCATGCTGTGTGGACTGAACTAGGTTTCTCGCATCCTGGATCTGGATTGAAGGCGCTCGAACCTCTATTTGAAGTGGAAACACTGGTCGGCATGACTACAGCCCAGTAAGTCAACTCGCATTCGGTGCTATTGAGGGTGCGACAGAGTTGATATGCTTACCTTCCCAGCAGCCCAGTCGGTCATTTCATCCAGCGGAAGCCGGGCTCTATATATGGAGGTAGTTGTCCACCACATCGGAAGTCCCAAAAATATTATCACTGCCCAAAACGCTGCTATCACCAATGATCTGGCGCGGATTGACTCCGGTTTCTCTGGCGGCGGAGTGCGCCGGGCACTCGCTGTCCCTTTGCTTTCCTCCATCACGGCAGCGGTATGTGTTGCTCGAGAAGGTTCAGTCGGAGTAACAGCGGAGGATAGTTTCCTCGCGCCTCCATGATTATCCGACATCATCAGCTCATGTTTTGCCAGATTCGAGCTGAAGTGCGGCGTTGACTTGATAATCTGGCGATCCCGCGGTCGCCGCGATCTTGGTAACTAGTTGTTAGTTAAGCTAGCTTGGCAAACCCCATTAACACCTCAATGCAACTTCAGGGGTTGTCGGAAAAGCATTCTCAAAATGGGACAATTACAGAACAGGTCACGAAAGATGCACATAGAGCATTTGTCCGCATTGCTACTTGGCATTGGACAGCTATTTACAGGAGGAAATGGATTGCATATCACTAACTGTGTATATTTGGGCTACAATATAGCAAGCTCATTGCCTTCATGAACAGTTTTAGAGATGCTGAGTCCAAATATGAAAATGGACGCACTTTAGCCCTGCTGTAATCTTGATCCTTGCAGCGCATTGGCCTTTCCCTGGATTATCTTCCGGAAACGGATGGTTTGCACCGTCCAAACTAGAATTAGGTGCAACCAAAGGCTGCTGACCACGTGGGGCTTCGTCGGCGCTCCGTCGGGAAGACTCATGGATAATGCGTGCCGTCCGACGTATCGGAATGTACGGCTAGGATTCAAGAAGGGCATAATTGTGATTTCGAATAACCCCCCAGCTCACGACGCCCGAATATGTCTGTAGACCTCCTTCTTTGAAGAAACTTATGGATACCGGCATGCGTCAATTGAAACGTCACTTCTCATCGACGCTTGTTTTACGGCTTGCCACCGCATACTCCTTCTCAAAAAGCTTCTGGATCGGTTTGGCAGCCTGAGACATATATGTTAGCCGATAATCCAGAAACGTGATCCCGACATTGAAGGGAACGCTACTCACATCAATGAATCGCTCCAAGTCTAAGTCTAGACTAGCCAGATCGTCCTTCCTCTTCTTGTTTTCAGCGATCAAGGCTTGCTTTCTCTTCAACAGCTCCTGCCGGGCTTGTTCCAGCTTTTCCCGTTCAGCGTGTTCGTGGTTTATTCGCGCGATCATGAGTTCATTATCGTTGGAATTTGCATGTTCGGGGTAAATGGCAAGGAACTCTTGAACGGGGATTAGAGGCAGCGATGTATACGGGTGGCTACAGGGGACCATATGTTAGAAACTATATCGCTGCAGCAAAATTCGAGGGAGCGTACTCGTATGACTCGCATGCGGCGATTTCTCCACTGAGATGTCTTTGTTCGTAGTATAAATTCTGAAGGTGGAGGTGAAGTCGGTCAATCTCCTGGCGCGCTTCCGCAGTGGCCTGCTTTGTCGCTCGAACATTAAGGATAGCTTCGCGGTTCAGTCCCCGGAGCTGCGAGAGCAATGCAAACACGAGCTTCTGTTGTTTTGAGATGTTTAAGACAGTCTCTTGGGGTAGAGGGGAGGTGAGAGCGGTTGGGTCCAGCAACCCAAGCAGGTTCTGGCACTGCGTCAAGGTCTCGGAGCTAGCTTTCAAGACTGGAAGGAGCGAAGGATCGGTGATAATATCGTTGACGGCCATTTTAAAAGATCGAAGGTGACGATGCGAATCTGCTCAACATTCGGTGTGCCTGGGCGGGTATATCAGCGGCATACCTAAGGATCTCTCATTCAATCGCAGACGTCGCTTGGGCTCAACGAGAAGCTTGGCCCATTCTAGACTAGCGTTATCGGAATGGAGATATATTTACCCGTTAATCGTTACATAACCAATATTCTGGAAGTGCTTGGCGGTCTTGGCATCGTGGCTGCCCAAACACAGCATGTGGCGGCCGGTATTACCAAAAATACCGCCCGTTCCACACGGCAAAGACGTTACTTCTATGTAATATAACTCGTATAATAATGGGATCATCGAGTGTCACTGCGTTCGGGATGGATAAAAGCATCGATATCAGCGTTTGTTGGGTTGGTGGGAGCTGAAGGAAGGGCTCATCAAAGGAATGGTGTCCATGTTTCCTTTTGCTCCTTCATCGACGCCAAGCGGCTGAGGATCCGATCGTCGTGGTCGCCGTGCTTTACTAGTTGCAAATTTCTCTCAACTCCGAACCCCCACTTGTTTTGCCGGATATATTCTCTTGAACCAGCCATCCTTCATCTTTGTCCTGCGTAGCGTAGGATATTGCCCTCTAGCCTCTTCCCATATGCGCCGGGAGGGTTGACGTGGCGTTGAAATATCCTTGCTCATTCCTATTTGTTCTCAAGTTAACTGCCTGCGCCCCGACTTTTCATATGATTGCTGCCAATTTCCCTATATCTGAACGTCTGCTGTCTCTGTCGTGGTCAATTTTCGTGAGCCAGGCTTGAAAACGCAGCCGCTAGGGTTCTGGGGTCCGGAAGCGCCCGTTGAATCCCGTCGCTGCTCAAACCTTCCAAATCGACAGAATGGCTTGTTCTAGTCCTTCCATGACGGTGGAATCCCATGCGGATCGAGAGGACACAGGCGCGACATCAGGATTCTTTTCTCCAACGGAAATCCTCCGTAATCGGAGACGCAGACATTCGTTTCATTCCTCTCGCCGGCTTTCCTGCGATTATGATGCCGATGCTATATTTCTTAGGGTCGGTACTTTACGTAGCAGTGGATTTGTTCTTCTAGAACCATGAGTTAACACGTTTTACTAGGTCGAATTATTTCTTGCTGACTTGGAACGGCGGCTACAATGGCTGGAAGATTACAGACAGTCCCACGTGGTAGATATTGATTCTGGCTTGAAGAGAGCGTACGCCGCTTTGCAGGCGGTCCGAGACAAATGCAGCCATGCATCTGGCGAACTGATGGGTGGAGGGAAGCGCCGTGCAAGAATTGTGGTGGAAACTATGGAGGAACAGTATAACCATGCTCTCGCAACCAAAGAGACGTTGGAGCAAAAAGCTCAGGCTAGTATGCGGCTGATGGAGAGCTTCTTATCGGAACTGGAAGCGAGTGTTCATGCCGTCAAAGACAGAGGTATATACGTTGCCATCGACGAGGGCTGGCGGGCAGTGGATTCGGGTTTACACCATGCGCGGGTTGTCCTTGACGAGGGCATGGAACGTGCACGTCATGCCCAAGTTGCACTCCGGGAAAGCATCGATCGCGCGATCCAGTTAGCTCAAGAAAAGCGCCTCATCACGTACGCCGATCTCCCCCACCCATGGAGAGTGAACCCGCACATCCTGGACGGTTATCGATTCACCACATCCAAGATTGAATGCGTGACTTCGGTTTTCACCTTTTCGAATGAGCTCGTGAACATTTGGTCGCATCTGATTGGCCTAATCATAGTTCTAGCTGTGGCACTTTACTTCTACCCTCTGAGCCCGAACTTCTCCCTGAGCACCAAAGCCGACGTCGCTATCGCTGCTATATTCTTCATAGCCGCCTGCAAATGCCTTGTTTGCAGCACAGTATGGCACACAATGAATGGCATTGCATCGCAATCCCTGATGGAACGATTCGCCTGTGTGGACTACACCGGAATATCCTTTCTGGTCGCTGCCTCTATCGTTACCACTGAATATACCGCCTTCTACTGTGAAGCCTTGTCTCGCTGGATTTACATACTCATGACCTCTTCCCTAGGCATCGCTGGCATCATCCTTCCCTGGCATCCCACCTTCAACCGTGCTGATATGGCCTGGGCACGTGTTGCTTTCTACGTGACTCTTGCTCTCACCGGGTTTGCGCCAATCGTTCAACTGAGTCTCACCCGAGGACTGGCATGGTCTCTCTATTTTTACGCCCCTATCATGAAGAGCCTCCTGGTGTACCTAACCGGTGCTTGTATATACGCTTCCCAGGTGCCCGAGCGTTGGCGCCCTGGCTTCTTTGATTACTTTGGGGGTAGCCATAACATTTGGCACATCGCTGTGTTGGGTGGGATCCTATTCCACTACCATGCGATGCAAGATCTTTTTGCGGGTGCTTTTGTTCGTGCTCAGGGTGAATGCCCTGGTTTGGCTTATTAGAATAGACTATACACATATAATAACGACCGCACAATGAATGTTTCAGAGTTCCCTGTTGAAATGTGACATTTTCTTGGTCTCTCTACTCCTGGTACCCTCATACACCCGAAATGAGTATCAAGAATAGCTTTATTCAGTTCAACAAGCCTTGGTCATGATGCCTTGTTGTCAATATATACTTGACACGTTAATTAGAAGCCTTCAGTCTATGCTTTTGAGCGATTCGGTGATTTGACATGTTGTCTTTTATAATATTACCCATTCAAATTAGTTATATGAGGAATTGGTGATGGTGAAATGAAACTGTTAGATAAAGACAAAATTAAAAGATATTTTTGTCCAAGTGATAAAATTCCCACATATACCTCGTCAAGTTCACCATCGCCGTGAAATGGCTTGGCCCCTATATTCTCTAGATTCTATCTGAGATCTATTGCAAGGTACTCCGTATTCTATCCCGTCATCACAATACCCTCGAAATGACCAATCAGAGCGACCTCAATGTGTTCATCCCACGCGGGTTCAAATTTCGCCTCCGGATTTGCGACACCAGACAATGAGGTGTCGAAGAGGAGGGCCCCCCGCCAACGTAGCTGGCTTGCTCCCTCAGTGGCAGATATTGATCACATTTTGCGGCGATTTTTGGGCTATGCATGGCATGCATGCATTCGGGCATCCATAGTATATTCAAAAAGCGGTGCCACATCCTGAAGAACTATTTCAAATCACTGCCTTTTTTGCGAACCATCTCAATTTTCAAGTTGTCCAGCTTGATTTCCATTAGACTCACCAGTCGATGTAAGCTCTATTTTGCGGAATCGGCCCTGTATCCAACAGCGATACATCTTTAGCTTTCTTTTGCGGTTGACAATCAGCCTTCGGTCCACTGCAAGGTCAAGCACTTCAAATCCTGCGCTTTCCGCACCCTCATTTATTTCAGACTCCGCTGTAGCTAATTCGTTTTTTGGCAATCCCCGTTGTGGACACCATTCACCCCAAATATGAGCGAGTTCATCTCTGTCGAAAAAATAAACCCTGGTCCCGTCACCCCTGACGTAGAAATTTTCCGCCATGTACCTCTCCTTTTTGAACCTCACTTGCGCCAGGTCACCCCGGCCGTAGTCCCTGAATAATATCTGCCCCCCTGGCTTCAAGACACGATAGATATTTGACACGGCTCGTTCCCATTGTTCAGGTGCCAGAGCAGAGAATATAAACACCATGACGACCACGTCAACAGACTCCTCGCCAAGCCCCGGTGGGAGTGAACTTTCACCCTCAGCCGTAACATCCCACACATCGGCCCTGATATACCTCTCGTCGTATTTCTCATTCTCTCTTATCACCTCAATCGCCTTCTTCGAATAGTCGCAAGCGTGTACTTTCAACTGTTCATTGGAATTATTCGCCAGAATCGGAAACGCAGTGTTTCCGGCCCCCGCGCCGACTTCCAACACCAACTTCGGCCCCGCGTCGGCCTTTGTAACCTCTGCCAACACCGGGAATTCTTGCTGCAACCATTTTCGGTTTTTGAAGAAATTGCCTGTATTGTTCTTGTAAAATAGATCCCACCACTTTGCCGGGTCGGAGTTGAACCGTTGACGGTTGAAATCTGATACTGGCGATTCTCGCTGCTTAGCTATCTGCAGCTGAGCATATTGCTTGTAATCTTCATCAGTTTCAACGTGGTCCCAGGCATTGAATTCAAATACATCGTCGCCTTCTTCGAGGTATCGGGAACCGAATTGGAAGGGATCTGACCGCTTCTGGTTATTGGAGGGGTCGTGGGAGCGATGGCGAGGTACTTGAGGGGGCTGAACTAGCTGGGCTACAGTCGCGTAGTCGTCAAAGCCCTCGAGGGGTAGAGGTGACATCTGAATGGTAGATTTTTGGGTTTCTTTTCACCAGACAGAGCTAAGAGGGGGCGGGGTTCTTTCACGAAGATGGAAAGGGAAGTTGGGTGGTTAGGACCGCTTCTCAGCACCAATCCTACAGAAGACACACCCTCGCGAAGAAAGGTTCACTCAGCTCGAGGTATCTCTGAGGTATACTCCGTAGTCAACGTTATATTTGCATCGTCGCCGTCAACGAAAAAGTCAGCGGACAATGCGAAAGTTACGGCGGTAATGGGGATGACGGTAAAATTACACTGATATCGGATATCGGAGCAACATTGTTCCTTATCGCCCAAAACAATCTTCACGTGACCAACAGGCAGCCTCGGCCGTTTGTTGCACTGATTGGATGACGACAACATGGTAGCGGGCCGCAAAATACGGCTTTTTTGTGCCAATAATAGCGGCCGATTGTGGGCGGGACTCCCAGGGCATACTCCGCAGTACCGGCCGGCCCCATGGAACTCAGCCGCAATCTGATGCCTCCCGCCCGCTGCCGAGTTGAGAGCCTTCAACACGGGGTATCTGGCTTCTTCGTTCACTCCCTCCTGCAACTCTGGTCCCTCTCCCCGAGAGAGAGTTGTTTCTCGATTCCATATTTATCCTTTATAACGTTGCAGTTGCTGACCCTGCGAACTATGCCTCGATTGTCAGGAAAATATTGGCAATGCCACCTCTAGCACATTCATGAATGGCTGCAATCTGCCCACGTTAAGCAACCACTCACATTCCGATTCGCGTATAACGGAAACAAAACGTTCTTTGTCTAAGATATCTTTTTCTTTGAAATCGAGTTGTTTGCAAAATACAGTCGATTTCAGAAGACCAACGCCTGGAACAAACAAGATGTCCTGCATTGTCCGGATATTTTGTTGCGTTCCTAGAAATAGGCATCAGAATAAGCCCTGCCACGCGCCACCCCAAACTCAGGTTCGATACCAATCGCCCCCCATTTCTCAAGTGACTGTGGATCCCACTCGCCGCAGCCGTAACGGATTTTTCGTCGACGTGGATGCGGGCGTGGACACGGAGAATCACTATAACTTCTTCGTGCCATTGCCGAGATACACGCCTCGTCCTGTTGACGTTAACCACGACGAGAAACTTCCTACTTTCGAGCAGGTCCAATCCTGGACCGACAGGCGAAGTTCCCAGTACCCGCCTGACGAGAAGACACCATTGGATCTCGAAGTGAACCAGGCACGAGCGAACAATGCAAACGACCATTCGTCGGATGCCTCGTCCACGTTTTCCGTGCCCAGTAGCTTTGGCAATACCTCGACCGCCACGACTGAAACACCCCCTCCACCTTACTCTTCAAATTCATCATGGGCACCTTCACGACGATCTATTTCGTTATCTACTTCTCCCAGCGTTGCAAGCATGGTGCAGGGCAGTGATATGCCACTGCCAATAACACAGCCACGACCAGCATTACGTCGGAGCTATGATGGTCAGGGATCGCCGCGGACATCCGTCGACCTCCAACGTAGCCGTGGACCACAAAGTGATTTGCCATTTCCACCAGCATATTCGAGGCCATAGACCCGATCTCAAAGGGCCGTTCGATGATGTCGGTTCCTATTCTCCAGATAGAACAGAAGTGCCCATTATCATTTTGCCAACATGAACTAAAAATGGCCTCTCGTGTGCTACTTCGTCCGAACTACAGCTTATGATGCGGGCCAAATCGTCTTATCAGATACATCAGCTTGTGTTTAAATCTGAGTTCATATGCTCACATCTTGGCGGAACATTGGTGTTTAACCCACGATATCTCATATATCGTGCACTTTGAAGACTTGGTGCCAACCTCTTGTGATTCACTAATTATATCCAGTATCTGCCCCTCAATTATGTTTGTGCATTTGCTACATATTTTCCTAGGAGGATATTCAGAGTAAATATGTGTATGTACAGAAAATTAAGTACATACATAAAATTTAATGAAGATATACCTTTGTGTGAAACGGTATATTCAAGTTGTCTCCATGCCAAGCATCCAAAAATGTTGATCCATCTCTCGGTCGTGTTACACACTGATGCAGCAAATGTTAGGTCTGGCTTTGAAAGGACACCTGGATTGATTTTAGACAATTAAAATAATGCGAACAGTGTTGGTTTTAGAATGTTATTGGACAATAACAATCTTGTTTCTAAAATAGACACAGAGATAAAAATTAAATTGAAGCTTTGCATTAATATTAACCCCTTATGTAAAGAATCTGACCAGCAACACGTTACTACCCTACCGAAAAAGCTAACTGGGATATAAAATGCCTCATGCAGAAACATCAGCAAACCAAGGATGAAACGTATTCTTCAAGGAGCAGACATAGAACCATAAGTAGCATGAAGAAAGTAGGGTAGCTTCGAAAGGCGAGAAAATGCCCAGAGATATTACACCGAGCCCGCTATATGCCCCCTCCCAATGTGACCAAAACAAAACAGATTTCTCCTTGCATACTAGCTTTGCCCTTAGGTTTAAAAAAAAATTAAAAAAAGAAAGCAATTTAAGGCAATTTCAACCACTTTGAACATTCTGAGCGCCTCCAGGATCAAGAGGGAAAAAAAAAAAAAAAAAAAAAAAAAAATGAAAACAAATGAAAACGGTTTTATAACGCCAACCGGTTTAGAAAATGTTGGTCATGCAAGGAAAAACCGATTATAGAGGTTTGACAGAGGCAAGCGGGGGTTTAAGCTAAATCGGAGAAGAAACATGATCGTTAGGGCAAAGGGTTATAAATAGTAGCCTGTCGGGATTAGAAGAGATGATCTGAGGCGAAGCAAAAAATTCTCATCACTGTATCATTATAAGGTAAAGAGGAGAAAAAAAGGAGAGGAAAGAAATCACTCAAGAAACACCCCCAGGAACAAGGTCTGTCCGTTCTGACCCACTCTCTGCTTGCTCAATTTCCTCATCATCATATGGATGAAGAGGCGGAGCATGAGTGAATGGAAAATCGTACTCCTGTGCCTGAAGATCGTCCTGGGGAACGCCATCGTACTGGTCCAAGAACGGTGCTGTATGAATATCAAACTGGCCACTATGCTCAATGTGGTCGAATCCAGCTTGACTGCTGCTCGTTGATAGTCCACCGAAGAATTGGCCGGCGAATCCAGCAACTTCGTTTGCGATATGACGCTCTAGCGCAACATCGAGCATTTCCAGACCAGCTCGTTGCCTTTGCAAATATTTGGCTCTTTCTTCCTCGAGTCGACGGCAGGTTCCATTTCGGACGACGACAAGATAGCAATTTGGACAGAGATATTTATTCATGCAAAAGGAACAGGTGCAGGGTGGATTGGCACGGACACAGTCCTGACATACATGAACTGAGCAAGAAGTGCATTCATTTAGCACGCTAGTACAGCGTTGTCGTTTATCACCTGCAGCACGGTACTCCGGGCAAAAAAAGGACTGGCATCCCTGCCATTTCTCGATCCTTACGGGCGATTCACAGAACGCAGATGCTGGGGAGGAGGCACGAGTATGATTGTTGGAGCTTGTGGCCGAGTTTCGAGGGCGCTTATCCTCAGTGGCGCCGTTAGCCTGGGGACTGGACCTCGGTTGGCTAGAGGTTGGCTCGGTGTTCGTGGGGTTGTTGTTGGTCTGCGTTAAGCTGTTCGCAGCTAGATCAGGAACAGAAGACGGACGTGGAACTGGTGGTCTTTCTGACCCCTGCGCGAGTGCGGCATTCGCAGCTGGTGAATAATCAATGGCAATCTTCTCCATGAAGAGGTCCCGATAGCCACAAATGCGAAGACGCAGTCCGCGTAAGTCATGCTCCATGCACAAAGGCCTAGAACATGCCTTGCAATGGACTTTCCACTGTGGAGATTCGTAGCATTCCTGACACAGATTCCGAGGACACTGCGAAGCCTGATGATTTGGTGGTCCAAGTAGCCATCGCATCATTTCCACATGTCCCTCTGCGAGAGTATAGTCGGGCCTTGACGGGTCGCCGTAGGCATATGTAGGGAATGTTTTACTCCATTCATTCGAAGAGTATTCGGGATCTTCCCACCCTTGAGCTTTTGGGAGAGGAGCTGCTCGCATTCGATCAACATCCCGACTTCCCTGTCCAATGCTAATTCCACCACCACCTGTAAACGTAGGCTCGGTACAACACCACCGGAATTTAAGTGAAGGATATGTTATCGGGACCGGACCACCGTTTTGGGGGTTGTTATTATTGGGAGCGTTCGCGTTGTTCTGGGAGTCGGAAGGTTCTTGCATGGAGCATGGGGACGTAGTAGCACCAGGAGCCCACCAGAAGCTGGGTTGGGGGCCATCCCCTTCTGCTCCTGGCTCTTTTAGATATGGAGTGTTGTACGCACAACTGTAACAGAGTGTTTTTCGGCAGCCCACGCAGTGCATCAACACGCTGCACTGCTCACATCGCTCATGTATCTCCTCAAGGCATGAATCACATTTTATGTTTTCGACAAACTTCCTGTGGCTCCTTCGTAGATGTGCCGGCACCGTCTTTCCCTCGCCGTGAGAACGTCCGTCGCGAGTCCCAAGGGCCTCTCCATAGCATCCTGTTTCGTCATGTTCCCATAATTTTCCATCACGCTTGGGGGGTTCTCCAGCATCAGAAACGGACCCTATCCAGTTCTTGGACCTCCAAAGCCTGTCGAACACGACCCACACTTCAGGAGTCCCTTGAGACACGCGGATCGAGACGTACCCTCTTCTCCGGAAACAACGACCGGCTGGAGTAGTGCACCACGCTGTGTCCGTCCAGATTCCGAGTTTGTGACACAGATTGACAAGCTCGTGCGTAGGCTCAGAATCTGAATCTCTCCGAAGCAGCGACGAAGTGAGATAGGGTCGGCGTCGATGGTGTCTGCAGCGGTAAGTATAGAGACTTTTAAGTGCAAGATGCTTAACCTTTGGAGATGAACTTGATCTTGATTTCATATCTGCGTCATACTGCAGCCCATACATGGTGAGATACGGGATAATATGATATTTCAGGGAAACATTCTTGCAACCCCGAACGGAAAGGTGTTCGAGGGTGTCCCTTCTTGCATTGAGGACCGTTGAGATGAGATTCTGACCGGACACGGCGGTATTATCTAAATCCAGGCTCTTCAGTGACGGGCTAAATGGTATGACGACGTGAGAAAGCAACTGATCGAGGGCATATGGTCTCGATTGTCGCTGTACGGCTTGGCCATCTGTTCCAGCAGTAATGGGGCGAACCTGGGTGGCCGACGGCATGAGCAGACGGAATGAGAGATATTGCCATGCCGTGGGGTACGATCTTAGGAATATCCTCAGGTAGTTGCAGGTATGATAGAGGCGGAATATGGTGTCGGTAGGGGCTTGGAGGAGGAAGGACTCGAAGATGGGTGTGTGGGTGGAAAAGACGCGTTCGAGCGTGGAAAGCGGACGATCATGATGAATCGAGGACATTTCATCTCCGAACTCTCCGGTCGAGTATGCTACCGAGATACAAGAGCCTGACTCACTGGAGTCTCTTATCTGCAGCCGGCAAAGGCTTCGATCGAGATCCGAGGCCATTTTCAATAAGGAGAAGCGAATGACGATAGTGACGGGTAGCGCCGGTAGCTGGGGGAGACGTTGGAGGTTGGAGCATCATAAGGAGGGAAAAGGGCGGTGGAAGAGAGTGGTCAAAGAGAGTCGACAGGGAGACGCGAGTGCTGGTGGAATGGAATTAAACGACAAAGACGGCGGATGGAGGGAAGTCGGTAGACGCCGTTGGCTCTAGAGCTGCATGCTTTTAGTCCTCACCACCCGGAGCCCCAGTGAGCACGAATTTGCACTCCTCAGGTGTCAGCCTTTGGATTTTCCGTCGAGAGAGTGCAAAAAGAGAGTTGAGGCTCGGAGCTTCTCGAGGGTTGAATTCGGAGATAGGTTTCGTCAAAGACTTTCTGGTCGATATCAACTTGGCATTAACTCACTAACTAATCGCCCTACCCCGGCCACTCGCGAATCACAGTGCTATCAAGCGGCCTCAGCGCAAGGCGAATCCGAATTTTTAACCCACTACGGTGTACATACAAGTGGTGACTACGATGGCCACGTTGATATGCCTTGTGGCAGGGTGCAAGGAACTCTGTTCTGAAATCGTTCTTCACCGCGGCAGGTTCCGCAATGAGTAGAAACAGACAATAAGGGTGGAAATGTTACCCGCCACATTCCGCTTAACTTTTAGGTCCACTGGATGGAGCCCGGAGCCTGCGCTCCGTGGACCTAACCATGGATGTCACCAAGAAATCAACTCCCCAATTACGTGGTTTATTCAGCTACCAGATCTATCGGCGCCCCAAATCTTCACCAACAGTGTAACCTCGAGCAATGCCACTGCGCCCTTCAACAACCGCGCTTCCTCTCTCGGTCACCCTGTCATCCTCCTCATACCGAATGGTAAAATCGCTTCCCAGTCCGCTCCAAGTTCGATTTGACCTCAGATACTGAGCACCAGGCGATACAACTCCAGCAATCGTCGCGAGATCTCCATTTACCCTTTTAGCGAGCACCTTGGATACACCGGCCTCAACAGGACCACGTGTTCGTGTGTGCACCGGGGCATATGACGATTGCATCGGTCGAGTGCTGGATACAGACACATATTTTCCAGTGCGGAGATCAAATTCTGGAGGTGCGGATTCGGGATCTGAAAAACTATCATCCTCATCGTTGCGTGTTTCATAATCCGTTTGACTATCGGGCCCAGCGGTCTTCATAGGACATCCATCTGATTGATCACCCTTGCCGCCTTTCGCAGCATCCAGTAGGACCTGGTAATCACTTCGCCACTCTCCAGTCCAAACTCGCTCCGTGTCTTTCTGCAGGGCGATCTCTAACTCATAAGGCGTGATTACCGGCTTCCAAAAGTCCGTACTGTCCACAAGTGAGCTCTCCCAGCATCCAATGACCACCCATCCGCCTATCTCGCTGAAATTGGCCACTTTGGCGGCGTTCAACTTGCCCACAACAAATAAGTAACTTTTCTTTCCAGCCGCAGCAATCTGCTTCTGTACATGTTCCACAATGTGCAGATAATGCTTGACGCTAAGCGTATTTATAAGGATTCCAAAAATGGGAACCGTGCTGAGAGAAGTCAAAATTGCGTATCTCCGGCGGAGTGTAGCCGCCGTAGAGGCCAAAAGCGGCTTTGGCGCCTGATTTGAAACAGAAGATCCTTGATCAGTAGGATATATACGGATAGACGCGACCCGAGATGATAGTGTTAAAAGTAGGGCTGTTGGCGGGGTTGATATATGGAATAGCTGCCAGTCCTTCAGGCTTTCTGGGTTCTCTCTAACCGACTCAGGAACCGTTCTGTTTGGAACGGGAGACGACGGATCATGTATGAGGCCAGTAGGAAAGGTATTTGTATACCCTTTTTCCTGCACCAACCTGGAAGTTATCAACTCAACATGGTCTGCAAATGTGACATCCGCGACAAAGAGAACCTTTTCGTCTTTGTTGGGATAGGTTTCTTCAAACGCAGCGAGGATCGGGTCATGATCGAGCTGTCTATGAGTGAAAATATGGATGACAGGTAATCTCGCGGTGGGAGATAGACACGCTCTCCCGTAATGGATCACAACATCGGCACTAACGTGCTCAGCGGCAACTTCGTCCACGCAGCATGTTCCGTAGGAGGTGTCTCCGAGGATGTACAGCTTCGGTTTCTGCCCGCCCCTGGGCTCATGGACATTCAAATTATTCGCGATGGATTGTGTGACATCATCTAGATCCGTAGCCTTCGCTATCCTGTGTCCTGGCTTTCCACAAGCGCAGGAATGTTCATTCTCAGCGGCTTTATGTCCATTCGATTGCGATGGGAGATCGACTGATTCTAGGCCCCGGCTTAAGAGCTGAAATACTCGCGGAGCATCCGGGAGCATCTCATCTGGGAATTGTAGCGCAATCCTCCGCCATCTTCCTTGCTTAATATCCCTTATTGTCCGCTCTATGTCATAGGTAATGCGTAGTTCTTCATCCGACACCTGGTCGGCTGTCCGCGGGGTAACGAGGGGATCAGTCGCTTCGAGGATGTGGTCATCTGGAGTGGAAAGAACCGGCGCAACTTCCAGAGAAGATGCCATTTCTCAAAAGAAAGGGGCACCTTATTGTAATTTCGCCTCACTTCCGCGCTGCTGTGGGATTTTCACCGAACATTCTGTGCTCGATGGTCAATGTCGCCGTCGTCTCAACTTTTTCGCAGGAGGGGCGGTAATATTACCTGGTAATATTACATGTGTTAGTTACTTACAAAATGGTCAGTTACATAATCAAACTACTTTATCTTATCAATCAGGCCCCGTCGCGGTCGCCAGCCAGTTCTGATAATAGTCATGAACCGTTTTCATTAACACCAAAATGCAACAATGATAAAAAGGTTATTTACAGATTCGCCCGGGCTTCTTCACCGGCCCAGACACGTCTAATCAACTCCCGAATCGGCTCCCTCTGGATCTCTCGAGGATTCCAGTACGGGTTGCTCACAGCAATATCGGCCCCTTTATCAATATCCTCCTCCTTCATTCCAAAGTCCTTCAGGGCCCTCTTCACTTGCAATTTGGTTAAGAGCACGTTTAAGCCCCGAATAGCATCGCCGTTGCTTTCAGGTAGAGCATCAGCCAGGGCTTTCATCGCCTCTGGAATGGATGGAGCGTTATATGAGATCGCGTGGGGGAGGACGGCAGTGTGAGTTTCGGCGTGGGGAAGGTCGAAGCTGCCTCCAAGAGTGTGGCACAGTTTATGGTGGATAGACATGCCCACGCTACCGAGGCATGTTCCACAGAGCCAGGCGCCATAGAGGGCAAGGGAGCGGGCATCTCGGGAAGATGGGTTTTTGACAATCTCTGGCAGGGCGGTCGCAAGGCTGCGAACGCCTTCAAGGGCGAGGAGGCGGATAATTGGGTTCCCGTTACGGGCATAGAGAGCTTCGACTATACGCAAAAGCAGCAGCCATTAGCTTCTAGACCGTTTCTCGACGCGATTTCGTACCAACAACTTACCAGCGTGTGCAATGGCGTTGACACCACTTGTCGCACTCATTCCGACTGGGAGTGACATCGTGAAATCCACATCGTAGATGACGGTTCCAGGCAGGATCTTAGGGTCGCTTCTCGTCTTCTTCACACCATCCGCTGTCTCGCCCAAGATTGGCGTCATCTCGCTTCCCGCATAGGTTGTCGGAATGCAAATATGCGGCAGACCGGTGCGGATGCTGATGGCCTTTCCTAACCCAATGGTGCTTCCACCGCCGATAGAAATGACGCTGTCGGCATTCTGCGCTTTTGCGTATTCAAGAGCCTTTTCTGTAACGTGTGTGGGTGTGTGCATCGTAGCTTCGGTGAAGACACCGGCCACATTGCCCTTCAGGAGATCCTTCAAGTCATCGGCTTGCTGAACCTGCTGCGGGGTGGATAGTAGAAGCGGGGAGGAGAGATTGAGGCGTGCGATCTCGTCGGGGAGTTGCTTGATGGTCCCAAATCCAAAGATGACCCGTGCCGGGTTGGCGTTGTATTCGAATGCATCCATAGTTGCTAGTGATCTCCTCTGCCGTAAAGCGTAGCTCTGATAACCAACTTTGACTGGGAAAGGGCGAAATAATACTCGGATCATCGGTGGCGCCCCGCAAGTATAGATATACGTGATTTAAGACTCGCCATCGCTCCGATATTTCTACCTTTTTAATCCTCCCCCCACAGCTTAGCAATGTGGTGAACAAAATTATCTAATCCACTGCCGATTTTGCGTCGGAAACAAGGCCATAGGGGCGGATTGAATTTCGCTGGCGCTGGGCGGAGTGGTTCTCCGGATAGCAAACGGCACGAAGTCGCGGCAAATGTTTCTCCCGGAACTATTTAAGCCGACCGCGGCCATCACACTGTCAAATAGTAGTGTTTGGACCTTGGGCTAGCTGCAATAGACTGCTAATATATGACGTTGCGATTGATAACAGAGCTCCTCGCGACTGTTACTCGACAGCAATGTTTCAGGCAGCCGCTTTTCCCGACGGTCTGTCATTCAACGAGCGTTTCGAGACATCCAAACGACATACTCCGTAGCTAATGCATGTCTGTCGAGAACTCTGGAAGAAGATCCCTTGAGATCATTTACTGTAACACAAAACACGCTCCAAACTGTGTTCGATCCTACACCAAACGCAGAACTATGAGCAAGATTGGAGTCCGTATAAGCCAACATTGCCTCCTCTGGTACATATTACTCGCCAGGAGTATGGATTGGATGGTAGTGGGACACTAATCCAAGCCCTTGAAGGCCATGACGTGCACGCCTCCAGACCTGTCTTTTCCCTTTCCTCTTTTTCTTTTCTTCCGTTTACCTTTGTCCTTCCCTGCCATGTCGTCGTCGCTATCCTCTTCCTCGTCGCTGCTACCATTACCCCCTTTCCGCTTCTTTCCAAGTCCTTCTCCGTTCTCGATGTCTTCCTCGTCTGATTCATCATCATTTCCCTCCTCATCGCTGATCGCTTCATGCCATACCTTGACAACAGTGCCACCGCCGCTGATCATGCGACCCTGCACATCAAAACCAAGGCCAACGACGCCCTCAAGATCATCGTGGGACAACTCCGAAATCACCTTGTTGGGGCCCAATTGTACAAATTGCATGCGCCCATCACTCTGTCCGACAGCGACCACCTTTCCTTTACCGAGTTCATCTGGCACGTTTGCAATGACTTCCAAGCTCTCTCCGCCATCGAGGGAACGGTCGACGATGATGCGCTCATCTTGATCGTCCCAAGCACCTTTTTCCCAAAGTGTTAAAACACCACTAGCCCCACCAACAACGAGCTTTTCTCCCTTGCTGGTGCCTCCCGCCTTGAGGCCAGTCACATAGCTTGAGCTGATCAGCTCTTCGCCCTGATCTTCACTCCGTACCAAAATTCCTCTGCGCAAGTCAGTAACGGCGATCGTTGTGCCGCCTGTAGTAATCCATTGCTTGCTGTAACCAGAAGTACTCGTCTCTGAAGGTGGTAAGGGCGTTAGAGAAGACACATAATCATCGTGTGGGTGGTGGGTTTGCTGAGGTCTCGCGGATACCTCAGTGGAGCGGTCGCGGAGATCAAAGAGATGTAAGGCCCCTGAATCCGTAGCGAGAAGTAAGGTCTGTGGTGAGAGCGCGTGGATTAAGGAAGGGCTATCAACCTGGAAACCGGACCTATTGACCAGATAAGGGTGAGATTGCAAAGCTCAAGAATATTTGCAGTGCATCACCGGGTCGCTGTCCATATAGAACGATGCCGCTAGTCGAGAAGAAACGAGAGAAGATGTAACTTGATCGTTACTTACTTGTCTCCAATTCTCGGTACGGCAAATTTCCACTCTACCCTTCCAGTCTCCGTCCTCGCAGCCTTAACCCACCCATCCGTGCCGGCAGAATACAGTGTCTCCCCGTCAATCCCAAATCCTACACACCTACAACTACCCTTATGGCGCCTGGTACGCCATACCGTGTCAATGTGTCCGTATCCCGCTTTCCCATTCTCAGATGGAGCGGGTAGATGAAAGGTCTGGACATGGCCGGATGAAAGGCCGACAGAGACGAGAGGTTCTGTAGGGTGGATGGCTTGCGAGAAGAGATCGGAGCTCAGAGGGAGGCTGCAAACCGTGTCGAACATGGCTCTGATCTGTGGACTTACTGAAAGTCCACGAGAGTTGCGCTTCTGCGGCTTGCACTAGCAATTCGGGGGCACTAAGCAGGAGAGAAGAATCTGGAGAGTGCCGGTTTAAAAGGCTTCTCAGTGCATACGGCTAAGGAGAGGTGGAAACCGCAGCAAACCATGCAATTGCTTTTTGTTTTTTGGCAGCTTCAGCTTGTATTGCGGATTTCAGTCAGAAAATCGGTTGCGTGAATGTTTGCATTGTTTGACCAAACAGAGGCTTGAAAGAAGCAGCAAGCAAAACGGTTCTTTTTCATCTCTAGGCTCATGATATGATATACTCTGTCATTAACTGATTATCGGGCATAAAATGATTAAAAGCAACAGTAGAGCATGTCCGATCAAATCGAGTATAGTAATTAATTATGTATGTATGCACTGTACATCATTGAAGAAACTTGGAACGCATGACGAGAGCTCCGATCCTCCCAAGACACCTCCTTATCCTAATATATCCGCTTTCATGCAAATGACTCCATCGGGATTATATATATTCGCCTTGGTTGATTTCCCATCCTCCTCGAGAACAATTTGATACTCCTCTCCAGCATATAGCGGGTTAGTGGCCCGGTAGCTAATGCTGTCAGGGACGATCTCTTGCGGATCACCACCACTCTGCTCACGCACGTCCCGCCAGAGGTTCAAGATCGAAATCAGATTTAGCGGGCCATGAACGACAAGGCCCTTATGCCCCTCGACTTCGCGGGCCCATGGCAGTGAGTAGTGGATTTTATGCCCGTTAAACGTCAGGGCAGACATTCGGAATAAGCTTTCAGGAGTCTGGCGAAGATTCCGGGCGTGTATTCTGGCGGTTGGGGAAGACGGTTTTGGCGGCGGAGGAGGTTTTGACGTCAATGGAAGCGGAGGTGACAAGCGCGGTTCCGAGGGGGATGGAACCTTGAGCGCTTCTCGAAATACCCAATTCCTACAGACAGTGAGCAACAACTCCGTACATTGCCTACTCTCCCGCAGCCACAATCTGCTTTAGGGGGGATTGTTAGTTACGGCCTTTGAACTCACCGCTTGTCGATGAGCGCAACGCCATGCTCGTTCTTGAACACTTTCTCCACGCCAACAACAATCATCTCCTCGCCGGTCTTCTTGATTACCTTTGGTTCGGCACTCAAGCATCTCGTCGTTTCCTGTACTTCTTGTCCAACTCTTAATAAATTCAACTTGCCCTCTGCCGTCCGTGGCCAATGAACTTCCCCACCAGCCCACATCCGCCGAGTAAATGGCGCGTCAGGGTTATACGACACATCGGTCCCATCAACCCCCAGCTCACTCTCCAGAAATGCAGGAGTAAAGTAAATAAGATGATATCCCGGTGGAACCGGTGTTCCTACCGGGGGTGGCGCAGCATTGGAGAGTGCCGGGGTGTTGGAGTATAGATTATTTCGATTGAGGGTCAGCGAGAAGAGCTGGAGCTGGTTAGCGTCGAGGAGCTGAGTACGAGTCTGAGGGCCGATAGACTGGCATTTTGCTAGAAATCTGCTTGCGACTGTGGATGCTGAAGCGGCTGAGGTAGCTGTTGATGATGAAAGCCGCGCAGAAGATGGTGCTGTGAATCTGAGAATGGAATTATAGGACCGCGGGAAGGGAAAGGAGGCACATCTGATCGGGCTCATGGCTGTTACTTAACTGGAAGTCTATCTCCTACCTCCAGTTTGACGGTACAGGGCAATCCTCCCTCGGAGTCCTCCGTCTCCAGGAACCTCTGCGTTATTAGTAGATCAAATCGGCACCGGTGTGGGGACCTCGGCATCCTCGGCCGGAAGCTTAATTCCCGAATTCGGCATCCAAACGTCGATCAAAACTCTAATTTGACGTTGGTGGTGCGATTGTTCTGGCCTTCGAGCCTGCATACAACAAACATCGTCATAAATTAAGAGTGAAATCGGATAAGTCCTATCGCTATGTATGTATAGACGAACCACACATGGTGCGGCTAGAACAATCAGCAAACCTTTTAATTTTCGCCCTCCGAGGTCGTATCACTGCCATCATCATCAGCGCCACTACCACCATAATCCTCCACTCCAAGGTATCCATCATTTTCATCCTCCAACTCCGAGTCAAAGTCTTCGTCGATTTCATTCGAGGCTGGTATTGCTTTACCTGATCCCCTATATGTCCGGCTTGCTTTCACCCTGGAACTATCGTCTGGCTGCGATCTCGAAAAGAAAGGATGATCCTCGTGCAAAGGTTTCCCTTGGCACACATATCCCATAGGCGTATGTGTAAATTCCTGACCGCGGCGCTTTAAGCTCAGCCACTCTTGAAGGAATACCAAAGGTTTGGCAGTGAAACTTGACTTCTTTGCGGTTCTAGAACTTGCTTCCATGATATCTACTTCATGTGCGTTGGGGAATCGTGAAGGTGCAGGAGATATCGGAATATCAAGGGAATCATCGAGCCCTTCATTAGCCGCAGTGACACCGAGATACTGACACAGTTCCTCATACTCATTAAACTCGAAATAAACTCGCCCAGAAAGTATCCCTAGCTGAATCGTTAACCATTTGGGTGGTTTCCAGCCGCTGGGGAGAGAAGGCATGGCGAAATAATTCAAGCTGTTGAAATGCAGCATTTTTCGAGTAATTGGTGCTGCATAAGTGGCCAAGTGTGTGCAGTGAGTCTTGGATTCCCGGAACATGGGGATTAATAGTTCCGCCTCCTCCGGGATCACTACCATTGCCGCTTCAGATTCAAAGCTCCAAATGACCCAATTTACAGGGCGCTGTAAAAATTGTAAGCTCCACGATACCATGAAAATAAATTAGAGTTACCCACAAGAAAGCTATCATTTGAGCAGCCTGGCGGCAACTTCACCGTCCTCATAAACTCCTTTGAAAAGAACAACTTTGATAACGTGGCTTGCAGAGTGATCCCATGCTTCTTCCCTAGTGCAGTATCTTGAAGGGCGATGAATGCTTGCTGAAAACCCTTAAAGCCGGAGAGTCTACCAGTTGTTGCAAAATTGACAATATCTGGATGAAGACCTGGGAACGATAGCGCCACATAATGAACGGGCTTTTGCACTTCACGGACAGCCTCGACTTCAAACGCAACTTCCCTCTCCTGTTCAACTTCCTGTAAGGCTGATCCATGCACTGCGCCACCGAAATCCTGGAAATCCTTTCGTCGTCTCCCTAAATCCTTGACAAATTCCGCAATCTCCGTTGCATAGGAAGTTCCTGATTTCGCGGCCTTAACTTTGGATGCTGGTTTATAAAGCTCTTCCAGGGTTTGCTTCTCGTTTTGCCGAAGAACGCTGCAATATGCTCGTCGCTGTGCCGAATTGGCCAAAAATTGAGGATTGTCCACGCCCGTCTGTACACGACGACAAAAGTCCATGCCTTGGGAATAGTACAGTGGCTGCATTTGCTCAATACCCATGCAAGTCTGCTTAAGAAGCCAACAGACAACATCGTTTGAATCAACATGGTCCCCGTTTTGTTTTCCCTGCAAATCCAAAATGCTTTGATGTACCTCGGGGGGCGCGAAAAACACAACTGATTGTGTGGTAGCGAGCTGGCGCAATCTCATTGCAGCTTCATACGTTAGCTGATACCCCTCTAAAGGGGTACGCCGGAAAACTTACCTTGTACGGTGTGGTCCTTGGTTTGCCCTAAACCCAGTGTCAAGGCGGCAACGGCGGCAGTAGGCATTTTCAAATCGGTTCCTCGAGTATGCGCTTCATCAAGGTATACGAGACAATCAGCTAGATTATCAGCGTACGGTGATGCCAAAAGGGGCGTTCCAGAACCGTTTCGGTAAAGGATGAACGGTTTATTGTCCGAGTCGAAGTACAAGACGGCCGGGGCCTCATGGTCGATTTGTAACCACACCTTTGCCAAACTTTGATTATCCATCTCTAAAATTTGGGCCCCAGAATCGATTAGCATTCTGATTTTCTTCTCACAAAGAGATTTAAGAAGCTCGGTTTCAGATAACCGTTTCCCGGTGGTAGAATCTGCGGCCACTACATATGTGCGATTTCGGGGCTGTAGCAAGTAGGTAAGCACTTCAGCATTGGTATGTGAAAGCATAGGGAGGTCCCGTTGCTTGATATTCAATGGAAGCAAAGTACGATTGTCGTTCGTACCGCTGAAGCCACTTGTCAACGCCGAGGTCTGACCCCCAACGGAGAAGAGAGGGATGTCCCATCCAGATGCCTGGAGTTTGACTTGGAATTGTTTTGCATGCTTAGGGAACACGAAATGATTCAAAAAGTAATCGATAACGACCGTCTGATATCGAAGGTGCGTCCACAATTCATTCAGCTGTGCTTCGTCGTCAGTTTCAATAACGCTCCATTCGCGGAGGATGTCAGGCAAGGTGTCGGAAGAATGCGTCCATCGATCATATTCGCTTGACGGGTCATCCGATTTTACTAAATGTTCAAAGTTCTGCCTGAGTTGGGCTTGGGCGAGTCCGCCAAAATAAAATGCTAAACATGTGAAAAGAATAGCAACATCTGGATGACCCCATTCTGCTTGTTCCGATGGGACGCCTTTCGCGATGAATGGAACGGCAATAGGGTCTCTGTTAGGATGGAGCCCGTACTGGACGTTCCACCGCTTCTTCAATGTCAAAAGAAGAATTCGATGGACGAATAAACCCCTAAGAAGATATATATTTTTCCTTGCGGCTGAATTTCCTGGAAAGATTTTGCCAATCGTCTCTGTAATTGCTCGCTGGACATGTACATTGGATATGAATAACCTAATAGCCAGGCGGTCTTGGGGATTATAATTATTTATAGGCAATATGGAAGTTTGGCCTTTCATGATGTCCTTCACCAAGCGTGTAATTAACTCATCCTCTGCGTCTCTTCTCAGGAAATATACAACTGGAAACCCGCCTTTAGTGGGCCTAGGAATGACTTCGATACTTTGTGGAAAGTCTCGCTGTAAATTCCATAAATGTCCAGCGACTAAGCGAAGCAGTTCTTGAGCCGTTTCCCATCGGAAGGGATTGCCGTCCACAGCAGTTTGCGAGCCAGAAGGATATATGAGCTGGGTTCTTGTCGCAAGCGTGAAGTCGCACTCGTCGAGTACATCACGACAGGTTCTCTGCATCCAACCCTGAACTTTGATCATTGCATTTGCTTCGGCAATGCGTGAATCCGATAATCTTTGCAGTCCACTCAACTTAAAAGAAAGGATATGTTCGGGAAGCGTGATAATAACACCTGACTTATGTTGAATTTCCCTGTGAATATCAAAATATTGCTTTATCATATCTGGGTTAGTAGGTGTTTTGCGGGAAAATGGCACATGCCTGATTTCGCGGCCAACCAAACCACCAAGTCTCGCATGAAGTAGCTGAGCTGTTTGGGTCAGTAAGGCTTTTGGAACCACGAGTCTTACAAGCCTTGTCGTATCTGCCAGCTCAGCAGCAACTATTGGCATAATGCACGATGTTTTACCTATATTGTAAGTCGTTAGCATGGACCTAAGGATTTTATCGGATGATAACTTAAGAGCCACGGAATGTTCTTCCCTTGTCCCATGTTCATTTGTAGCACTGAATTCGCTTCCGAGGAGGGAGAGATCGTGGCACGGGCAACATCCACCTGGTCCGGTCGAATTGAGATATCTGCCTCTATTTCAAGCAATACCCAATCGGGATGCTTTAGCGGATCCCAGTTGACATGAGGAACATTGTTCTTTTCGTCAACCCATCGCTGATGGTTTTGTTTGAACCGCGCATCTTCTATTCTAAGAATGCGCTGCAAATCCACGATAGATACCGCGAATGCTGTCAAAATTTCTTTCATATGGTTTCCAAATCTTACTGTTGAGCAGGAACGCAATTGTTCAAGCAGTGTTACCGGAGTAACACATGGCCATAAGCCTCCTTCTTTAAGCCAGGTGGAACGTCGGTCTAGGCGCTCTAAAATCTGATTGATTTTGTCAAACAGCTCATGGACTTTATTTCTTAGGAAGTCGGGTTTGCACGCTTGCATCTCTGTCGAGCCTTCATTGCCGGGTTTCCGGGAAATAGCACAACTCTTTAGAGCCTGAATACTCTGCATCATGTCCAAGCAATATCGTTTTTGTACCATGGAATCCGAAATCTCAAATCGTCGGACAATGTCTGTAAGCTCATTAATCTCAATCAAAGATTCGCTACTGCAGCCGATCTCCTTGAGTATGTATGGCCCCGTTTCATTCATCTGCGGTGATTGGGATTTACCAGAGGTGGTAGGACCCGTTTCTGTTCTAGGTCTGCTTAGGGGCATTAGAAGGGCATGCTCTGGCACGCCGGGGAAGTCCTGACAGAACAAATTATCCGAGAGAGTAGGAATTACTGAACCTCGATACTTGGGATCGATTAACTGATAAATATCTGAATGGTTAAGCGGGGGTCTGAAACGCCCTGGAGCACGATGCTGGTTCAAAATAACCTGGACCTTTTCCAGATAATCGGAAAGCTCCATGTTTTGAAATAAGCGGAGCCACTCAGGGCGCACAGCGGCCAGTGCGCCGGGAACGTCCACAAGCAATGTCGATGGAATACTATTAGTATTCGGCTCACGACATGGCCATTGTTTTATAAGACATTCTGCAATCAGGGTGCACTCGTTCTCGACCTGAGACTCGTGTTCGTGCTGGAGTCTTTCAAGTCTACGCCGTGTCTTATTGCTCAGATTAAATAGCCTTCTTTCGTCGCCTTTGTATTGGGTGCTGAATGGTTTTATTAACTGTTTAAGGTAAGGGATAGTTGGAAGCTGCTGAAAGCTGAAATGCGCGTAGTTCGGCCACTGCGGTGGATCGAGCGCTTTCAGATCTTCAATGACCGCAAAGGAAAGTAGTGTTCGGATGATGTCCATATTGACATCCGCTTTAAATGACATTGTACCGAATATGAACATTAGGTGGTATCTGTCGTTCGACCCAACCGTACGACAAAAATTAACAAGTGGTCCCCAAAGCATACTGAATTCAACATCAAGCAGGTCTGAGAGTAAAAATTTGTCAAACGACAAGTTAAATCCTCCGATTGTGGTCCATGTTTGAAAAATATCGGCCAAATCCATGGATGCGCACATATCCGAAGACCAGCGGCTAATCATAGTAACGCACTCAAACACATTTACCCGGGATTGACCATGGACAAATTTGTCACGGGCTTCATATTGCAGATCGACAGGCGAGTCTAGCTGTGGGAAGCCCGAATCAGCACGCTGGTACAAGTGGCGCCTCCAGCAAGCACGGTTTAAGAGAAAGGAGTTGCTTGGCGGCTCGATGTTGAGCATTTCGCTTTCTTCTTGCAGTGAAAATGAAGCTAAAACCTTTGCTTTTCTAAGAATGTTTTCAATCGCATGCCAGAGTCCATCATTCTGGATGGTAGGCGTTAAATTTCGATTCCATGTCACTTGTTGCATGGTTTTTAAACCACTTGGATAATAAGTCCTTTTCGGAATTAACCTGGAAATGGCTTCCAAAGTCCTAACTTGAGTTAAGTTAAGTGTGGTCCATGGCTGACAGGAAGCTGACCGTAAACAGTGCATTGCTTCTTCCGTACCGGTACGCCATGTGAGAGGATCCGGGAGGACGAACGAAGTACATGCATGAAGTAGCGCTTTGTGGTACAGCTGCCACAGCTCAGAAGGGCAGTCAATCCGCCCAAGCACGTCGTTTATTGTAAACCTACCATAAATCCCTTGATTCTCAACTCTGATTGCAACATGAGCACCATTGCGGATAGTGTGAATTTCTCCCATAGGAACAAGAATGATACGACGCGAAGGGTTAGAAACATCTCGAAGGATGAGCTTGCTCTCCAAACCATACCACGTCCCTGCATCTTGATTAGGGTCGACTTCTGCCTGCAGTTGCCGGCACTGAAGCAAGCCTCCAAGATTCACGGTGAAGGATAATTCTAAGCGACGTAATTCAACTGAAAGATGGCCCTTCGGAGGTTGAAAGACCGTTAAGCCGTGCCGATATTCGAAATGGTCGAACACTTGTGCAACGAGTTGAAATAAGCCGCTGTGTGGGTCAATGAGCAAACTTCCCGGGCGATTGTATCTTTTCTGGCGCCATGCCTCGCGGGAACGGATACTAACACACCAATGACTGCTTTTCGATTTCCATATATCTGGACGACGTCTAACCTCCATTATCCCGGAGTTTAAATCTAGCCAGTGCACACAATTCGCTATTAGCGGACCAGGCAGATCGAAATTTTGAAGGTCACCAAAGATCGCAGGAGGGATGTACTCGAGAATGGTGCCTCGCACTCTTGCTTGAACGATCAGATCCGTATCGCGGAATCCAAAATGGATTTCGTGTCCGTTCATTGGGAATGCAAGCATGTAAGTCATGCCGAAAAGAGAAGAAGGATAAATGAGCAACCTTTGCTCGCCAAACAATTGTTCCAGAACCACAGACTTTCGGTGCTTCGCTGGTAGTTTCCCTAAAGGTTGGCCATCCACAATCAAATGACCCTCGAGTAGATGGTAGTGTATCGTTTGCTGTCTTGCATTTTGCGTGGGAGAAACTGTCAAACTAACCCATTCATGGGAGGGGTCCAAAATTTCAAAATTGGCGTAACATCTAGGAGCAGTGCCTTCGGCTTGCGGCCAAAGTGAATCCATTGCTTGGTAAAATGCCCGAGGTGCCTTTGCAAGGGATTCGCGAAAGAGCGACCGCATTCTATATACCATTTTTAAGTCCCTAATAAGTGCGTTTTTGGTTAATGATGGCAGTTGGCTGAAGTCGCTCGGAGCGTTGTCTTGCATTGTGATTGATGCATCTATGAAACATTGAAGGTCATCGACTCCTATAGTGTTGGTTTCAATACCGTCAATGTGGACCGAGAACGTCCTTCTGCAGAGCAGTGCTGCCCAAAAGGCGTATACGGCAAACCGTTCCGCCGCGGCGGCATCCGTGGATTGGTAAATTTCATGCCGCAGCTGGACGATCCACTGCGACGTAAATGACCGGACCTTTAAAATGACGCTTAAGCTTTCCTTGTAAATAGAGTGTGGTGCAATAGAACAAAGCCTGAGAAGAAGCGTTAAGAGCATATCCATGCAATTGGTCTCTCTCCAATTCGAAGCGATATTGTCTAAGCGCTGAGATACCTGTCCAATCAACTGCCGACAAAATGAGACATCCTCAAAAATCTTGTGGGCAACCCGAAGAAAAGTTCCTTCATCAGCAGGGCCTGCTTGGATTGCCAGTTGAGATATTAGTAGAGTGGTAGCCTCGGTGCTTAGATTCAGATTGGCAGAGCCGAGTTCAACAAGAATTGAGGGCCAACGTCTGCTATTTCCCGAAAAAAGCCCCTTGTATGCCATAAATTCATGCACATTCAGTCTTGGGGGACATCGCGTCTGGCTCGCTATGACCTCGTACGATGAAGGAAAGCTTGAACCAACAGAGAGCCCAACAGAAGAAAAGGCTGAAGCTGAATGTAAATTCATCCGAAAATGGTGAGAAAGATTGAGTGATTGGAATTGCCTGCTGATCCAAATATTGGACAAAGTATCGAAATATGTAAGCCTCAAGCCATTAGGGAGACATACAGCGTCCAGAGTCAGAGGGAATCGCATCCCTTTGTAGTGTGTTTTCAAAAATGGCTTAGTCGTAGAGGCAAGGCATACACCATCCGAGCCCCGATTACCATATCGCTTTAGCCCAGAATAATCATCAAGCAACAGTTTGGGTGTAGGCAAATGCGGCTGGTCAGGAAGCCCTAGTGTGCGTAATAACCGCCAAGTTGCGTTGCGATAGGCTTTAAAGGAACTAGGGCAAGCAAGCTCAAAAATAACAGCTTTTGCTTCAGGGAACTTTGTTGGAAGTGGGTGTTCATGAATTTGAATCCGCATGCGCCTAGAGCGGCGTTGGAGATAGCATTTCCGACATAGTTTATCATCATGAGTGATTGCTCCAGACTCATTTGACTTGAAGACACAGTTGCTCCTCGCAATACTCCTTTCCAATTCTTCAAACTCAGCACTTAATCTCTGCCATTCCGTCTCCTTCTTCTGAAGGTCGATCCGAGCTTTGGCCTCGATTCGCAGGTGTAGATCCTGTAATTTTCTAGAATCCACTGACTCGTCATAATATCTCTCGGCAAAGCACCCTGCGGCGGGTGCATCGAAGATAGTCCTGGAGGAAGCGTTGTCGCATCGCGCTCGAAGATAAACTTGAACGTTTTGGAGATGCACCATGTCTGAAAACAGAGGCAATTGCAGGATATCCAATGTGTCAGGAGTTATGCCGGGGTGAAAATCCTCGAGCAAGTTGAACAACTTAGTGGTACATTGATCAAGGGCGACCCATAGCCTAATGGTGCTGAGAATCATGATACTCTTTTGTTCGGGGCTATTATCGTATGCACAAGATACTTTCTCGAGATATTCTTCAATACGCGCTGCAAGTTGCAAACACCGACGATTTTGCAAGCTTTCATTTTCTGGTCCTGCAATGCATAATTTGTCATTCGATGCTTCAAGCTCCGACAGCCGGTAATAACGTTCTGCGAATACCCTGAAATGATTCTCACAGGGTGCCTCAATCATGGTAGAAGGTTTGGTTTGCTGGTTATATTTCGCGAATCTGATCGACTGCTGATGATACGACATCACATTCTCCAAATATTGTGCACTTTTACGAAGCGATAAAGTGCACGATTGGCGGGTTGCACGTCGTGGCAAGTTCGGAATCAGGCGTCTCGTGCTAATTTTCACCTCCGACCAAATATTTTCGAGATGGGTGACAGATGCTTGGATGGACCGATGAAACCGAGCGGATACGCTAGCGAACAACTGCTCACTTATAGCTTGCACATGGGGCAACGATTCGCTCTGCTCCATTTGCAATTTTGAAAGACGACGGGCTAGTTTACTCCTCAATAATGCTAGAGACTCAGAGGCTATTTGACCAAGGGAGTCATCGATAAGACGCGAAATTAAAACGCAAAGTAGAAATTTATAATAAACCCTTCCTACCTCTCTATTTTGCATCTTTAACGTCGTTTCGTTCTCGATTCTCGTTATTCCATCGTCGTAGCCGGAGCACAAGTATCGCTCAATTCCAACGCGGAGAATGAGCCAAAATGCAGAGCGCCTCCACGGCTTTTCGCCACCGGCGGCCCAACAAACATCGTCACGGATACGTTTCCTCAATAAAGGAGGGAAAACACGGCTACCGTTTGCTTCAAGCAAGGTCATAAACATCTGGGTGACCAAAGCCGGATTAACGGTATCTCGGAATTCTATTGTGGAAGATCCGGCTTTTGTAGCACGGGCAGTGAAGCGTTTAACCGACTCGGTGCTGGCCTGTTCCAAGAAGCCGGCAAGGCTACGTTGGAATTGGGTATTGTCAAATTTTTCATATGGAATAGCGACAGCCTCACCAGGAAAATCCCATGACAGAGCATTCTCCGAAGCAAGCACTTTTTCCGAAGAAGCAGCAGCCTCAAAGCATTCGAAAACAACTACTTCGTCCAAGCCACTTTGCGATGTATTAGTAGGCATGAAACTCTAAAACATGTGCGGAATGCTTACCAACGCTGACGCCAAACAAGGAGCCCCGCATTCTGCTCGGTGACATGCAAGATTAGAGGTCTGTGGCGCTGTAACTTTCGGAACTCAGCAAGTAGGCGAGCCTTATCCAACTTCCTGCGAGCATTTGCAGTTTTGCATATCTCCAGGATGTAATGAACACGATCCCAGATGTCACCCAGCCCAGCATTAGACTGATCCTGCAAGACGCGGGCAGCATCCTGCAAACGCACGAGCAGCTCATGTTCGATCTGGATAATGTTCTCCTCCTGCTTGCCTGGAAGACATGGAGGCAGGGCAACATGGTTGATGAGGCACCCATACAGCATGGATGAAGACCTAGGAGATGTGGTTTCCTCCATACTGATAAATGGCGGAGATGGCTTTCTGTCTATACACAAATCTCAGAATAGTAGAAGAGCGGTAAACAATTGACAGAGATAGGATAAACAAAATAAAAAGGTATGGAAGTAAAAAAGAGCACAACATATGGCATTCTGTAAATAAAGACATATAAAAGCACAACATGGACCCTGCTGGCACAAACACGTGTCAAGAGGCAGAGTTCACGGAACTTCCCCCAAGCTTGAGCCATCCAATTACTGAAGAAACACGCAGACAAATCAGGATACAGCATAATTTCAAAATGTCCGGGGATTTCGGTCTTGGAGTGCATGGAAATATGAGCCAACAGGAGGGCTCAACCATGGGGTTGGGAAGGGCAGACAGGAGGACATTGGTGCTTCTAGGGCAGGTGCTTGCCCTTGGAAGACACAGAGCATGTTTTCTCTACACATGTCTCCCCATTCACATATTCAGCAGAATGGCATAGCTTTCCCTGAACGATGGGATTCTGGGACTTTGTGCTAGTGTGGGGAGGTTGCATGATCGTTATTGGGATGATGATTTGGGTAGTAGACTGCAGATGGCTGCATAGCATTCTGTAGTTCGTGACTAACTTAGTTATGTGGATTAGTCATGCTACCATCCCCCGCACATTCCACCTTTTCTGGTTCTGTCAGGAAAACATTTTCTCCAATTGGAACTGTGGTCAACGGGCATGGATCAACTGTTGCCCGAAACCCCACAATTTTGGTATTTGGGTACTCCGTATGGAGGTGATCCTGCTTGGAAGATCCACCTACTGTTCGGGAGGCGAGAATTCCTTCGCAGCCAACTTTGTGCCCACTCCACACGACGACTTACCATCCCTGGAACAACATTGCCCTTTTTGTGTTGCGTACGTTGTTGGCTTGCAATAACCAGAGCTCTGTGTGTTCTAGAAAGGTCGGACGCGGCCCATCATTGATACCATCGCGTGGGGTGATATCCTGTTCGGGACCATATATGCCTTGGTTTCGAAGCCGCTCCAGAACATTGCTTCAAGCTTGTAGGTTGCTTTCTTCGATTCTCGCTCCCCGGGCCTGAATTTGATGACTCAATGCCTGCGAGCACGGAACTTCCTAAAAAATATTAGAGACAATCACCAACGTCGGGACAATACAATGCCATGTTACCCATGGTGAGGATCGACGCGTCTTCTAACAATAGAAGCGAGATTGAATGGTCGTGGGCATACACTTTACGGGGTATGAGTTGACATACCTTCTTCCTCTGTTTCCTCTGTACGCTGGACCGCTGGAAATAGTCACAATAGCGTCCCAGCGGTATTCCTCTTGTCCAGACCTGAACATCTTCATGAGAAGCAAGCTACAAAAGCAGCCAAAGAGAATCTATTTGGGCTCGCCACAACTAAGTGGCTGTTTCACTGTATATTCTGGCTTATCAGGATGAGACAATTGAAAAATCTGCATGATTTTGAGAATTACTGCCAAGCTCAGTCTTGTTTCAGGGTCTATAAGCTACTACACTGGACAAGGGTGATTTCTGCTGTGGTAATACTACTCCCAAATTATTGTGTCGGCCACGGCTCATGAGCTCAGCCCGGAGAAGAGAGATCCTTGTTTCAACTACTTACCACATGTTTACCATTCCTACCCGGTGCCTAAGGCATTGGAAAAGATCAGTTCTACATCCTTTCGGAGAAACCTGGCTCAGGATGTCTTCGCCCTTTGACCCTTTACCTGTAACCCTTGCTTTGATGGCGGATTCTTCTTAAGCTCCTCATCCTGTGAAGCTTTCACGATCTGGAAAGGTCGCAAGAGAAGGACATATTTGGAATACTCTACTAAGACTCCAAACATCAGTGCCCCTTTAGATGGACATATCATGAGTTTCCAGAGGTTAAGACATGAGGAGATGTTTCTCAAACAGATTTTGCATAAGGCATAAAATTTTAACACCTTAACTCATTGCATCATACCCTGCATTGTTCTCTCTTTTGCTTTCCTTTGAAAGGGTTCCCAGGAGTTTATCGTTGGATGGATTCCAAGTGTATGGAATACTGATTGACGAGATACTTGAACATGAAAATCGTTAAACATCTGAGCTTGTTGGAATTGTGCTTTGGATGACATGAAGTTAAGATATCGCCAAACGAGCTCCTAGTTCCTACTAGAAGCAAGCAAGACTGAGCACCAAATGCAGTTGGGTTCTTGACGGACATAACCAAGCGCTATAGTCATGCCAGACAAGAAAGATATGTACGTCCCTCTAGGAAGCAATAACAGAAGTTCCTTTTGGAGTAAACATAACCTAAAGAACATTGTAAGAATAAATTGGGACATAATATAATAACTCAAGGATGTAAGTCGACATAATACATAATCGACCGTGGACGTCGTTATCCACGTAAAAGTACACACGAAAAAACAACAACAAAGAACCAAACTCCTTTGTATCCCACACCCCCCCCTCCCATAAAATCCCAGTGCGCTGGAGCCAGTGTTTGCCAAGTCCACACTTTATCCCTCATCATTTTATCCCGAAACAGAGTGGCTGACATGAATATATGGATATATGGAGCACCTTAAGACCCCGTCCCTTTTGTCTCTCTCCCCCCCACCCGGGGAAAACTCTGTTTTCATAGAAGCCGACAAGTAACTCACCGAAGATCATCAAAAATAAGGAGAGTAAACCTTGACAGGGTATAATCCAAAAGAAAAGGAGAAAGAAAGAACGAAAGAAACAGGGTATTCTAAACGCTGCGGGGGTGGAAGCAATAAAGCAGAAAATAAAAGATAGAAAAGAAAGAAAAGAAGACAAAATAGGTCTCAAAGCCAACTGGCTAATCAAACGAGGTATCCAAACGCCTACTCGATTAAAAGTAGCCCAGTCTTGCTCCTTCTCTCCTGACACCTTCTCTGACGTTAACGAGGTTTGGGAACTCTGTCTCTAGGCTGCGAATGAGCCGCTCGCTCCGCTCCCTTTTTGCTAATAGGAGAGTTTCTTCCAGTTGACGAATCTCTTGCTGAAGGAGGCGGTGGGAGTCGTGCATGGAGAGGGCGAGAAGTTCTTCGGCATACTGCCGGAGTCGGTGCAGTTGGGATTCGAGGAAAGGGAGCGACGGACTAGATGGAGAAGTGGAGGTGGAAACGGAGGTTAGGGGGGTTTGGAGGGCATTCGTAGACGTTGACGTGGATGTGGATGTGACAGTGCTTGTGGTCGTGGGGCGGAGCTGAGTGGGTGGAACGGCTGTGGTGGTTTGAGAGAAGGGAGGGTGGCCGGAGAGCGGGATGGGGTTCGGGTTTGTAGCTGTGTATAATAGAGGCTGGGGTTGGAGTGGGTTTAAGGTTATGGGTGTCAGTGGTGCGGGAGCGTCATGGTTGACGTCGTGTTTGTCATCTCCGTCAATATTTCTCCCGTGTGGTGTCGTGTAGGTGCCATTCCTGCTGCAACTATCATTTCCAAAGGTGGCTATATCGGTAGAATGTCGCTTCATCGTGGGAGACGAGGCCGCGTCCACCATGACTTCTGAACTGCATCCGGATTTGAGAGGGGGAAGCGAAACGTGATGAGATGCCGGGGTCGGCATTCGAGTTATATAATCTATACCATGTAGAGTTTTGCCATCATCGCGTATCTGCTGATTGACTCTGGAATTTCCGTGCAGTTGCCTAGGAATCTTCGCGCGACCTTGTTCGCTATCTGCCTGTCGGGGAATATCATTTTCGTCTGTACGTGTGACGGACGAGCGTTTGGAACTGCGGTTCAAGGGGGGCATGTTATTCAAATTGGTGATAGGGTACTCGGGTGTGTCTTGTAGAAGATTATGCATGGCCGATGGTGTAGACAACGGGCGCTTCTGTCCTTTGGGAGGCACCGATGTGTTGGAATTCCCGGGAGTAGAAGGCATATTCCTCTGTTTATAATAACCGCCTGCAGTTAGTACTGCTTCCTGCGCCATAGGACCAATAACGCGAACAAGTAAGAGAGAAAAAGACCGCCGCGTCAAAGCAAAGAAAAAGTGACTAACGCACCCTCTTCTGATCAAATACGTTGTCAGTAAACCCCATTATCTTTCCACGTGCATCGGCAGGTTTCACCCTTCGTTTCGATGCTGGCTTTTCGGCCTTCACATATGCGGAAGGGAAGTGGCAGCACTAATGACAGTGACAGGTTAGCACACTGGAGCCGGCAAAAGAATTTTTTGAACTATCGGGTGAAAGTGCAACGGCCACTCCGGCACAGGTCTGAAAGGTCACATACCCGACAGTTGCAGTTTTCCAGGCATTTGGGACAGATCCACAGTCCGGCGTGACGCATAACATCTGCAGAGTTCATATCAAAATGGCGGTAAAGTCCGCGGAAACAAAAAAAGGCCGCACAACGATCGCAGCGCCGACCCTTCCACTCCAAATGATCGATGCGGCAAAGATGGCATAGTCTGCTCAAGGTATTCTGCTTAGCGCGCATTAGATCGTTGACGGCCGTCCCCAATGGTTTACGGCGGTCCGATGCTCGACTATCATCCAATTTGTAGCCCAAAATCTGCTGGGCACGGTCTAAGACACGGGCGCAAGTCTCTTCTGGCACGATCTCGGCCCACGAATAGCTGCGAACATGTTCGCAGCTTCGACCGTTTAAGAAGCAGAGGAGACATAGGTCGAAGTCTTCACACTCGCTGCATCGCAAATGGCGATTCCAAATGGCTGTACTGCAGAAGTCGCATGTCACAATGGCCGTTTTTGGAACACGCACTAGTGTTATCGACGTGACCGGTTCATCTGTAATCATTTCTTCTTGAACCATCTGGCGAAAGAGGCGTGTAAGGAGATGTAGGTCCGGTGGGATCGGTGCCTTGGGATCATCTCCCAGCAAGCTCAACATGGCACATGCAAGCGAAAGGTTTGACTGCGCGACATCTGGATGACAGAGTCGGTTAAATGGAGGCTGCACATAGACAAGCCCAGCTTCTAGTGACAGAGGGTGCAATATATTCCACACGATTTTAGTAGCAACAGAACCGAGATTCCAAACCTGGTGGGCCGTAGCTGGTGGAAATACCACCAGATCACCTGCCTTCTGTTCATGGACATACAGTGGAAAATCAGCATGTTTCAACTCCTCTGGGTCAAGATTCAGCCAGTCAACGTGGGGAGAAGCCCCTCTGGAGGCCATGAACGTGTCGTACTTTGTTTGCGACTCAAAATCGGTCCCGAAACAGAGGACGGGGCGGTCTGAACCCACGTAAGCCTAGATACACAACATTGGACATGGGGCTTAGACTCACTGCTCCCTTCAATTAAGAGGTTCAATGCAACCGTGGACGAGAAACATCTGTGAAATCCTGATCTATCCGGGAGATTAGCGATAGAGAATTGGAGCTCAGGGATAAAGGCAACCAACGAGGATCCTTCCGAACCGACATAAGCCATCATGACCTCGCTTCTCGCGCAGGGAGGCAGCCACTGGAAGAGATCCAAGCGGCCTGCCCATTGCACTTCGGGAGGCAGTAACTTGCGACATAGCTCCAACCAAGCCTCCGGGCATGGCAAATCGCGCGCGTACAAATTTTTAAATTCCCTATATGACTGACGGGCGGCGTCGGCAAACTTCCTTAGAGTGAAGTTCAAGTCTCTACCCGTGCTACAGTTTCGAATAGGGATATCTAACTCAACTTAGTTAGCGATACGGGACGTATAGAGGATTTCTCGCGGCAGCGTGGTACCGATGAATCACCCTTCCTTGACGCGGTTTGAAAATCGTTACAGGCAAGGAGACTCCAGAAGCGCAACGGAACAGAGAAGAATAAATCAAGGGCTTCCAGCGCCATACTTTTCTTTGTAGAATGTTCGATCAGCCCCTCGATCGAGAATATCCTCCTATCCCACTGAGGTAGCTTCTCAAAGTCCTGGATCACGAAAGGGTGTCCGGCCTGCAGTTTCTCGGACAGCCAGTCCGCAAAACCGGTTGGTCTATCGTTGGCTGAGACATGATTGCCGGTGCGATTCGGGTATGCAGAGCCGCGACCTCCCACGGCGTTGGACACTCCAATGGCGCGTTGGAGGTCGAGGATGGAGTAACGCGGGAACTCGACGAACGGCTTTCCGAGGGCCAGAAGATCCGCGGCACGAAGAGAGATCAGAGCGGAGGGCGTGTTGGTGGTTTCCACGGCGTGCGGAGCCGTCATTGTTGATGGCACATGGGCCAGCGGCGACACTCGAGTGCCAGTTAAAGGACCATTGTCGCAGGCAGAGCTTCGACCGTCGATGTTCGCGAAGAAGGTTGGCTTGCGAATTGCCGGGGGTTGACGATCACTGATCCGCAGGCGAAGCTCTGGCGTTGGGTCTTGGCAACCGTGACAACAACCGAGCAAAAGCGACGGGCGGTTTCTGGGACGTGCGAAGCGTGGCCGGCACGGTGCGAATAAATATTAACGAGCTCTCGTCCAATCTCCAGGGTGATCGGCCTGCAAGGGTTTCTTCACCCGAACCATGGGGCTGGGTTTGCTTCTTCCTGGATTTCGAGAGGGGTCGGCGCTGATCAGAGTTGCCTCGGGCAAGGGTATCGCGTAGTTAGCTGGGGATGGCTATTTCCTGTCCCAATGGTCACCGGCGGCGAGGTTATGCTGGTCCGATACCCCGGGGCGAACGCGGACACTACAGCGCTGCCGACGACGACGACGACCACCACGATGGCAATCTCATCGAAGGGATTCCGCCAGTATGCCACGGTTACTAGGTCTTGCGACTCCCAATGACCACGGCATCTCGCCACTAATAGACTTGGTTGATTAACTACTTCTCTCAAGCTCAAGGACGGCAGAGTGAGTCGCAGCTGCTTTCTGCTTCCACGCACGGTGCGCATGCTTGGACGCCTCCCGGAACGGCGTCTTATTTGCGCGGACAGAAGTTTACGGCGCAGATCCCGGGGTTGGAACCAACTCACGCCGAAATGACGAACATGCAATACAGTCTTTTGGCCCAGGCCCTCGCTGCGAGAAATGCAGCAGGGATGAGGGATCTCGGGTGTCTTACATATTTTTCCCGTCAGGATTGCACATCCAAAACCAGAGTCGCCTAATTCCTCCGGGTTGTATGCGCGTGCATGCATATGGAGTGTATATGACTACTTTCCCACCCCTGTCCCCAGAAACGTCCCCATACCATGTCCCCGGCAACTCCCAACAGTTGATCTTTCCGGGGTCGACCGCTGGAATGGGGCCCCAGCATCGTATTCGTCGTTTGTTGCTGCAACAGGAAAATACTTCTGCAGCTCCCAGCCGCCTGTACGAGGACGACCCCGACATACCCTGGTTAACCATTAGCTCATGAAGACGGGTGACCAGCCGCTGGCGATTCCGCTTTCCAGGAACCGGGTGCTGGGGGATTGGGATGATGGTTAACGAGAAAGAAAATATTATTACGGAGTACTATTAACTAACCTATTATTAGATATCTCGTCATTATTATCCAAATTCAAACACCGTGATGCACCTCCCAACACAATAACTCTCTTGCCATGAAAATGAGCGCAACCCCACAAGAATTTCTTTTTCATAATGTCGGCAAATCAAGGGCTTGAAACAGGAGCAAAGGAAAAAGGAAAAAGGAAACAGAAAAAAAAAGGGTGTATTCGGCAACGAGGGTCTTAGCTTGAAACCCCATACGGTCTTGCCCCCTCTTTAGATACCTGAATCATCCTGGAAGAACCCATCAGGCTCCCAGTGGTTCTTGGGGTTACTGAACCAAGTGTCCCAATTTTTGCAGACTCTCTTCACCTCTGCAACTTCATCTTGTTTGTTCATCAAAGATGCCTTGAAATCATCACGGCGCTCAAGGATTTGCAGTGCCAGGCCTGCGGATGAGTGCCATGCGATGTGGCAATGCAAGACCCACGATCCTGGGTTGTCGGCCTTAAATGCAATTACGAGGAATCCACGTGCTGATAGCAGGACTACGTCTCGTCGAGGTGGATTGTCGAGCGTCAAATTCAATTTCTCGGGACTAAATGGCTTCGTCGACTGCTGGAGCAAGACGTAATCGTGACCGTGAAGATGCAACTGAACACGCGTTAGAACTGCTTGCTGAATTTGCCGCAGACTTGACACTTGCGGAGGTGGGGTTTGACTTACCGGGTGAGCTACAGCAGTTTTATTGGGCCGGCTGAACGTGTCGGTGATCAAAAGATACACCCAGCCGTTTCTCGTGTGGTCCTCTGATGGATACACAACCAAGGTGTCGTCGAACCTAGCCTTGTCCAGGTTCTTGACTAGGGGGTTTGAGTAGTTCACCCACATGGGAGAAGGGCCAATGGTCCAGTAGGTAACTTCGCCGGAACTTGGTGGGCGCCCTGGCATACGCCATTTTCCGAGTTCGACATCACTACGAGTGGTGTTCGTGAATATACCAGGGTAGAGTAGTGGATCTGGAACCTGCCATGAGAGGATAGGCTTCAGCCGCTCGAAGGGTTCATCGCGACACTTGAGGGAGAATTGCTCTCGCATGGTCGTTGGGAATTTTCTGGTCTTTCGGTCATAGTACAGCACCCCTAGTCTCTCATCCGGAGGATGCTCGGACTCAAAACGACCGCATCGTTCGGTTGGGATAACGCGCATCCAATGCGCGTCGCCGGATCTAGCTTTTGGGAGTGTATTTAAGATAACGTGATATCGTTGGCCTGGATGGGAATTTAGCACGTACGCTACAATTTGGTTCCATATCAACGACTTACCTATTCCAACCGCAATGTGGTCAGTGTCGTACGGAGTTATTGGAACGAAATCCGCTCCGATAACCGTCAAATTGTGGTTATCAACTGAAAAGATGAAAGTGGAATCCGTTGAAGCATTGATCAGGCGCAGAAGGTACTTTTTCCCCTAAGAAAGGATTCAGTAAAGTTTCCTGATCATTTTCGTGTGGAGGAATATTAACCTTTTTTACAACGGTGCTATACTTTCTCTTCGGAGCCTTGTCACCGAGACCAGTGTAGCTCCCTAGACTTGTTAAGAATACTTGTGACATACATGCAGAAGCGTGGCGACTCACCTTTTCCATTCAACAATATGCTGCTCATCCTCGGAGGTCTGCCAGCCTGTTCTTGATAGTACTCCTCGAAAGCGCTGTTGTGAAGGTGATCGGTCATCAACAGCGGATCAAGGGAGAAGTTGTAATCGGCGCTCGATGGACCGTGGATTGTTAAAGGCCCAGCCAAACCATCGGAATATTGCAAGGAGTAGTGGCTGTGATACCAAGTCGTTCCATATTGAGTTGCTTTAAACTTGTACGTAAAGGAATCGCCTGGAGCAATTGGACACTGTGTGGCTCCTGGAACGCCGTCGTACAAGTTGGCATTAAGCATTCGGAGGCCATGCCAGTGGATTGCAGTTCCGTTATACTCAAGCTTGTTCGTGATGGTGATTTCTAAGCAAGGTTAGTAACGGTCAGTAACCTTGTCTCGGGGGGAAAAGTAATCTGACCAAGGTCATCACCCCAGCAGGCCTCTGCAAAAGCGTGCGTGTTAGCATATGGTTAAAACTATGAAGTTGCAGAGGAACTTACGAATCCAAGGGCCAGGGTATGTGCCATTGAAAAGTTTTGCCTTGGTGAATGGCACTCCGTCAAAATTAACGGTACCGTTGATGATTTCTAGGTAATACTATCCAAAGGCGAAAGAGTTTAGTAGAGTGATTTTGCTTCCGGATTCAGAGGAAACCAACTTTTCGAGTGATGCCCTTGGGTGTGTACTTTTCATAATCGGTAGCAACGCCATACTCGCGAGGTTCAGGCGCCGGGCCCTTACCAACCCATTTGAGCCAATTCCGTTTGTCGAATTTATCATGGACCCATCCGTGCATGTCTGGATAGGAGCACTCAATGATATTATTTGAGCTATGGCCATTGGAACTGGGCTTAAAAACTGGTCCACGCTGCTTGGTAACAGAAGCAGCGCTGCCGTAACAAGTCCATAGGACAAGAAACAAAAGAAGCTGATAAAAAACCATGAAGCAAGCTTCACCGGGCCTCACTGCAGGGAATTGATAAGAGGTATTATTAACTAAGAATCCCCACTGGTGATAGCCCTTTAATTCCTTTACAAGGGGGGGTTCGTTAAATTTATATCCCTCCAGCTAAGCTAAAAGATGCCGGAGTGCAGCATCTCCGCCAAACCATTACCAGACACCACACGCAAATGCGCGGCAGAGTGAAATCCGAAATATGGAGGACACAAAAGGTTCATGCACAAATATATGTATCAGATGTGGTCGTGCGGTTCCAAAATCAGCGGATGTTTCGCATGCACTCGACGGTGCCTGGCACCTCTAACCAAGAATTGGGCATTGTTTGCCATATATTGGTAGAAACCGGAGGTAAAATGGAATGTGAACAGTTAGTAAATAAGTGCTGTTAGGCCGCAAATCTGACCTGGAGCAAGAAATATCACGATTAGCAAAAAGGATTTTGACTTGAATATCGGCCCCACATTTGTCAAGAGTAGCTTTCAGGACATCTTCATCGGCATTCTCGCTGCCGTCCCACACGATTTTCACTTTACGTAGACAGCCTGGACCTATCGGGAAGACGTCCGATGTGATGGAGAAACACGGCGGTCTTGTACGTAAGATAGAGGCTTGCCGGCCGCCACCAAACTGAGACGGGAACTGAAGAACAGACTGAATTTGAACTTTCTTTGCATTTTCCATAACTTCTTCCAAGAGTCAGAGTGCCAAGTGGATGGACATAGATGCTTCAATATATCCAAAACTCTTCCCCAATGCTGTTGATCACAACTCTTCGGGGCAGGGATATTTTCTTATTTTCTTATTTTCTTTTCTTTCATCTCTTTCTGAAGAACAGAGAGGAAGATATAGCACTCGCTCACTCGCTGAGTATGTATCGTATGAAAAGCGGGGAAACCTCGTGCTAATCCCAATCAAACCCCAAAACATCGACAGCTGGTCAAAGTTTTTGCCGAAAAATCTCCTTGTAGGATAAGGGGCGAAGAACGGAAGAGAAAAGCGCGAAGAGAAACAAAAAAAATAAAGAAAGAAAACGGTTATCGTTCGTTCAATCAATCCCGTTACACATATATCACGATCGATGGAGAGGGAAAAAAAAAAGGGCTCAAAAGGAAAGAAGGCTAACCCAACGGAGAATTCTATGAGGCAAAACCCGACTCTCAACTCCACCCAAGGAAAAAATAACAAAAGCCATGCAGAATGACTCTCGAAACGCCACTGCTCGGAATCGGTTTCAGCGCCAGGGGAAAAAAAAAAAAAAAAAAAAAAAAAAAGGAAAGAAAAAGAAAAAGGACGTTTTGAGAAAAATGTCCTGATGGCTTTCTCGCTCCCAACCCCTATCCGAGAAAGTAAAACTTTGGTCAACACGACCACATTAGAAGTTAGAAATCTGTACAATATACACACACAAAAAATGGAAGGGGAGAGGAGGACCGCTTGAAGTCGCTTAGTGTCTGTGTCTATTCGTCTTTATCGTAATTGTATAATCGATGCATTTCTCTCTTCCACCATCGAGTGACGCCGTCAGCTTTGACCAGCCAATCCACGGCTTCATCGCCCCATTTCTGCTTGAGGGTGTGCGACAACTCGGACACTGACCAGCCCTCGATGGGGTCTATTTCGTCCGGATCGGTGTCCAGGTTGGTGAAGCGGTACGAAAATTCTTGCTTGAGGGGAACAATCACTCGCCATGGTTTGCCTGCGGACTGCACTGATACCATGTCACCGCCGGAGTTGATAATTCCAAGGTTCCACGAATATCGGCCTTTGTGTTCAGATTTGAATGGGCGCAGTAGTGACTGGCCCTCATAGTCGTGAATAATGTCGGAAGCTACCGCAGTATCGAACGAATTCAAGGATTTGCTGTGGATAAGCAGGTCGAGGAGAGTCGGCAGGATGGCCATCGACGTTGCGTTGGCTTCGATCTGTATACGGGGAAGATGCGGGTGTCGGAAGACAATAGGAACTCGGAAGTTGCTGATGTGGCCGTTTTTGTACGTTCCTGTCATGGGACCGTCTTCCTCGAAAGCTTGACCACTAGTCAACCTAGTCAGTATAGAAGTGTAGGTATTTGATACATAAAAGGCGGTGTGGCTTACTGGTCACCAACAAAAACCACTAATGTTTCGTTTGCAATGCCGGCTTTATCGATCATTCCGAGAATTTCACCCATCCAGAGGTCGACGTATCGGATAGTGTTGAGGAAGCTATTCATATTCTTATGTGCCTGCGAGCCCATGTAATCCGTTTTATTGTAAAAATCAGGCACCTTCCATGGGTGATGTGTGGTGCTTGTGAAGTGAGACAAGAAAAGACGTGTTTTGTTTTGCGCAGCCTCCATAATCATATCGCGGACAGGAGCTCTGACATCTGTATCGGGAAAGCTGAAGGTACCCATCATGTTAGTCTTAAAATTTGGGCAAAAAGAGATGACACGGGGAAAACTTACCCGAAATAATTTAAGATGGGAGACTTTGGAGGATAATACTTCGAGCTTTCGTTCAGAAGCGTTTCTTTGACAATGACCTCGTGCATGCCCATCTTCTCGTTCATGATACCCTGTCGATCATACGTATCCGTAATGGACTGAATGAACACAGATTTCCACGGCCTGGAGTGGACATCAGCCCGATAGGGATCGGATTCGACTCTCTGCTCCAATTGTGCCTTCGACGTCTTGTTCTCCTTCTTCGCATTATTAAACAGTTGCAGGATTTGGGGAATGCATGGCTGGTAAACATCAGTCGTAACCTCTTCCAAGAAATTGACTGGCAGCGGGAAAACACCGCAATGGCTGCCAAGAAAACTCTTGAAGGAGAGACTGCTTCCGGTAACAGCACCCACGACATTGATACCCCCCATACCAGGAGCCACAGAATCTCGCCAGATGTCCGAAGAAAACTCAAGATCGGGCTTCCCCGTTGAATTCTTCCAGAAGTGCTCTCCGGTAACTTGTTCAGCGACCGGGGTCAGCTGGCGCAGTTTCATGTTTATCTCCTCTCTGTCCTTCTCATCATGCGATTCCAGGATGTTCTTGTGTAGGTTAGACCCCTCCTTTACGGGGAAGAGGTCCTTCCTGTGACTTTCCATGGTGATCAGGACGACGTTCGAGATCAGCACCGACGACAGGGCGGCCTCGAGGGACTCGTACATGGCCATGTCCAGATTGGTGATTCGGAGGGGATCCGCGACCGGGTTATAATAGTTGGCCGCATCGCCGGACTGGCATTTGTCCTCTATGGATTCTTCCGCATGGGCAGTAGAATTTGTGGGGTCTGGAAAAGCTCGTTGCCATCGCCCGAAGCCATATGGGGTGTCGTCCAGGAGCCATTCAGGTTTCTTTTTTCTGTACGTATTGGCAAGCATGTTGCTCTTGCCAGGTGCCCAGCCCTTAAAATGGCCGCGGGGCATCTCCCAATTCTCCTCTGCGATCAATTCGGGAAATGGGAAGGGTTCGCTTGAGAGTGACGCACCAAGCGCGCATTTATTCTCGGTGTGGGTCGGAGAATGGAAAACACGCAGCAATGCAACGGGGAGCGTGACAGAGATGTGATTGTACGGCCTGGAAGGACGGAGACAGAGCAGGGTTATAAGGGCGAGGACTCCGGTCAATAGGCAAAAGGGCCATATGCGGATGACTCTCTTGTGAGACTGATCGGGTCTTGTTCGCACGGTAGGCAGGAGCATATCCCAGTTTCCAGGGGTCGTGAGCTTCCAGACAGCAGCCAACCAGAATCCAACCTTATTGTATAGCCATGGCGTGCAGAAGAAAGCGATGATAATAAGGATCATCGCTGAAACCATCACCTCCACAACGCCGCTGAGGATCAGTCCAATCGCAGCTGGATCTCCCGCAACATTCGAGGCAGAGTCGAACTGCATTTCGGCGCCTGTGATGTAGTAGAAGCCCAGCTGGCCAGCGGCGGTCGCAAGCATCAGAAACCTAAGGAGAAAAGAAAGGAAAGAAAACCCTGGTCAGCTCTTCTTTCCGCCATATGGGATTTAGCATGCACCTACGAAAGGAACGCTCCGAGGGTGAGCGCGGCGACGAAGAGTGCGCCGGTGCCGGGCTGGAGCAGGAGCCGGCCCACGATGACGGTGACGACATCTTGGACGAAGAATGTGGGGAAGTAGAGAATGAATCTCAGCGGGGGAATGGTGTGAGCATGCTGGAACAGATGAAGGAACTTGGAGGCGAGGACAGCAACAACAAGAAGGGAGAAAAGAAAGGGGCGCGACAGGCGGACCGAAGGGATATTCATTGCACAAGATCAATGTCTGCTGGCAACAGAGCCCATCTCCTGATTAAATGAAAGATAGGGAACGAGGGAGCATAGAGAGACAGGCGGAGAGACAGAGAAGGGGGGGAGGGGGGAGAGAGAGAGCGAAAGAAAGAAAGAGAGAAACTTGACAGAAGAAGAAGAGCAAAAAAAAGAATAAGGGAGGTAACAGCAGGAGAAAGAGAACAAAGAAGAGAGTGAAGAGACAAACGCAAGGGGGCCACAGAGTGAGAGAGAGAGGGAGAGAGAGAGGGAGGAATATGAACTGGATTGGGCCAGGCAGGGAGGGACAGGCCGTGAAATTTTATTACCACCAAACAGTGTTTTCTGCGTAACCTGCCATCTCTGCAAAGACTTACGCGCTAAAATGGTGGGGACGCTTCTGGCGGAGAGGACTGGCGCTGGTGAAATTACCTATACCGTCTCGTGTCCTCCGGGCCCTTGTGACGCCTTCTCCATGCACTGAAGCCTGGAGGGCCGGCTGGCGGGGACCTGCGAGTTCGCCCTGGGCCGATGCGGCTCATTCCAAGGGCCCGGTCCTCTGCTGTCGGGATTCCCGTTCCAGCTGGGCGAGATTGGACGTATACACACACACGCACACATACGCACGCACACACATGCCCACACACTTGTGACAAACACATCGATAGAGAGAGACAGGTTTGACGAGCCGGACCGCGGAGTCTGCTCTCCCTCGTAGCGGACATGCCCCCGTGGCCCCATCGTTGCCGCGCTGGAGGTTGAAACAACGAGCCCACATGAAATGCGCAGGAATCTGGCCATGCGCGCGATATCCCCAAGCGGCTAGGCTGAAAAGCTTAACCTTTCCCGATTTGCGAATAAAGCTCCGGGTTCATTACTAGCGTTGAGCTTGGTTGGTGCGCCGCGCCGGTAACTTTACGGAATACGAAGCCTCCCGGCCGCCAAACTGAGACACCGTATCGATAATACCAAAGCCCATGCGCGCGCGACCCTCAGGATTGGTTGGCCTTCAGGGGCGCCAGCTAGTCCGGTCTCTCTGCGCCGCGTGTGAAGGCGACCCTTACGAGAACGAGGACGGACGACACGCTGGATTCGGCGGAGACAGCCTGTGCCAATCGCCGCGACAGTCTCGACCAATGGACGGCAGTCTTTGTCACTCCTGGGTCAGCGGTGGCAGCACACAGCCTTGTTTCGAATAATGGAAGGATCATGACCTCAGGCGCGCGCAGAACAACCTGAGTCCCTGACCTATCGAGCCCCTCGATCTAGCTTACAGCCAAGCCGGCCGACCAAACAGAGAATCGGAAAAATCCCTGGAATGCTGGATTTTTTTTTTTTTCTTTTTTTCCTTTTTTTTTTTTAATTAATAAAGTTTCTTTCTTCCCCGCCTTTATCGACATGCTATTGGCTGCCAAACAATAATGCCAAAACCACAACCTTTGTCAAACAAGGTTAGAAAAGTTGGTTGCGGAGTGCGGAGCACGGAGGACAATGGATGTATGAAGATTATGCAGGTGGGCCAACGATCATGAAAAATATCTCGTTCCATAGAAACAGGTGGAGAACATCAGACACCACTCTGCCCTACAAGAAACTCTCAGCACCGACAGGGAGAGCAAAAAAACAAAGCTTTCCAGGAGCAGCAGGCTGATGATCACGGCCCAAACCCACCGGAGAGAAAACAAAGCCGTTTTGTGACCCATTCCTTTTTGAAGCCAAAAGTCCGGACACACCGGCTTCCTCCTCCGAAACCCAGCCCGCGCCACTCAACTCATCACCCATATTCCATGGAAACGTAGAATTGCAAACTGTCCCAGTTTATCGCATTCTTGTGACACTTGTTAACCGCCTGGAAACTCCCCTCAAGAAGTATGACCGGATATATGTCCATTGCATAAACCCCTCACCAGGCGATTTCAACTAATAATGCTTTTTCTCGCAACAAAAGAAAATCGATGTTAAGCTTAGCTGGGCTTGAAAGAAAAAAAAGAAAAGAAAAGAAAAGAAATAAAATGAAAGAGGGAATATACCCCTTGTCATAGCTCGCTCACTCAGTCCAATAATCACCGGTCCCTTACACCATCCATACATATCGAGCAAGGTTCTCATCTTTTGAAGCCTCAGCCAAGAAAATCTTGATTAAAATCGGTGGACACTTAATCTATCTGAAAGGTACCGTGATACCGGCCATACCAGGTGTCGTTACATCGGAGTTGGGGCTCCCGGCCACAAGTGTGCGATCGAAGACTCTCAGGGCCATTTTTATACTTTAGTTACACCCTGACATCGTTGTTCCCCGCAGCCTCTCACACTGGGGCCCAACTTTGTCAATGTCTATGACTGCCACCCTCTCCGTGGAGTTAAAGAGAGTTATTAACAGTGTACCGCTCCTCACTCCCCCGCGATCCAATCTATCAACCACTCCGGGGTATCCTTGTCGCTGTTTGTCGATTCGGCAGAAACCGGATCGACATGTTGGTCCAATTAAACGAGCTTCGGCTAATTCCCTGGTCGCTCGAAACAACAGCACTCCTCCGTCCTCCTGACATGGCCTGGTGGATTTAGCTGCTCTGCGCGACCGTTCACGCGAAGAATGCTGATCTCCATTGCTTGACTTCCTACTCTATTTGAAGGATCTTTGGCTGATATACTCCGAAATGCCGGTGGAAAGGTTGCGAGGACTTACCGTTTGTATCGGAGAATATGTCTCTAAAGCTCAGCTGCAGCTCCAGCATCCCAAGGATATTTCCACATGCCATTATTTTTCGCCTGAAACGAATTTGTGAGGTTTACACGGTGTGTAAAGCTGCAACCGTTTGTGGTTTAGTGGACTTCGCCCCCATGGCCAAGTGCGGGCCAAAAGTATTTTTAGCCGCAGTTTTCCCGTCACGCACCGCCGTGCGTAGTCAAGACATTCCACTAATTTCCAGGGCTGTTCGTAGGGCCCCTTTTTTTTTTGTTTTTTTTTTTTCCCGCGGTGAGACCATTGAATTTCATAGACGGATTTTTTAGGCGAAGGGCCTCTCAAATACCTCCGCCACTCTTCACATCCAAAGCAGTCCATGACCCAAGTGTGCATCTGTATTCTTCTATCGATCAAGCTTCTTGAGCGTTTTGCACCTCTATGTTCTCACGTTTACCAACAGAATCTATAGCGAGCACTCCGTACAGGGGCCTATATGCACGCGCCTGAGGCATCTTCGATACGTTTCAAATTTCAACATACCCCCATACCGGTTCTGTGGCTTTATGTGCATTTGCTCGGGTTTACATCGTTATGGAAAGGATTAAGGTGGCCAACATAGGCAGTGGCTGGATAGAATGAAGCGAGCCAAAGATGAGGATTCTTGCCAATTGGCAAAAAATTCTCTGGGAGATGTGGGAACTTCAAAATTCCAGATTCCGCCAGGACCACTTCCGTTGATGGTGGATCCTTTTTTTTGGCGGTCGTAAACCTGGCCGTCTCCTGCGCTTCGGCCTCTTGGATGCCGTCCATGACGTCTCGCTGATTACATTTGCCCACTTAGTGGCAATTCTTCCTAAGGCCTTGCCACGAGGTCCAAAGGTGGCTTGAGGAGAGGACTGTGCCATCGAGTCGCTGTTGCTGCCGCCGAATTCTACCCTGAGAAGCGTTACTGCTCAGAGCAACGCTGGCGTTTTCGACTTTGCTCTAGTGCGCATTCCATAGTGCCAGTCTCTACCGCTACTGTTGATGATAGAGATTCAGCATTTGAGGCACATCCAACACCTGTTCTGAACATTAAATACCCCTTTTACTCCAGTGTTACATTTTGCACGCCCTCTAGGTCGCTCTAATGGAGGCTCCGCAGTCAGCCCCAATGTAGCCCATGAAAAATTAGCCGGAGAACACCAGCGTCTAGGTTGATGTTGTTAACATCATTAGTACTATAATCATCCGAAATCCCTTGGAGGCGTAACTACAGCGGTTAATAGGCTGTTATGATCGATCCTCTCTATTTTGACCATAGTGCCAATGACACGGTCCCTTTCTTCTGTGTCAGGTGCTATTACTCACGCGAAACAGCGTCATACTCCAGGCTCCCTGATTTCCAATATCCGTGCGATTCAAATCACCCTGGTTGAATCCATTATTAAGTCCTCAATGGGAATATTCACTCGCGGGATTTCTGTTAGGTTTGTATCGACACTAACTTGGGGACTTGGAGAAGGTTGAAAGACTTTTTCCAACGGGTTTGATCAGGATTACCGGCCTTGGATTCGGGCTAGCTACGCACATGTAGTGTTGTCGGTCACGTCTTATGAGTCTCGGCGGTTTCTAGATTTTGTTTTCAAAAAGCCAACATAATGAAGTGGTATATAAGACAAGCCTGTATTGTATTCGGCAGCCCGGACCAGCTGCCTAAGTCTAAACGAGGGGCAGTGCAGAGAATGTACATAAAACGTCACCATCATGGTATGGGACCAATGTATGACACAACTGGCATTGTGAAATTACCGTTGCCTCATAGTACTCGGTTTGCATGACGTTCTTCGGACTAGCATCTGTACTGGGCCACTACTCCGTATAGAGCAATCGGAAGATGCAGGGGTTCATTTGTGTGCCCAAATAGCTTGTATGCGCCGGAGTCGTTACGTGTTGGATGTTTTGGCTGCTGCATGAATGTCGAGAATGTGATGGTTTGACCAGGTGTTCCAGGGTTTTTGGAAGCCACACCGTCATCGACATGCGCACTCAAGAAGAATGAAAAGGCGCGAAGGATTGGCTACGGCGCCGCATTTGACTTCAACAAAGGCATGGTTAATAATGAAAAGGATCACGGAGTATTAGCTGTCTCTCTCTTCTTTTTTTTGTGTGAATAGTGGTTGGTCTGTTATCTTATGTTGTTTCCATTATGTGCTCCGTACATACAATACTTGTTCAGGAGCAACATGGTTAGTTGCCTGTTTCACGAACAAGAAGCATCCTTGCAGCAGAGCAATCAGGGTTGCCAAGTTACAGTACATTTATTCCTCTTTGATCTGGATGCGAAGGTCTGGAAAGTTGAAGAAGTTTCTGTTTTAAAACGCATAATATTTCTCCTCTATATCATTGAGACCTTTTAATATGCTTATTATTGTGTATAACCATCTTCGGAACCGGATAGACATGTATCCTAACCATTGAGATCGGAGCAGCATGCGATCCGAATCATGTCAGACGCCTGGTGACTGCAAAGTTCGTGAAACTTCATGGGCTGGGCCTTTTGCCTCCGAAGCCTCTCATTACTGTTTGTGACAGACAAGTTGGTAACAGCTTTGTATAGATATTTCCGGGTAAAGCATGCTTTGCTACCAGACTATCGAGCTACATCCCGAGCTCATGATATACATATGCCCATATCCTGACCCGATTGCAGGACTTGACCTTGTCGAGTTTGATTGACCCCAAAGTTCGGGTGCGTTGAGTTGGCTATAGAGGGGAGGAAACAAAAATGATAATCCAAATGCCCAGCAATGTAGAAGTTCAGATATTGTTACTAGCTGCTTAAATCTCGGGTTCGAACACGAACTTGACTGAATGCTACGGATCAAAGCGTCGGGTCCGCCACTATGCTATCGACAGATGTATCAAGTATCACAGAACAAAACAAACTCTCTAGAAATGCTTATGCCTCTTTTTGTAGGCTAAGTTATTGCCGCGAAAGAGGGGGGAAAATGGCAATCCTCCTCAAGAAATGAACCTCATTTGCTCACATTGATGGGAACAACTGCATGGAGCTCATCAGGCTCAGGGAAGGGCAAAAATTCAAAAGGGTATAGGTTAGAAATTTCTACAAAAGGCCAACCAAAGTTCGAAGAAAAATTAAGGGTAAATGGGAACAGATCATAGGGGGTGGATCACAGCCTAACATTGCCCCTGTTCAGTTGATCCCACTCTTTCTTCCCAAAGGGAACGTATGTGCCATTGCTCAGCCAGTACAGTCGATCGGTAATCTTATTATTCTCTAGGAGTTCTGGGTTGACGCCCTCAGCTCGTAAAGTGGTCTTCTGCTGCTTGTTGTTGCCGGTTGACTGCATCGAAGCGGTGACTCGAAGAAACTGGGGAACGGCGTACTTTGGTAAATGCGCAGAGGCATGAGCAGCCAAAGATTGAAGAATTTTCTGTGACGGCTCAATAACAACGTTGGAAGTTGGATTCTGAAGTTGTTCTTTGAATATAATTGCGGCACAACCTGCCCTGCCATCATGATGTGGGACCTCGACACCATACACATTCGCCTCATGGACGTCCGGATAATTGCCCAGGATCTCGCTGACCTCGTTTGTCGACACATTTTCACTGCGCCAACGGAAAGTGTCTCCAATCCTATCGGAGAAATACCACAACCCATTGGGATACCACCGGATCATATCTCCCGTGCGAAACCATGCGTCTCCTTTTTTACGAACGTCGCGAATGATCTTTTTATTGTTAGCTTCCGGGTTGTTAACGTATCCCGGAAATTTCTCCGCAATATTTTCTGCATCGACCGCAAATAACAATTCGCCGGGCTCGCCTTTCACGGCTTGCACGCATAGGCCAGTCTTTGGGTCACGTCGAGGAAGCTCCGTGATGGGATCCAGCTCAATAATAGTTGACGAGATCGATAAAAGGAGGTTTCCGAGGGCACCATTGCGGCCAATAGCGCCAGTTGAGTAGTCATTCCGCGATACGTTCAAAGTTATTGACAATCCTTCTGTGGCGCCGTATAGCTCTGCCACCGTATCAATTCCGAACCTCTCTTTGAACCGATTCCAAACGTCTGGGCGAAGGCCATTTCCATAGGCCATTCGAACATTGTGCTTCTTATCAAGATTCTCTCCAGTAGCCGGATCGGTTTGGGTTGGAGTGGCAAGTAAATAACGGAGCGTCTCTCCAACGTACTGCACCACGGTCGCGTCGTTCTCTCTTACTTCATTCCAGAAGTTCCTTGCTGAGAATTTACGGCCAATTGCTAGACTACTAGCATTGAGTAAGCAAGCGGTGTAGCCCAAAAGACCGGCAGTTGAATGATACAATGGCATGCACTGTCTTCAATTAACAAAAGGACGAGGAAGGTGTTAAGGGCTCAATAGTAAGACTTACGGTGTAGACGCGGTCTGTCCGCCGCAGACCAAGTGCTACATGCATAAAACTCGCGGCAGTTATTGCTTTGCTCCAATTGATGATGGCAGCTTTGGGAAGACCAGTCGTGCCACTGGTATAGATAAACATGCAGGTTGAAGTGGCTTCTTGATTACCGCGATCAACGTCAGGTGCCCGAATGGGCTCAAACTCCATAATTTGAAACTCCAGAGTGTTGTCGTGGAATACGACTTCAACAGGGCCACCATTTTTACGGAAATCAGGCGCACTGAAGACTGACAACTGTTCCGGAGGAAAGAGAGGACGCAGCTCTTCATCAACAACGAGAAGTTTGGCATCGCAAATCCGGACACAGTGTTCCAACGGGGCTTTGGTCAGATTATAATTGATCATAGAAGGAACAGCACCAATGCTCCACAGACCCATCCACATGAATATAAACGTCGGTGAATTCATGAAATCCATCGCGACCACATCCCCAGGTTTGACTTGATGGGCCTGCTTCAACCAGGTACCATATCGCAAGACTGTCTGATATGTTTCGTGAAAAGTCCAGATCTTGCCGTGGTAAGCCAGGAAAGGTTGCTGGGCCAGTTTCGGATTCAATGCATGCTGCTCAAGTATGTAGAAGAGGTTCCCACGACCATTTTTGACCCAGAAGAAGCGGCGGAAAACGGCTCTGGCAATGGAGTTTATCAACTTTGCGTCGTAGAAGAGTGACCATCTTGCATTAAGATAGGCGAGGAATGTAGTCGCGGCCGGAACCGAGAGGGTCAGTGGCAGTGTCGCGAGTGCTTCCATGACTGGAGTGTGTTAGCCTTGCCTTCATGCCATCTCAGACCGTGGAGGATCAAGGAGAAGTTATTTGCGACAACGCACCTTTGTTGTTTAATTTTGAGAGAAGTCTACCAAGTGCTGGGTTGTAAGGTCTATCATTCAAGGAGTTCACCGGAGTTCCAGGGCCAACGTTACACAAACGGCTGCACGAACTTCAAAGAGATCGGGTACGCTTGGAATTCAGGACTTGTATCCGATGATCAAAAACATTTGTTCAAACCGAAGACCTCCGGGGCTCAGAGATAACTAGTGAAGGGCATGCTGGACTTCCCCTCTCTCTCTCTCCCCCTTGTTGAGGACATCTGTCTAGCTCGAGTTGTTCAGGGCCAACCTCGGCAGGATTTCTGGTTCACTGGTTTCAGGGCAGAACCTTGTGAAAATTGTTGAAAGGCATTGAGCTTTGACCAATGAATATCCTTGAAGGGACAGGTTGGCATCATCTCTGTGGCTGAATCTGAGTTTCCACGATCGTTGCGGAGTTCCACGCGCCTCGCCCCGCGATCCTCGGCGTAAACTAAAACGGAACGACATCATAAGTGACAACGTATGAAACTCCCATTGCATATGTAACTGGTGAAACAATCTAAGAAAATAGTTTAGAGTTGGCTTACTTGTAACTATATAACGATCAGCGAAAGCAAACGACAGCTACTGCTTGAGATTATTATTATCTAGCCGGAGTAGACTCAATGTGCCTGAGAACCCAACTGCATATGCGGTTAACCTTCTGGTCTACTGCATCATCTAAGTGCTAGTTTATTGGTCCCAGCCAAAGGGACATTCTCGAATTCTTCCTCCATGAACTCTCTCAGAGCCTCAAGTCCCGCTTCCATTATCTCAGGCTTCATGGCATAGCCAATGCGGATATAGCCTTTAAAATCTTCTCGGTTCCCGAAGCCGTAGCTCCCCGGAACCAACAGCACCCCTTTCTTATCTTGTAGTCGTCTACAGAATTCCACGTCGTCCACTGGTTTGCCCATTTTGGAAAACTTGATAAATCCTATCGTCCCCGCGACCGGTCGAACCCAATCGCACGCCCATCGGTGCTGTTCAATAAATGATTCCACACTCGCAATGTTCTGTTTGGCAAGACCCATATTTCGTTGGAGCAGGCTATGTATACACTTGCCGTCGAGCGCAAAAGAGGCTACAGCCTCATCTAGATGGCTCATCGAGATCGTGGAATATGAACGATAATTGAGACAACTTGCAATATAATCGCTGTTCCGAGAAGCGAGCCAGCCAACACGGATTCCTGGAAGGGAATAGCATTTGGAGAGGGAGCCGGACACTAACACATTCTCGTATCCAAGCGATAGTGCAGATGGAGGGAATTCCGGATCCATAGGAGTTATTGAGTGGAACAGAGGTCTAAATATTTCGTCGCTAAATACGATTATCGAGTGTTCCTTTGCGATTTCTACAATGGCTTGAAGTTGAGAACGTGGAGTTATGGCTCCTGTGGGATTCGCCGGATTCCTAACAGGAGGGAAAGAGAAGTTGTTAGTGTTAGGATTACCGATAAAGTGAGGAATTTCTTACGTTAGAACAATCATCTTGGTATTTGGCTTGATGAGATCCTTCAGCTCTTCTAAATCCAACTGCCATTTATCTTTCTCTTTGCTCTTCCACAGGGTAACTTCGACACCGATCGACTTTGGCAAAGAATACAATTGCTGATAAGTAGGGTACTGAACAATAACGTGGTCCCCAGGGCTACATAAAGCGTGGAAGACCACGAGGTTGGCTAACGAGGCACCAGGTGTGATCAAAACGTTATCGACGGGCAGTGGAGTCGGAATCTTAATAGAATAAAGATTGGCTATGGTTGTTCGAAGCTGTTTTGAGCCCTGGTAGGCCTCACCGTAACATAATGGCATGGTCAAGATGGAAGCTGGAAGCGGCGGGTTCCTATCCTGTTCGCCTTCGGCGAGGGATGACAGCTCCTCAATTGAGACAGACGCAGCGCAAGAGCTGGAAAGGTCATATTTGGCTAATTGCGATTCCGTATCAATCCACTAGGACAAGGCAAAACGCTAGTTAGTTGTGTGCTCATAACGTGAAAAATGTAGGGAAGCATCCAAGCCTCGCGTTGCTATCCCGAGATGCGGGGTTTCGGACGCCGGAGACCGGCCGTTTATTAACTCACCCGCTGGGCAGCGAAAAAATCGATGTTAACCATTCTCGTAGGCAGCGCAAAGTAAAAGGAGTTTATCGGTGTGTACGGAGTAAGAGAAGGTTGGTCTTCTGGATAGAAGGACTTATGGCTCGGCTCTGGTCATAGGGAGCAATAAGTATCATAGATGGAGTAAGGTTCACTCCTCCATGGGCCTCCACTTCCAAGCTCCAGCCTTCGGGCCGAATGAAATGAACGAGCAGCGAATCACTTTTTGCTCTACGGATAGACAATATATTCTTGGTAGCTCCTCTTGTATTTCGTCAGATCTTCCGCTGAAGCACCGCCATTCTATATAAGTGAGGAGCATAAGTAAGAGTGTACCCAATCCACTTTGTTCTATATTCCGCCATAATTTCTCCGCGTTGATTGACATCGAAATGCAAGTGGAGCAGCTGCTTACAGCCGTCCCATTCTCTGTTGTAAGGAACGGGCGGCAATATACAAGGTGAATGCTACATTCTTCGTCAATCGGTCATCTTTAAAGCTCTTCGATAAAGATTGCTTGTCAGCACTCTTCGACGCGTGATGAATGTTATGAGGGAAGGAATACGTGGTTCAGGCATAAGAAAAGGCTGAACAAGGTAGAAGCGGGCTGGCTCTACTTCAGATTCCATCGGAGGAGAATAAATTCCCGGATTATCGATGTAATGGAGTTGCGTAGTGAATAACCAGGTAACTAGTGGTTAGGAGCGGGCTCCTTATATAATACGGAGTAAAGGGAAAAAAAAAGGGAAAATTCTTATGAATCAGTGCAGTTACAGCAGTCGTTTCAAAAGCGATCTCTAGTGAAGAGTAGATATCTAAAAAAATGGAAAGGCGAAAAAAGACTTGTAAGCGATCTCGACGCGACTCGAACGCGCAATCTTCGGTGCCGAAAACCGACGCCCTACCATTGGGCCACGAGACCTGGTTGCTTGATTATTTTAATAATTCAAATCAAGTAACTAGTCAGCCAATCAGGCTTGGATATCAATCATAATTTCTATAAAGTATATTCCGTACTCCGTACCCCGTATAGGTTCAAGGAAAGTATTCCGACGCCCCAACTCGTACCTTCAACAATATCACTACATAATGCTTTGAATTCTGAAGCACATCTGCGGATACTTGGAGTTTGTGATGTCTTGACCTCCAACGCCATCCAAGAAGCGAAACAGACCAGGCCTCGCCGATAAAAGCGTCGGGACTACTAGCATCGTCGTCCTGCTCAAAAAGCCGCAGCAACCAGGCGCCAAGCCAGACCTTCGCCGCCGGCCTGGGCAAACGGCTATCGCGGGGAGAGAAGTTACTCCGCACCCGGCGCTAACCCCCTTCCAACCGCGACCCGGCCAACCACCCGCCCGTCGAGCAACTACGTAATTCCTGTCCTCTCCCGCAACTCCGCCTGTCGCCAGTGTCTCGACGCAGCAAGCCCTGAGGTTCAGTTGGCGGATCTTTCTGGTTGTGGAGGGAATCAGCATCTTTTTTCGCTACCCTTCTTTCGTGAATCCTCCATCCTTAGCTCCATAGACGCCAGCTAGACCACCTTCCGGAAGCGATACTCGCGATAAGAGGCCGAGTGACTGGTACAAATGTCAAGCTTACAGCTTCGCTAGGAATTTTATCGTATGGCTCTCAACTTAAGGAGTTTGCGAAATCCTCCCTTTGTTTAGCAATCTTACGCTTGGGTGGTTGATGATAACGGCTTCGCTCCTTTGCAACCACGTCCTCTTCTATCTCCGCCATGCGGCTTTTCCGCGCTATCCAGTTCCTCTCACTCCTTTCTGCATCTTCGTCGTCATGGCGCGTTTCTGCATATGAGAATTATACGACCTACGATATAATATCTCCCCGGTTCGCGATACAAGATAACCGGCCACCAAACTGTCCCCCGTGCTTCAACTGCCAACTCGATGCGTTCCAATGCCATCAATTCGCCGAATGTAACAAATACAATGGTAAATGTTCTTGCCCTTCTGGATTCGGTGGAGATGATTGCTCGGAACCCTTGTGTGGATCCTTGCCCGATGGCAAGGATAGAACCCCCCGGCAGGATAAGTACTGCAAATGCAAAGACGGCTGGTCAGGTATAAATTGCAATGTTTGTGAAACGAATGATGCTTGCAATGCCATGATGCCAGAGGGCGAAGGTGGCGTATGCTACAAGGAGCCTCTAGTGGTCAAGGAGAATTATCAGATATGTGACGTGACCAATCGCAAAATCCTCGATCAACTTAAAGAAAAGAAGCCACAGGTGACGTTTTCATGCACTGCGAAAGACCATACGTGCAACTTTCAATGTGAGCTAGCAAGCTTGTTATTCTCGTCTTTCGATTTTATACTAACATGCATCTTTTTTGATAGTCTGGGTTGATCAGAAAGAGTCGTTTTACTGCTCCTTGGACACGTGCGAATGGGCTACAGAAGTTGAATACGGCAAGAATACCACAAATTATGAATGTGAGCATATAAAATGCAGATGCATTCCTGGACGGATGCTCTGCGGAGAGGATGGCTCTATTGATATTGGAGAATTCCTCGAGCAAGATATCAAAGGCCCAGCCTCGTTCTCGACGATTTCAACCCAGGGAGGGAGTGATCAAGATGGCAGCACATTCCAAGAACCTGCTATGAACAACCTAATCAAAAGCGTATTTGGCGATAAAAGCATTTTCCTTCAATGTCGTGCCGGAGAGTGTCTGTATAAAACCGACGTACCCGGCTACAAAGTCCCCGTCAAAACCATTAACACTCCACTAATTGCCGGTGTTATTGCTGGCTGCGGTTTATTTATCGTTGCTGTTATTCTATTTATCTGGTATCTTTCAAGGAGGAGTGCCTATCGGAACTACGCAGCGATACAACTTTCAGACGACTCTGACGACGAAAACGGAAAGCTCATGGCTGATCATAAACCTGCCGCGTTACAGTTTGATAACGTCTCGTACTATCTCAATGGCAGGCAAATCCTGTCAGGCATTAGGGGAATCGCTCGACCGGGACAGGTCACGGCCATTATGGGTGCTTCCGGCGCCGGGAAAACAACCTTTTTGGATATTCTTGCAAGAAAAAATAAACGCGGAACTGTTCAAGGAGAATTTTATGTGAATGGAGAAAAAGTCGACGACAGTGAGTATCGAAGTGTCGTCGGCTTTGTCGATCAGGAAGATACAATGCTGCCGACGCTCACTGTTCACGAGACTATTTTGACCAGTGCCCTGCTCAGACTCCCGAAAGATATGAGTAATGTTGTGAAAGAGCAAAGGGTGTTTGAAGTGGAGAAGCAGCTTGGAATATATCACATTAAAGACCAAATCATCGGCTCCGAAGGAGGAAAGGGACGCGGCATATCAGGAGGGGAGAAAAAGCGTGTTAGCATTGCATGCGAGCTTGTTACTAGTCCAAGCATATTATTTCTTGATGAGCCGACCAGTGGCTTGGTAAGTGCTAGATGCCATCCCCCTCATTTAGTATGGGTTCTAACAGTGGCCAGGATGCATTCAATGCTTTCAATGTGATAGAGTGCCTTGTAAACCTGGCAAGAACGTACAATAGAACCGTTATATTCACTATTCATCAGCCAAGGTCCAACATTGTCGCTTTATTCGATCAACTGATCCTGCTGGCCAAGGGAAAAACTGTCTACTCGGGCTCTTTCATGGGTTGTCAACCATACTTTGACCACATTGGATATACTTGTCCCTTGGGATTCAACATCGCGGATTACTTGGTCGACCTAACCATGCATGCCGGTACTACACGCTCTCCCGAGGAGCCTCTGCTCAACGCTGATGCGCAAGCGGACCATTTCAGAACGCCATCAAGCAGCTTAAGGGCCGTGAAATCTGTTGCTAGTGCTTCAAATGCAAGCTTTGAAAATAGCACGACCGAAAGTGCCCAAGATTCTACAGCACCACGAAAGCATATCCGGCGACAGTCTCTTAGACAACGTCAAGAGAGACAGCTTTACACTCGAAAGAAGACTTCCGGCGTGGATTCGCCCTCAACACCTCGGACCGATGATGAAGATAACGCAATGGGGAGCCTTAATGACAGTACGCAGCAATGGCTTCGTCTCTCTCGCCAACAAAATAGCGCCCCTTCCCAAACAGTGGAAGACCCCGATCATCTTCCTCCCATCGCCTCAGGGTATATTACAGACCTCGACGTTATTATCTCGAGTTATGCATCATCCGATGTTGCGGCTTCTATTCGGGATGAAATAGCTTCCGCAGTGGAAAGTGCCCGACAAGCTAACGGCAGCGCTGACCCCACCGCCCAGCAAGGCTCTGGTGGCGTTCACATGGTTGGATACACGCGAGTTAGCTTACTCCGTCAATTCATTATTCTCTCCAAACGAACATGGAAAAATCTGTATCGCAACCCTATGCTTATGCTTACTCATTATGCCATTGCAATTTTGCTGGCAGTTCTCTCCGGCTACCTGTTCTATGGACTCACAGATGATATCAAAGGTTTCCAAAATCGGCTGGGGCTTTTCTTCTTCCTGCTAGCGCTCTTCGGTTTTAGTACCCTGACCAGTCTCACGGTTTTCACGTCTGAACGACTGCTTTTCATGCGAGAACGTGCCAATGGTTATTATTCTCCGATCACTTACTTCGCAGCTAAAGTCGTGTTCGACATTATTCCACTGAGGTTGATTCCGCCGATTATCATGGGAGTCATAGTTTACCCGATGGTGGGACTGATTGCTGACTGGCCCGAATTCCTCAAATTCATGCTCATCCTCGTTTTATTCAATTTGGCCGCCGCTGGTATTTGCCTATTCATCGGAATCGTATTCCGTGATGGAGGGGTGGCGAATTTGATTGGAAGTTTGGTGATGTTGTTCAGTCTCCTCTTTGCCGGGCTGCTTCTTAATCACGATGCGATTCCCAAAGCAGCTCTGTGGCTACAAACTGTAAGTGTACGCTGTAAACCGTTCGATATTCATATACTAATAGTTCAAACCAGCTCTCCATATTCCATTACGGATTCGAAGCCTTGATTGTGAATGAGGTGACATATCTTACTCTTATCGACCATAAGTATGGGCTTGATATCGAGGTTCCCGGAG